CCAGGCTCAAGTCATCCTCCCACTCAGCCTCCCAAGTAGCTGGGACTATAGACAAGTGCCATCACATCCAGCTAATGGTTTTGATTTTTAGCAGAGATGAGGTCTCACTATCTTCCCCAGACTAGTATTGAACTCCTGAGCTGAAAAGATCCTCCCACCTCAGCCTCCCAAAGTGCTGGGATTACAGGTGTGAGCCACCATGCCTGGCCAGAAAAAGGGATTCGTACACTGTTGGTGGAATGTAAACTAATATACCCCCAATAGAGAACAGTATGGAAGTTCCTCAAAAAACTACAAATAGAACTACCATATGATCCAGCAATTCTGCTACTGGGCGTTTATCCAAAGGAAATCAGTATATCAAAGACACATCTGCATCCCCATGTTTATTGCAGCACTATTCATAATGGCCAAGACATGGAATCAACCTAGGTGTCCAACAGATGAATGGATAAAGAAAATGTGGGCCAGATGTAGTGGCTCACACCTGTAACCCTAGCATTTTGGGAGGTCAAGGTAGGCAGATCATCTGAGGTCAGGAGTTCAAGACCAGCCTGACCAACATGGAGAAACCCCGTCTCTACTAAAAATACAAAATTAGCCTGGCACGGTAGTGGGCACCTGTGGTCCCAGCTATTCAGGAGGCCGAGGCAGGAAAATCGCTTGAACCCAGGAGGCAGAGGTTGTGGTGAGCTGAGATCATGCCATTGCACTCCAGCCTGCACAACAAGAGCGAAACTTTGTCTCAAAAAAAAAAAAGAAAGAAAATGTGATATATCTATATTCTGTATGTGTATACATATGTGTGTGCGTATTCATATCTATATTTGCACACACAATGAAATACTATTTAGCCATAAAAAAGAATGAAATATCATAATTCACAGCAACATGGATGGAAATGGAGGACAGTATATTACGTGAATAAGCCAGAAACAGTAAGTTAAATGCTACATGTTCTCAGTCATATGTCGAAGCTAAAAAATGTTGACCTCATAGAAGTAAACAGTAGAACAGAGGATACTAAAGGTTAGGAAGGGTAGCAGGGGGAAGGGAAGGAAAGAAAGATATCTTAAAGGATACAAAATTATAGCTAGATGGGAGCAATAAGTTCTAGTGTTCTACACTACTATAGGATGAAGATATTTAACAATAATATATAGCTTCCAGTAGCTAGAAGGAGGGTATGAAATGCTCCTAACATAAATATATGATAAATGGGATGATGGATATGCTCATTACTTCAACCACTATACATTTATATGTATTAAAACATCATTATGTATCCCATAAATATGTACAGTTAATATATGTCATTTACAAATAAAAATTAAGGTTGGGTATGGTGGCTCACACCTATAATCCTAGCACTTTGGGGGGCCAAGGCAGGCTGATCACTTGAGGCCAGGAGTTCAAGACCAGCCTGACCAACATAGTGAAACACTGTCTCTACTAAAAATACAAAAAAAAAAAAAAAAAAAAAAGCTGGGTGTGGTGTCACACACCTGTAATCACAGCTACCAGGGAGGCTAAGGCACAAAAATTGTTTGAACCCTGGAGGTGGAGGTTGCAGTGAGCCATGATCGTGCCACTGCACTCCAGCCTGGGCAACAGAGTGAGACTCTGTCTCAAAAAACAAAAACAAAAACAAAAAACAAAAAACACCAACAAAAATAAATAAAAAATTAAAAAAAAAAATCAGGCTGGGCATGCTGGCTCATGCCTGTAATTCCAGCACTTTGGGAGGTTGAGGTGGGAGGACTGCTTGAGCCCAGGAGTTTAAGACCAGCTTAGGAAACACAGCAAGACCCCATCTTTACAAAAAGTTTAAAAATGAGCTAGGTGTGGTGGTGCACACCTATAGTCTGAGCTATTTGGGAGGCTGAGGGAGGAGGATCGCTTGAGCCCGAGAGTCAAGGCTACAGTGAGTTATGATTGTGTCACTGCACTGAAACCTGGGTGACAGAGTGAAACCTTGTCTCAAAAAACAAAACAACAAAATCACACTGGCCAGTCACAGAAAGAAATGGCAATAATGGGCCGGGCGCGGTGGCTCACGCCTGTAATCCCAGCACTTTGGGAGGCCGAGGCGGGCGGATCACAAGGTCAGGAGATCGAAACCACGGTGAAACCCCGTCTCCACTAAAAATACAAAAAAAATTAGCCGGGCGCGGTGGCGGGCGCCTGTAGTCCCAGCTACTCAGGAGGCTGAGGCAGGAGAATGGCGTGAACCCGGGAGGCGGAGCTTGCAGTGAGCCGAGATCGCGCCACTGCTCCAGCTTGGGCGACAGAGCGAGACTGCGTCTCAAAAAAAAAAAAAAAAAAAAAAAAAGAAAAGAAAAGAAATGGCAAGAATGAAAGCTGCCATCCCTGCCTGACAAACTAGTCTGATTCTTCTCTAAGACAAATTCGCAAAATGACTAAACTGGGTTGCAAAAAGCTGAAGGAAGTTTAAACAGAATAGCTTTGCTATCATTCGGGAAAAAAGAACTGAGTAAAAGCTAGGTCACCCTGACGTGGCTAATATTTGTATTGTAAATGCAATTCAGAGTACATTCTTCCTATTATCAGATAAAGAAAAAATAGTGTGGAATGCAAGAGTTGTCTGCACTACTTTTGTATTCTCACTTCTGCTTTAGAGAAGGAAGTTCTTTTAGCATGCTAAGAGAGACAGTTAATATTCAAATTAACCGGAGAAAGGTCTCTCCTTTGAAGTCTCTAGCTTCTTTAGAGACGATGCTAGACACCGGCAGAGGTCTGTATGAGGAGGAAAACCCGACAACATGGGACCGAAGAGTGCCCATCCGCGGCTAATTGGGAGATTACCCAAGAGAAAAGTGTGTTGCGCCACCCTCTGGACTTTTTGTGTATATCTGATGGCTACTAATTGATACTAACATGATTGATAATGAACTACACCAGCACACCACGGCTTGATAATGGATCCCACGTGAATACCATTACACACTTTGAGGGACACAGCAATGAGGTTACGCAATAAATCTAAGTCTTGGATACAAGAAATAGAAACGATGGGTGTCAAAACATATGCCAAATAGAACTGAAACTCGGCAATGTACACATTCCGAACTAATAAATATCCCCTGAACTTCGATTAAAAATGAATGTCATCTCAGCAGGGCGCGGTGGCTCACCCCTGTAATCCCAGCACTTTGGGAGGCCAAGGCGGGCGGATCATGTGAGGTCAGGAGATCGAGACCAGCCTGACCAACATGGTGAAACCCCGTCTGTAATAAAATACAAAAATTAGCTGGCCGTGGTGGTGTGTGCCTGTAATCCCAACTACTCGGGAGGCTGAGGCAGGAGAATCGCTTGAACCCGGGAGGTGGAGGTCGCATTGAGCCGAGATTCTGCCACTGCAGTCTGGGTGACTGAGCCAGACTCTGTCTCAAAAAAGAAAAGAAAGAAAGAAAGAAAGAAATGAATGTAATCTCCTTTTAATTTTAAATGGAGCTTTTCAAAAATTCTGGGTTTTAACTCCAAGGGCTTCCTTCTGTGTTGTATAACTAGTTGGGGAGAGGACAGCACCATTCACTTAAACGTCAGTGGGAATCACATTTAAGTAAAAGGAAAAGGAAATCAGTATATCAAAGACACGTCTGCATCCCCATGTTTATTGCAGTTTATTCCTTCTTGGACGTCTCCTGAATTTCCTATAGAGGTGAAGCTATCTCTGCCTTAAGGAAAAATGAAGTGCCTAATACTGCTTATAATAAGGTTGCTTTTCCAGATTTAGCTTCTCCACCCGATTTTCGCACGAGCCATACTGAACTACTTCATGTTTCCATACTCATGCTTTGTTCCAGCTACACTGAATTACTTAACATCCAGCACACTGCCAAGCTCTTTTCTCCCGCTTCTGCGGTTTGCACAAGTTGTTTCCTTTGCCAAGCAAATTCTTCCCCACCTCCCTACCCCTTGCCTAAACTCTTCTTTCGGGCGTAGAAAGAAATACCGCTTCTGGGTAACCTTTGTCTAATAATGAAATACCTAAGACACATTGAGAACGTACTATGGGTCCCTCACTGTTCTAAGTTCTTCCACAGGGATTCACTTTTATAATTATCAGGAAAACTGGGCTTCTTTTTTTTATTTTTTTTTATTTTTGAGATGGAGTCTAGCTCTGTCGCCCATGCTGGAGTGCAGTGGTGCGATCTTGGATCACTGCAACCTCCGCCTCCCAGGTTCAAGCGATCCTCCTGCCTCAGCCTCTCAAGTAGCTGGGATGACAAGCGTGTGCCACCACGCCCGGGTAATTTTTGTATTTTTAGTAGAGACGAAGTTTCATCTTGTTAGCCAGGCTGGTCTTGAATTCCTGACCCCAAGTGATCCTCCCACCTTGGTCTCCCTAAGTGCTGGGATTACAGGCATGAGCCACCGCGCCCGGCCTGGATTCACTTTTATAGTTATCAGGAAAACTGTAGGAAGTGTTAATAGGTAAAAGGACCCCGTTTCATAGGTAAGGAAACTGAGGCACAGAGAGAGAGGGAGTTTCTAAAACAGTGTTATACAGGTGGACTATAAACTCTGTAGTAAAGAAATGAAGACAGGCAGGAATGATTGCGAGAAAATGGTAAGAAAAAGGCGTCAGAAGTGGGGGAGGCCGGAGATGCGCTGCGCCGGTCGGCATTCAGGCCGTCCTCGGACCCAGGCCCCGAGAATCGTGTCCGTGTTTCCGAGGGTGGCGGCTGCAGCTTTGTCTCAGCGAAGGCCACTGCACTGCGGACGACTGCCGCAAGAAACCTCGGCTTTCCCTGACTCTGCACCCGTAACTTCACCTGCAACGCAATCCGAAGGCGAAGGCAGCAAATCCCGCCGGCCCCGCGCGGCCGGAAGCCTCGCGCCCAAGACTCCCCAGCACCCTAGCGCGCTACCTGCGAAGGCGGCGGGAAACGCCTCCGCGTCCCTCCCAAAAGCCCCGGAGAGGGAGAGGGGCGTGGCTGAGACAGGCCCCGCCCACGCGCGCGGGGCCCCTCGGCAACCGGCACAACACAACAAAATGGCCGTCGCGCCGCTGCGCGCCTGAGGAAAGAGCCCCAACGTCTTCCGCTCCGCCTCAGCCTGCGGGACTGCTCGGCTCGGCTCCTAGGCAGTGAGCGTCAGACCTGGTCGAGCCCGTTCTCCGGCGTCCAACCCGAGCGGTGGGGGCCGGAGGCAAAGGCGGGAAGGCCGGAACCGGGCGTGGGGTGGGCCGGCTTGGGATGGATTCGGGGCGGGGGCGCATGTCTGGGAATTAGGATTGGACGGGAAAGAGGGGAGGGCCCGGAACGGGCGTGGGGCAGTGGATGAAGGAGGGAGGTTTGGATGGGAAGAGGTGAGGACGGCGGGGGCGATTGGGGATGAAGAACCAGAGCGTGGGGAGGTGTGGAAGTTAGGGTGCGGCGCCCAGAAGGTTGTGCGTCCTGCTACCTGAGCTGAGGGGAGAGCTGGGATGTGCCAGCTGTCTGTGGGGAGTGAGCGGGAGAAAGCACAGTTTGGGCGTCCTGAGGGGTTGTCACGGTATCGGACAGACTACATACAGTGCGTGGAGAAAGATGACAGGATGTGGGGACGAAATGCTAAAAGGAGGGGAAGAGCAAACACTTCCGTTATATTCGTTAAGGGACTAGTGAATTTTGAAGCCAGGCAAACTTGGGCTCAAACCTCAATTCTGCCACCTTGTGTAACTTAACCGGGTCTGTGATCCTTGGCGTGTGTCTGAGCCTTCCTGATCATGTTTCCTCATTGTCCAAATAATTGCGAATCACGTTTGGGTGTTCACTATTTGTCAGATCCAGTTTTAAGCACTTTGCACGTATTAACCTCATTTAGAATTTAAAATAACTTGTATGAGGTTATCATTCCCACTTAAAAAGTGATAGCACTGAGGACCAGAGAGGTTAAGTAATTTGCCTAGGGTCACACAGTAAGTGGAAAGTCAGAATGTGAACTCAGGCTGTTTCGTTCCAGAATCCAGGCTTTTAATTGTTCAGATACATTGCCACTTGTAAATGAGGTTAGTAATTCTGATCCTATACAGCTAAATCTTTGAGGATTTAAATTTGGTATTGTCTAGAGTGTTTAGTACAGTCCTTCAGTCAACAAATATTTATTGTCTATAGAACAACAGACAAGACCTCTGCTCTCTTGTAGCTTATAGTCTAGAAGGAGAAACAGGCAACAATCAAGTAGTTTCACAAATAACTTTTAAAATGCTATGAAGGAGACTGCTTGGTGCAGAGATCATGGGTAACTGGGAGACAAAATCTTATACATCTTGAGCTTAGATCCTAGCATGGTTCTTCCTACATAAAAGTTGCTCAATAAAATTGAATAATTAATGGAAAGAGATGGGAAGCTTGAGTTTTAGGGTATCTGAGCAGAAGAGAGATGGGAGAAGGGGATTCAGGCTTTTTATCTGAGCAGAAGAGAGATGGGAGAGGGGGATTCAGGCTTTTAATAGGTGGAAAAGGACACGGGGGCCAGAGTATTAGGACGGAAGGGCAAATAGGCAGGCAGTTGGGTTGTGATGAAGAGGAATGGGTGGAGGTTTGAGTATTTTGTTTAGGGAGGGGAGTAATTGGAGGTCAGCATATTGGAACGCATTAGGATGTCAGGGTATTTTCTGGGATGAAGAGAGATGAGCAGCTTGGGAAGTCTGGATGGATAGAGAAAGGCTGAGTCTGGGCACAGGAAAGAACCATAGAGAAGTGGGGGAGACTATTACTGTGTTGGGGAACTGGGATAGAATTTGTGGGAAAATTGGCAGTCAGAATGGGATAAAGAAGAGTGGGAGGCAGAGGTGGACAGCACAGAATGGGGGAATTGGCTTTGGAAAGAAAAATGGTTGGAGACTTTGCAGAGGAATAGGAATCAGGATATTTGAAAGGAGGAGAAGGTTAAGGAAGGAAAGTATTTCAGTAGGTCAGAGGGTATGGGATGAAGTAGACTTGGAGGGAAAGTACTGAAATCCAATTAAAGGGCTAAGGAGAGGGATATGGGGGTTAAGAAATGGGGATGGGTATTTGCATATTAGGGAGTCTGTAGAGAGACAGAAGGAGGTCTGCCTTATTTGGAGATCAGAGAAGATGGGAAGTTAGGAAAGTTAGGGAAGGCTGGATGGAGGTGGAGTTTGCAGTCTCTACTAAGCTGTGATGGACTGAATTGTTAGATCAGAGCAAGTATCTAGGTTTATAGGTGGCAGGACGGGTAATGTTTTGTTGCCTGGACATAGATTCTGATTATCATGTCATTCCAATGGCTTTCTCTTGCTCTGCAGACAACCTTTAAAATACAACTGTAGCTCTGAACTTTATTTGCTTTTTTTTTTTTCTCTTTATCCTGCTCCTTCACTCACCCTAGCCTACCTCTCAGCTGTCTTCATTTTTTCCATTGCTTGCTTGGTCTTTGTTCATGTGATTGCAGACAACATCCTAGGATCAAACTACATCCTCATCTCTCCCTAAAAATTATAATTCAGCATTTCAACCTCCAGGCAGTAGCCTATGAAGTAATGCCAGCCATTTTCAAACACTGTAAACCCATAAGCCCACTTCACTGAGTTAGCTATTCTCTGAGACCAATTACATATATCTTGTTTCAATGTTAAAGCTTTACAGAAGTTGTGGCAAGCAAGGGTTTAAGTCTATGAATGAGTAAGCCTGACTTTTACTAATCAGGAGAGGTAATAAAGGACCTCATGATAGTCTGGTGAGACCTAAGGGGTCTTGGTCATTAGGATGTAAAAACTACAGGCTGGGCACAGTGGCTCACACCTGTAATCCCAGCACTTTGAGAGGCTGAGGCGGGAAGATCACTTGAGCCCAGGAGTTCAAGACCAACCTGGGAACTATAGTGAGACCCTACCTCTACAAAAAATAAAAAATTAGCTGAACATGGTCATATGCTGCTGTAGTCCCAGCTACTCAGGAGGCTGAGGTAGGAGGATCACTTGAGCCCAGGAGGGCAAGGTTGCTGTGAGCCGTGAGCATGCCCCTATACTCCAGCCTGGGCGACAGAGAAAGACCTTGCCTAAGGGGGAAAAAAAAACCCAACTACATACTGTATATACTATAATAAATGTCGTCTATTAATCCGTTTAATTAGGAATAAGATTTTACCTAAGCACATGCCTCTTAGCTTTTCTCAAATGTTAGAGTATTCTTATTTAGAAGGAGAATGCCAGTGCAGTTTAGCAACATCAATAGTATCACTAAGGACTGGGTGTGGTGACTGTAATCCCAGCACTTTTGGAGGCCGAGGTGGGTGGATCATCTGAGGTCGGGAGTTTGAGACCAGCCTGGCCAACATGGTGAAATCTCATCTCTACTAAAAATAAAAACATTAGCCAGGCATGGTGCCATATACCTGTAAGCTCAGTTACTCGGTAGGTTGAGGTGGGAGAATCACTTGAACCTGGGAGGCAGAGGTTACAGTGATCCGAGATCACACCACTGCACTCCAGCCTGGGCAACCGAGTGAGACTCTGTCTCAAAAAAAGAAAAAAATAGTATTACTGAGACTACAGATTAAACAAACTCAGTTTCTCCCACTATACGCTCACAACATGATCCTGTAGGATTTTCCCCCACACGTTAAGCAAGCAGTCAGTTCTGCAGTGGTGGGCACCACAGGGCTGTCCTCTAGTTCAGTTCAATTCTGACACTGTCTACCTGGAGACAGTGTCACATCCCTCAGGTTGAAGGCTGGCTCACAAGACTGCCCCCAAGTTTTGATGCCAATGGTAGGCCTCAGTTTTACCTGTGCTTCTGACTGACCAGCTATAAATCAGAGTTCCCACAACTCCCTCCTTGGGTTTGATTAATTTGTTAGAGCAGTTCACAGAACTCAGGAAGCACTTACTTACATTTACTGGTTTGTTATAAAAGGTATTACAAAGGATATAGATGAAAAGATGCATAGTGTAAGGCAGGTGGAAAGGGGCGTAGAGCTTCCACGGCCTCTCTGGGTGGATTCCCCTCCAGGACCCCCTCCATGTCCAGCTATCTGGATGCTCCCCAAACTCGGTCTTTTAAATTTTTACGGAGGCTTCATTATGTAGGCCTGATTGATTACATCACTGGCCATTGGTGATCAACTCAACCTTTAGCCCCTCTCCCCTCCCTCTTTCTAGTGACCAGCCATGATCCTGAAGCTGCCTAGAGGTGGCTAGCCATCGGTCAACTCATTAGCATACAAAAAGACACTTATGACAGCAAAAGAGACTTAAGACTAAGTATGTATTTCATAATATTAAAATTACTAAAAGACTTTTTTCCATGGCAAAATTGTGTTATAAGGCACAGAAATTGTTTACCACGCTTGAAATTTGGACCAAAAGCCTTGTGGAAATGGCATAAATAGCAGTTAATGTGACTTGGGGGAGTTTTTCTGATCCATATATATAGTTTAATACGAGAAAATGAAGCAAAAAGTACAGATACATTTAAGTTCACAGTTTAAAGAACAGGTTGAAGGCCAGGTGTGGTAGCTCACGTCTGTAATCCTAACACTTTGGGAGGCAGAGGTGGGAGGATTGCTTGAGCTCAGGAGTTCGAGATCAGCCTGGACAACATAGTGAAACCCTGTCTCCAAAAAAATTAAAATAAAGTACAGATTGATTATCTTTTATCCAAAATGCTTGCTACCAAAAGTATCTTGGATTTTGGATTTTTTCAGATTTTGGAATATTTGCATTATACTTATTTATATTTTTTATATTTATATTTAAATATTTCAGATTTTCAGATTTGGAGTGCTTAACCTGTAGTGAATGAGGCTATTGGCATGGGACATTTGGCTATATTGTAATGTATGTGAAATAATAATTAACTTTTTAAAAACAAAAAGTGTGACAGGTTTTTATTCCCTTCAGACTACTCACCTTGAGAGACCAGATCATGGTATCAGAGATCCTTTCTTTGTATAAAATTTTCTGGGTTACCTTCAGGATTTTTTTTGTTTTGTTTTTTTGAGATGGAGTCTCGCTCTGTGGCCCAGGCTGGAGTGCAGTGACACGATCTTGGCTCACTGCAACCTCCACCTCCCCAGTTCAAGTGATTTTTGTGCCTCAACCTCCCAAGTAGCTGGGATTACAGGTACCTGCCGCCTATGGCATCATGCTAGGCCATAGAGAACAAAGCAAACATAATCTAGACTCCAGGAAACTCGGATAGCTATATGATATGGTTGTTAAAAACATGGGTTTTGAATTAGATCAGGTTTCAAGTTTTAGCCAAACCAATTAGTTAAGGAACTTTGGACGAATTATTTAAGATCTTCATCTGTAAAATGGGAAGTAACACTTATAGAGTTGTTATATTCAATTCTTTCAGTGTGATGATACACATAAAGAGCTTATCACAACATATGTTTGTCTGTTTGTTTTTTAGAGACAGAGACTCCGTATGCTGCCCAGGCTGGAGTGCAGTGGCCAGTCACAAGGTTGATCATAGCACATTGTAGCCTGGAGCTCCTGGGATCAAGCAATCCTCCTGCCTCATCCTCTGGAGCAACTGGGACTGCAAGTATACACACTGTGCCTGACGAAATATCACAATATTTGGTACATGGTAAGCCCTCAGTAAATGTTAGCCACTAGTATGATATTCTTTAGAATTAACTTCAACCATCATCTTTTCATTAAATTTTTGGAAGCAGACAAACTTTAAATGGAGTCAAGTTTACTGAGTAAGTTTAGCGATCAAACTGGGAAAATAAAAACGAAATGTACCTGAAGTGATGGGCCCGATTTTCTTGTGAGACTTACAAATTAATTTGAAAGCAGAATCCAAAGAGGAATTCCAAAAATTGAATATATTAATAGATTATATTAGTGTAACCTCTCATTTATATACTGTATATAAGTTCTGTAGGGGAGGAAAGGGAGTGATACCTTTCTGTCCCATCATAAAGGTCATGGCCAACACTCCGGTAACAAAGACAGGTTAACAAGAGAAAAGCATAGCAAATTTATTTGATCAAAGCTTTATGTGTCATGGGAACCTTCAGAATGAAGACCCAAAAATGCAGAAAAAATTATCCATTTTTATGCTTAGGATCAATGAAGTATGGACAGCTGTATAGAAATAGGATTGGACAAAATGGGTATGATCTAATGCTAATAGACTGAGTGAGGAAATTCAGCAAGGCTTGCCTCTCCAGATTTCTCTTGACCTCTCTGTGCAGCATTCCTTCCTCCTGGGTATTGGGTAGGACCCCTATGGAATGAGGGTCTTAATTTCTTTATGGCCAGCTGTTACACAGAAAGCTGGGAGTTTGCGGGAAGTTTCTGTATAATCACAGCTTATGTATACCCATATGCTTGTGAAGGTATATTATCTTTTAATAGAGATATGAAAAACTCAAAACGTTTTTCCTACTGCGGTACCACACAGTAAAATACTTCTGACACCAGGCGTGTGAGGGTTGTTGCCCCATACATCAGAACTTCTTCAGTGGACACCAGCTGAGTGTCCTCTTACTCACTTCAATTCTGACACTGTTTGCCTGGAGATAGCATCAGATCCCACAGGTTAAGGACTCAGTCCCACAAGAGTTCCCCTAACTTCAGATACCCATTACAAGTAGTAGATTGCCACCTATACTTCTGACTACCGAGCTATAAATTGGGACTCCCACTGCCCCCTCCTTGGGTTCAATTAATTTGCTCGAGTGGCTCACAGAACTTATATTTTCCCATTTATTATAAAGGATATTACAAAATATACAAACAGCCAGAGGAAGAGTTACATAGGGCAAGGTATGTGGAAAGGGGTATGAAGTTTCATGCTCTCGCCAGCATGCCATCCTCCAGACACCTCCACATGTTCAGCTATCTGGAAGTTCTCTGGACCCTGTCCTTTTGGGGTTTTATGGAGGCTTACTTATATAGGCATGATTGCTCATATCATTGGCTACTGGTTTTCAAATCAATTTTAGCTGCTCTCCCCTCCTTTGGGGGAGAGTTGTGGGGTTGGGCTCAAAGTCCCAACCTTCTAAACATGCCTTAGTCTTTCTGGTGACTGGCCCCCATCTCAAAGCTATCTAGATGACAGATTTTGCTCTGTAATTCTGACAAATGACAGAATTTGCTCTGTAAAATGCATTGTTAGACAATTTCATCATTGTGCAAACATCATAGAATGTACTTACACAAACCAAGATGGTATAGGGATAGCCTCTTGCTGCTAGGCTACAGACCCATACCGCATATACCAGTTATCTTATTAGTATACGAAAGACACTCTTATCACTGTGGAGATCCCAAAGGTTTTAAGAGCTATGTGATAGGAAACAGGAGGAGCATCAAATATACAGGTTAAAAGAGAAATTATCAACAAATTAAATTTAACAGTTTAATTGAACAAAGAATAGTTCACAAATTGGGCAGCCCTCAGAACCAGAAGAAATTCAGAGAGGTCTGTTCTGCAATGTAGGCAGGCAGCATTTATGGATAGAAAAGGGAAGTGAGGTACAGAAACAGCTTGATTGGTTACAGCTCTGTGTTTACCTTATTTGAACATGGTACGATCACTTGACTGCCTGTGATTGACTGAAGCTCAGCTGCTGTGATTGGCTGAGAGTCAGCTATTTGTTACAAAAACATACTCCTAAGTTAGGCTTTCAGTTAGTTTACCTTTTAAGTTATGTTGCAGTTCATTATGTAGAGACTTAAAGTACAGAGGCACTTGCAGGCAAAATTTAGTTTAATTTAGCATACAGTCATGTGTCCCTTAATGACAGAATTTGCTCTGTAAAATGCATTGTTAGACAATTTCATCATTGTGCAAACATCATAGAATGTACTTACACAAACCAAGATGGTATAGGGATAGCCTCTTGCTGCTAGGCTACAGACCCATACCGCATGTTACTGTACTGAATACTTCAGGCAGTTGTAGCACAATGGTAAATATTTGTGCATCTAAACATAGAAAAGGGACTGGGTGGGTGGCTCACACTTGTAATCCCAGCACTTTGGGAGGCCAAGACACGTGGATCACAAGGTCAGGAGTTCGAGACCAGCCTGGCCAATATGGTGAAACCCTGTCTCTACTAAAAATACCAAAATTAGCCAGGTGTAGTGGCATGCGCCTGTAGTCCCAGCTACTCAGGAGGCTGAGGTGGGAGAATCGCTTGAACCCGGGAGGCGGAGGTTTCAGTGAGCCAAGATCATGCCACTGCATACCAGCCTGGGTGACAAAGGGAGACTTCCTCTCAAAAAAAAAAAAAAAAAAAAGAAAAGGTACAATAAAAATATGGTATAAAATGTAAAAAAGTAAAGTATACCTGTATAGAGCCCTTACCACATGATTGGAGCTTGCAGGACTGGAAGTTTCTTTCCCCGTTAGTTGGTGAGTGAATGTGAAGATGCAGGACATTACTGTACACTATTGTAGACTTTATTATAAACACTGTACACTTAGGCTACACTAAATTTATTAAACGTTTTTTCTCTCTTCAATAGTAAATTAGCCTTAGCTTGCTGTAATGTTTTTACTTTATAAACTTTAAATTTTTAAAAAACTTTTTGACTCTTTTGTAATAAAACTTAGCTTAAAACATAAACACATTGTACGGTTGTACAAAATTAATTTCTTTATAACCTTATTTTATAAGCTTTTTTCTATTTTAAAAACTCTTACTTTTTAAATGTTTTCTTAAAAACTGAGACACAAACACACACATTAGCCTAGGCCTGTAAGGGTCAGGATAATCAGTATGACTGCCTTTCATATCTTGTTCCACTGATCTTCAGGGTCTTCAGGGGCAATAACATGCATGGAGCTATCATCTCTTATGATAACAATATTATGTTCTGGAATACCTCCTGAAGGACCTACCTGCCTGAGTCTGTTTTATAGTTAACTTTTTTTAAAAAAAAAATAAATAGAATGAGTACACTCTAACAATAAAAAGTATGGTGTAGTAAATACACAAGCCAGTAATATGGACATTTATTACCAAGTACTGTGTACTCTACATAATTGTATGTGCCAGACTTGTGTACACCTTGTAGCATAGTAGGTTTGTTTATATCAGCATCGCTACAAACATGTGAGTAATGTGTAGCACTATGACATTATGACATCTATGATGTTACTAAGTTATAGGAATTTTTCAGCTTTATTATAATTTTATGGGACTACTGTCATGTATGTGGTCCATTGTTGACCAAAACATTGTTATGTGATGCATGATATCATATGTGTCATATTTTACAATATCACGTATATGAAGATGTTTACACATCATTCCACTATCCCTTTCTGATACCAATTTATATAGCATTAACACTTGAGCTACTCAATCCTTGGATTAAAAACTACTTTAAGCTAATATCTTATTTCATTAAATTTTTTTCTAAAAAATAATTTCCATTTTCACATTTTCAGCAGTGACTATAGGGGAAATTAAGGTGCTAAGCAAAGATAGCATCATTATTAATATAGCCTTGCTCAAGATCTATACAACTTATAAGATTTTTTTTGTCCAAAAGTTTGTCAAGTTTATAATTTTTGTACTGTTTTTAGACTAAACGTACTTAATAAGAACAACTGTGTATCATGAAAATCTTTTTTACATACACTAACCTTGCAAATTTAGGACAATTGATATTGAGGACTAGTATTGCTCATGCAGGCATCTTTTTGTTGAGATACTAAATAGTACATTTTACATTTTATGTTCTTTATGACTAATTCATTCAATAAATGTTAATTATTTACCATTTGCTAGGCTGTGTTCTACAGCGTACAGTACACTGTAGGCACAGCACACTGTATGCCTAGAACAGAAGAGGATGTCATTTTTTTTTTTTTTTTTTGTGAGTCGGAGTCTCGCCCTATTGCCTAGGCTGGAGTGCAGTGGCACGATCTCGGCTCACTGCAAGCTCTGCCTTCCGGGTTCATGCCATTCTCCTGCTTCAGCCTCCTAAGTAGCTGGGACTACAGGCGCCTGCCACCACGCCTGGCTAATGTTTTGTATTTTTAGTAGAGACGGGGTTTCACCGTGTTAGCCAGGATGGTCCGGATCTCCTGACCTTATGATCTGCCCGCCTCGGCCTCTCAAAGTGCTGGGATTACAGGCATGAGCCACCACACCCGGATGAGGATGTCATTTTTAAGGACTAATCAAGTCATAGTGCTAAGCCATTCTGAGCCTTAATGGTCATGAACTTTACCTTTCTTTCATATAAGAAAATAAATATTTTTATGTGAAAACATTTAAAGGAATTTGACCACGGTCTCTTTCATTAACAAATGTTTTTGTTCTTTCTGGAAGACTTATACTTCAATAAAATTGATTTTGTAGATAAGAATAGTAGATACTGAAATTTGAAGTGATCAGATGTTTTTCATATAGCATGAGACAAATATGAATGAATTACAGAAACAATATTTAACAAAAAGGCAGATTTAAAAGGTATTTTATGGTTTCATTTCTCTAAAGTTCAAAAATAGTTCAAAAATCTGTGGTGTTGGAAGTCAGGATAGTGATTACCCATGTGTGGGAGTTAGTGACTGGAAGGGGGCATGAGAGGACTTCTGGGATTCTGGAAATAATTCTGTTTCTTTACCTGGATGTCGAGTACATAGCTTGTGTTCACTGTATAGAAATTCATGAAGCTATATACACTTATGATTTATGTACTTTATGTATGATACATTCCAATAAAAAATATGCATACAGAGAGAGAGAGCACATGCATGAAAGAGTACACTGTTGAAAGTATGGTTTTTAAACCGGGTGATTTCTAGTTATAAGGTGTTAGATGTATTCATGACTTATACCATGGAGCTGCTGGGAATTCAGAGATTATTCCTCCACCTGTTTGATGTTACATTCTGGGCAAGCAAAAGATATACAGTAGGTATATTCAGTGTAATAAACAGGGAGGATTCATTCTATCTGAAGAAAGTAGATTTCTGGAAAGTCTTCACAAATAAAGTAACATTTTAATTGGTTGAGAGAAAGAAGAGGATGTTTAATTCCCTTTAAAGAATTCCCTTTAAGGAAAGGGAATTTCATAAGCAAAAACTCATGATGTGTTCAGGTAATGACAAAAAGATGACTAGAGCAATGGCACGTGATGGGGAGGCCAGAAAGTTGGGGTCAGACTGTGATGAGTCCTGTTTGTGATGCATGGTGCCAAAATATTTAGACTCATAGGCACTGGGAACCATTACATTTCTTTTGTTTTTATTATATAAGTGGGTCAAAGGTAGAGGATGGATTGAGGGTAAAGCAAAGGAGAATTGGAAGGAAGCTGGTTCAGAGAGTATCTAATAGTCAAAGCAAGAGAGGATAAAAGTTGGATCTAGGGCAGTAGCTGCGAAGATGGATAGAGACGAATTTCAAACTATTTTAGAGATAGAATCAATATTGGTGGATGATGGAGAGGGATGACTGGAAGATAACTCTATTCGTTCATTTATTCAGCAAATATATATTGAGTTCCTGCTAGGTACCAGGCTCTATGCTAGACTGGGGAGATACTGTAAACAAAACAGACATGCTCTCGTGGAGCATACAGTTCAGAATGGAGACAAATGTTAAGCAAAATGACATCACTCTGGCTATCTGACTGCAATATAATGATGGAAGAGTAAGGCAAGAGAGCTTGCAGACAGATCAGTTAGAAGCTGTTATAGTAGTTTGATGAGGGCTTGGATTAGAGTGCGTGAGAGTGAAAATGGAAAGAAGCAGACTTAATTTGAGAGGTATTTGGGAGTAAGAATTAACAAGATTTAGCGATTGGCTGAGTATGGGACACGGGAAGAGGGAGGTGTCAAGAATGACTCCCAGGTTTTTGGCTTATTCCAGCGAGCAGTGTTCACTGTTTAGGGAACACTGGAAGAGGAACAGGAGGGTGAGAGGAGGAATAGGGTAAATAATAAATTCAAGCTGAACTGAGTTTAGGATGCCAATGAGATATCACGTAAGCAATTGGAAATAGGAGTCTGGAGCTCAGAGAAAGATTGGATTAAGGATATAAATATCAGCTGGGTGTGGTGGCTCACGCCCATATGTAATCCCAGCAATTTGGGAGGCTGAGGCAGACAGATCAGCTGAGGTCAGGAGTTCGAGATCAGCCTGGCCAACATGGCGAAACCCTGTCTCTACTAAAAGTACAAAAATTAGCTGGTCATGGTGGCAGGCACCAGGAATTCCAGCTACTCAGGAGGCCAAGGCAGAAGAATAGCTTGGACCCGGGAGGCAGAGGTTGCAGTGAGCCAAGATCACATCATTGCACTCCAGCCTGGGTGACAAGAGCGAGATTCCGTCTCAAAAAAATAAAAAATGAAAATAGATAAATAAGAGTAAACACATGGCATTGGGAACCATGAGTGTGCATTAATTTGTCCAAGATAAGATTAGAGAGAAACTAGAAGGGACCATTGAGGAGTTCTGATGTTTAAATTACACTGTAAGGAGGAACAAAAGCCAGCAAAGGAGTCCATGGAGTGGCCAGGGAGTCACGAGGATACCAGGAGAGTGTGGTGTCCCAGAAACCAAAGGAAGAAACTTTGAGGAAGGAGAGAGTGCTTATCAGTATTAAATACTGCTGGTTGCCAAATATTCCAGCTTCCTGCATTCTAGGGTCCCCTTGTGTGGGTAAAAGGGGCCTTGGGACTAGTTTGGTGCAATAAACAACAGGAATGACAACACTTCCAGCTGGAGCATGTGTCAATTCTAGACCCTCTGGAGATCTCTTTTCTCTCTGGCAAGGTCATCAGTGATGCTTGATATAGTGTCTGCTCCATCAGCTTGGAGTAGTATGGGTCCTAGTATCTATAGCCTCTGAGTTTATAACTTTATAGACCTGAAGTTTCTAGAAATAATAGTTTTGATAGCTCTTAAAAATTAATCTTGTTGAATATACTGAAAACTCTTACAGGTTTTGATGAACACCTGGCTTTATTTTTGCAATGAAGAAAGGTTCTCAACAAAAAATATTCTGCAAAGCAAAGATGCCATCGTCATCTCACTCTCCTATCCCATCATCTATGTCCAATCTGAGATCTAGGTCACTTTCACCTTTGATTGGATCAGAGACTCTACCTTTTCATTCTGGAGGACAGTGGTGTGAGCAAGTTGAGATTGCAGATGAAAACAATATGCTTTTGGACTACCAAGACCATAAAGGTATCACTTTTTAATCTAAGAATTGGTCTGACCACATACTTTAAGTAGAGATGGAAAATTTTCAGCTTGCATTTTTGGTCCAACTGTAAGATTCTGGTACTAATTTGATCTGTTGTTTCTATTAACAGAAACTGTTTAAGGATAGTGGGAGGACTGAGGTTTCTGGGTGAGAGTAAAGATGTCAGTGGATTCAAAGAGGGAGTTTCCAGAAAGAGGAAGCTTTGTTTCCTGTGGTAGGAGAGTGTCTTAAAACTCATACCAAAACTTGCCATCCTCTTTGGTTAAGGGAGGGAAGATCTTTTCACTTCAGAGTGGAGTGCCTTAATTCAGTAAAAAAATGTTTTCCATACTTGGCATATGCCAGTCTTCTTATTGGCAAACTGCTTATCTGTGAATGGACTGATTTCCACATATGGGACATGCGTGTATGTTCCACCAGTGTTTTGTTTTTTTCTTAAAAGCATTCTGTTAGTCTAGGAATCTGTTCTCAAAAGTGCATTGATGGGGGTATAGCTTAGTGGTAGAGCATTTGACTTCAAAAGTAAGTTATTCTTTGGTAAGTCGTAAAATAATAGCCATTAAACTCTAATCATGTTTTATTAGTAAGCATTAACAACATTGGGTTTATGCTATATCTTTACTGCTAGTTGGCATATTATTATTTCTAATATGATTGATATTTTAGAATATTATCAAACTTAGAATATTAATCAAATATTAATTTTCTTTCCCAGAACAAGCCAAGTTAAATTTAAAAATCATTTTATTTTGAACCAAAATAAATTTAATACTAACTTATAAATAATCTTAGGGAATCTTTGACTCACAGCCTGGATCTCAACACAGGATTAATTTTTTCTGACTCATAAGGCAAGAACCAAGAGATGATTTTGTTTTTAGGGCTACTTTTGTAAAATGTAATATGGCATTAACAGTCTTTGACAACAATATCCAGGAACGTTATAAGACCAGATTTGCCATCCCTCAAGTGACTACTCTAGCTCTGTACAATATGTTGTGATTTTCTCTATTTAAAAGAGCAACAAATTTAGAGTTTCTCACCATAAAAAAAGAGGAAAAGATATTTAAGAATTTCAGTGTTTCTGAACTTTAGATTGGAATTTTCTAAAAAACAAACAACTATTACCAGTTTATTTTTAAAAACTAACATGAAAATATTGCTAAAAAAAACTTCATATAGTTAAAAGTGCAAGTTTTATATTCCTCTGACTGGGTTCAAGTTCTGGATTTGTGCCTTAATTAGCTGTAGGATCTTGAGCAAATGATGTTTTTTAAATAAGTGATGATATTAGTAATTTCTATCTCAAAGGTTTGTTGCATAAACTAAATTTTAAAAATGTAAACCATTTAGCCCAAAGCTTGGCACACAGCAAATATTTATAGTGTGTATAACCATTATCATCCTCATTATAGTTATGAAATGCTATGAAGTAAAACATTATTAAAACATTATGATTAGAAATAGCCAGCTTTTCTTGGTATATGCATGGCTTAATTTTTGTTTTTGTTATATAACATCAAAACGACTTGTTCTTTGTGATATTCATGTCTTTCCTCTACTGATGATGATCTGTTTCTGTAATTTCAGGAGCTGATTCACATGCAGGAGTTCGATATATTACAGAGGCCCTCATTAAAAAACTTACTAAACAGGACAATTTGGCCTTGATAAAGTCTCTGAACCTTTCTCTTTCTAAAGATGGTGGCAAGAAATTTAAGGTAGGACCAACAATTTCTGAGCATAGATACTGTTTTTAACTTTTCTGTGCTTTAAAACTGCGAAAAAAAATTATCCTAATGTTGCCTAATTTGTGGCAGACCTTTTATTGTTTCCAGTGAATATTCTAAATCAGAAGTATATGACATCTCCAAATTAATAGGTTTCTATTACTCAATATTCTCTACAATATTGACTCTGTAGAGAAGGAGTTGGCAAAGTACAGCTTACAGGCTAGATCAGGACTGCTATTTCTGTAAGTAAAGTTTTGCTGGAACACAGTCACACTTACTTGTTTACATATTGTCTATGGTTGTTTTTGCACTACAGTAGCAGAGCTTAGTAGTTGCCACAGACTATATGGCCTACAAAGCCAAAAACATTTACTATCTGGCCTTTGTATTAGTTCGTTTTCATGCTGCTGATAAAGACATACCCAAGACTGGGCAATTTACGAAAGAAAGCGGTTTAATTGGACTTACAGTTCCACGTGGCTGGGGAAGCCTCACAATCATGGTGGAAGACAAAAAGGAGCAAGTCACATCTTACATAGATGGCAGAAGGCAAAAAGAGAGCTTGTGAAGGAAAACTCCCCCTTATAATAACCATCAGATCTCATCAGACTTACTATCATGAGAACAGCACGGGACCTGCCCCTATGATTCAGTTACCTCCCACTGGGTCCCTCCCACAACACATGGGAATTCAAGATGAGATTTGGGTGGGGACACAGCCAAACCATATCAGCCTTTTACAGAAAATGTTTGCTAATTTCTGCTCTAGAGTGTTTACAGCTTTATTCATAAACTATACAACATGAACACATTATAATAGACAACTTAATTCCTTTAATTGGAAGAAAAAAACCTTAGATTTCTACCACATATTATTCACAAAAAGTAATTCCAGAAGGGTGAAGAACTAAATGAAAACAAAGCAAAACAAAAACCAACTAGCAGAAATGCTCTAAAAGTATTAGAGAGAGTATATGAGAATATTTAAAAAATCTTAGAGTGGTGAAGTTCCCCCTAAGCAAATACTAACCCTAGTACCACAAAGGAAAAGTATTGACAGATTTAACATGCATAGAGACTTAAACGTTGTGTTTAATGAAAGATGTATTTTAATAAGTTAAAATAAACGCAGCAGCTGGGCACAGTGGCTCACGCCTGTAATCCCAGCATTTTTGGAGGCTGAGGTGGGCAGATCACCTGAGGTCAGGAGTTTGAGACCAGCCTGGGCAACGTGGTGAAACCCCATCTCTACTAAAAATACTGAAAATTAGCCAGGCGTAGTGGCAGGTGCCTGTAATCCCAGCTACCCAGAAGGCTGAGACAGGAGAATCACTTGAACCCGGGAGGTGGAGGTTGCAGTGAGCTAAGATCGCACCATTATACTCCAGCCTGGGCAACCTAGATGTTCATACAGCTGGCTTCCTGTTATTAAGGTCTCAACTTAGTGAGGTCTTCTCTTTTTTTTGAGACAGGGTCTCATTCTGTCCTCCAGGCCGATGCCTTCTGTTACCACCCAATCACAATTAGCCACCCTGTCCTCAGTTGCACTCTCATTCTTTTAGTCAACAAGTATTTAGCACCAGGCAGTAATGCTAGAGTAGTGAACAAAACTGGCGAAATCTGCCATGTTGGTGCCTTGCACTCTGTCACAAGATGTCTTTATTTCCTTGTTAGCACTGTTTATTTTCTGAAGATCTTGTTTGCATATATATATATACACACACACACATATTTTATAGAATTTATAGCAAACATGTTTATATATGCTTAAATATCTACATATTATATAGATTTTATAGCAAACAAGATCTTCAGAAAATAAACTAAAACCATAGCACTACCTTTTGGAAGAAAAGAGGGGAATGAGAGGGAGAGGTATAACAAAACTGAGGTAGAGGGAACGATAGTGAGGGAAATCTTGTTGGATAGTCTTGAGCTTCTTAGTATGTAGACAATGTCATCTACTGAAGGGCAAGGAGAGTTTGGTAGCTTGAGTAGAGTTATTACTCCTAGTCAAGGAGAGCTGCATCAAGGGATTATCCAGAACAGTAAGGGTATATTATTTTCTGATGACTGATCAAACAGTCCCTGATGCACATATGTAAATATTATACTGTATGTCAAGGCATCTGTTGTGTAAAGTATTTATTCATTTGTTTCCAATTAGTATATCGAGAATTTGGAAAAATGTATTAAACTTGAAGTACTGAATCTCAGCTATAATCTAATAGAGAAGATTGAAAAGTTGGACAAGCTGTTAAAATTACGTGAACTCAACTTATCCTATAACAAAATCAGGTGAGTTATATAACAAAATCTTTAGGTAGCATTGTAGGTAGCTTTGTTAGAGAGGTAGATTAATGTTATCCACATTACTGAAAGAATCCTTTGACACAGAAACAGAAGATTTTTTATCTTTATTCATTGATCAAATGAATGTCTATCTCTTCACATATGGTAGGTAACTGTCTTTATGTTTTGGCATTACTGAAGTACAGAATAACATCTAAGCATTATCAAAGAGATATATTTTTGAGCACCAAATTATATCTTAATTTAGTTTATGACAGGGAGTTTTCTCAGATATTGTCTGTGATTTTATTACCTTATTACGTTAAGAATGTTGACATAAAGCAGAATGTTTTAACTTTGCCGTTTTGACCCCCAAGATGTTCTAATCTGTTTTGATTCTGATGTTCTTTGCTCATTGCTACAAGAAATATGCTCTCAATCTTGTTTCCAATACATAATAAATATTACTGTGAGAAATAAATATACTAAAACTGACAGTGGCTAAAACTGCATATAGAAAACTTGTTATAGACAAAATGATACAATAATCAAATCTTGAAATTATTAATATCTGTATGCTTTCCCCCAAGTTAGACTTGGTAAATAGAATGGCCAGGAAAATGAATAGCAATGGCAGAAGTTCTGATATGACAAAACTGAAGTGAAAAAACATGACTAATGAACCAAACCCTTATTATAAAAGTTGTATAAAAAGTTGATTCTGATGAAAATATTTTCAGCAAAATAAAAGTGAAAGTAGAGAAGCTTAGAAATATTTACCTAGTGTAGATAGAAGCTCTGAAGTATTTGTGCAGTATAGAAAATTGGCCAAGGAATTAAATTGACAAATAAACTAGAAGTGACTTGGGAAAAAGCTTCATCAGTCAGAATTCATCATTATGTGTGATACATGCTTTATTTAAAAGTTCTGATTAAATTGCTTATATTCATAAATACAGTATCATCTATGGGCTCCCATATCCTGCTGGCATAGCTAATCTTTTTATGATGACTTAAGGCAATAATTAAGAACATCTTTTGGACAGGAATGTAGCAGATAGCACAGGGTGCTATTGAGTTTCCCAGCTGTCTGCTGGCTGTTTGCTAGTATTGTTCCCAGTAGTTGGTGAGATTGCCATGGACAAATTTTTCTTTTCTATGTTATGGAGTTGCAAAGTCTAATAATAAGATGGATAGGATTCCTGGCATAGTAATAAAAGGTTGGCAGTTTAGCTGTTCTGGTAAATTTGGCTTTAGCCACTTTTCTTTGTTCTCATTTATGAAAAGAGTTGATAAATTATCATTATGAAAAGTAATCTCACATGGAGCTAAGGCTGTTTATTCTAAAAATACAATGAGAGACTCTATAATTATACTTACTAAATTTTATTTTATCCTTTGCTTTCCAGCAAAATTGAAGGCATAGAAAATATGTGTAATCTGCAAAAGCTTAACCTTGCAGGAAATGAAATTGAGCATATTCCAGTATGGTTAGGGAAGAAGTTAAAATCTTTGCGAGTCCTCAATTTGAAAGGCAACAAGATATCATCGGTAAGTTATTCAAAATAGCAGGAATGTTTAGACTTGTTGAAAAATAAAAGATTAAACATATCTAAGTTTTTTAAAAATGGGATTTCTTCTTTTAAAGTTGTAGTCCTTTGTCTAAACACTAGATTCAGACATAGCCCATGATTTTCTAGATTCATTAAATACAGTAGTCCTCATTTTGCATGGGTTCCATAGCAACCAAGAGTTGATCTCTTAGCATTTTTACATTTATCATTTCATGTGAACCTCATAACACTCTTGTTAAGAAAGCGGTACAGGGATTATTTTTCTATTGCTATGAGTTAGGTAGTAACAAGTAGGTCTAGGACAGGTTAAGTCCCTTATCCAGAGTCACATTTTGTGCCAGAATCCAGATCACTGAATGCCTGGAAGAAAGTTCTGGGGTTTTTTTTTTTTTTTTTTTTTTTGACAGTATTAACTTTTAATTTCAAATTTACCAGTTTATTTTGATTATGATGTTAGGTGTTGCAAGAGGTTGATCACTAGCTTTTCATAATAGAGCAACTTTGTTATCATGATTTACATATTTAGATGATGTTGTATATTTTTCTCTGGAGTATAGTTTATGATTTTCTTATGGTATTTATTCACAGCTAGGTATTTAATAAGCATTTGCTTAGTAAAAATGTTAATTTATTTAAATTTGTATTAAAATTGGGAAAACTGTGCTATAATTTAAAGAACATCAGTTGTAGAATAGAAAATGAAAAATGTGACTTCAAAGATGAGTCTCTATAGAATTGCCTTCCATGACCTTGGAGAATTCTTTAATCCCTCTAAAACTCACTGTTTGGGGAAAATAATCCCTATACTGCCTCCTTTACATGGGTATTATGGGGGCTCAGATGAAATGATAGATGTGAAAAATGCTTTAAAAAAAACTTTAAAAAACTAAATAAGTCTAAAGCTATATTCTTTAAGCCTTCACCAGTGGAGGCCAATAAGAAGAAGCAATATTCATTTAATGCCATGTTGTTAACAATACCTATGCTTTCTGATTTTGTCCTGTGACAGTCCAGGAACGTCAGAGCCCAAGCCCAAACCCACGTTGTACAGCATCACCTTGGAGCTGTTGACGCTATGGGATGATGGGAAGAGGTAGCCATAGATCTAAAATTTGCCATAAATATTCCTGAAGTAGTTGATCCTTAGATAGTGTCAACTTAGTGTCAGCTGTGCAATAGGAAAATCAATAAATATTTATTTCTAATTTTGTATGCTGTCCTCACCCCGTTGATATTTGACATTGGCATTATGAAGAGTGCTGCACATTCACTTGGGAGAGAAGATTTATTTGTACTAGCTATTTGGAGTACTGTTTATCAACATTTTTAGGTTGAGAATAAACTATCTGAATAAACTATCAATTATAGCACAGTTATCTGAAGATTTGCCAAAATATTTTTTATAACCATTCATTTTTTTGATTTGTTGAATCAGTATAATGAAAAGACAAAGTTGAGACTTACACGAACTTGAATTCAAATCCTGTTTCATTCACTTACAGGCTTTGAACTCTGGGCAAGTCACCTAACTTCTTTGATCCTGAGTTTCTTCATCTGTAAAATTAAGATGATACGTACATGATAGGTTGTTGTGAGGAGTCATAAATGAAACAGTGTATGGAAAAATGCCTAATACTGCCCAAATACACCATAAATACTCATATACTCCCTTTCCATACTGGAAATACCCAAAAGTATTACCACTACTTTTGGGTAATTGGTTTCATGAGTAGATTCCTTGCCATGTTAAATTTAGTTGATTTGTAACTTCCTTTAGGTATGCTATGATTTTTAAATTACATTATACCAATACTAATGTTATATCATTTCAGCTCCAAGATATAAGCAAGTTGAAACCGCTTCAAGATTTGATTTCTCTGATCCTAGTTGAAAATCCAGTTGTGACCCTTCCTCATTACCTCCAGTTTACCATTTTCCACCTCCGCTCACTGGAAAGTTTGGAAGGTCAGCCAGTAACCACTCAGGATAGACAGGAGGCTTTTGAGAGATTCAGTTTAGGTAAGATTAAACTTAAAAAAATAATAAATTTGGGTGAGGGAGGAATTTAGTTTCAGAAGTTATCTAGAAATATGTATTATGAACTTTATAATGCTATTAAAATGTACACAGGAAATGGCAGCATAAATCAATTCAACAAATATTTACTGAATGTATACTGTGAACCAGGCATTGTATTTGGCACTAAGAATACAATGGGGAGCAAGACATATGGTGCTGGCATCCATGCAGCTTATGTTTTGGCAGAGAAGACAGACAAAAAGCAAATAAATCAGATAAAGTAACAGAGGGGAGCCCTCTTTGTGGCATAGAGGAATGGCTTTCTGAGGGAGTGACATTTAACCTGAAAGCAAAGAGAAGAGAGGGTTAGCCGCGTGAAGAATGGCATTAAGGGGAGGGAGCAGCTTGTTCTTTAGTTCAAAAGACCCTGTGAGTTTAAGGAAGTGAGAGAAAATCAGATAGACTGGAGGACAGCTCAATAAAAAGTGTGTAGACATAGGCAGGTGTGAGGTGGCACAGGGCCTTGGAATTTGTATTTTATTTCAGCTGCAGTGGAAAGCCATTGACAATTTTTTTTTTGAGACACAGTTTCACTCTTGTTGCCCAGGCTGGAGTGCAATGTTGCAATCTCAGCTCACTGCAACCTCCACCTCCCAAGTTCAAACGTTTCTCCTGCCTCACCTCCCAAGTAGCTGGGATTACAGGCACACACCACCACGCCAGGCTAATTTTTAATTTTTAGTAGAGATGGGGTTTCTCTGGTTTCTGTGACAGGGTCAGGCTGGTCTCAAACTCCCAACCTCACGTGATCCACCCACTTCGGCCTGCCAAAGTACTGGGATTACAGGCATGAGCCACTGTGCCCAGCTGCCACTGACAATTTTTAAGCAGGGATAGGACATCATTTTTGATACATAGTAGAATGATTTGGAGCAGGGAAAATGGAGATGAAGGGACCTATTAGGAGGCTAGTGTAGTAATTTAGGCTGGAGTCTATGCCATACCATCTGAATGCAGTCACAAGATCTTGAAAGCTAAGCAGAGTCAGCCCTGGTTAACGCTTGGATAGGAGTGATCCAGGTTAGAAACGTTGATGGCCTGTGCTTAACATGTTGGATGTGGAAATGAAAGATAGATGGATCAGTTTTGAAGGTAGAAGTAGCAGCGTTTTCGAATGGATTGGATAATCCCCAGGCTTTTGGTTCAAGTAAGTGGCTAGATGGAGATATCATTTATAAAAATGAAGAATTCAGAGGTTTGTTTAGGACATATTCAATTTGAAGTGTCTATGAGACAGCTAAGTGGAGGTGTCAAATAAAGAGTCAGAAATGTGAGTCTGGAGTTTAAAGAGATCTGAACTAGCCATACAAATTTTATGCTGAGTCACATCAGCATAAAAATGACGTTAAATTCCATGGAAATCAGCTTACTCAGGCAGTGGCTGGGAGAAAGAAGAAAAGTAGTTGCTAAGGAAGCTGAGAAAGAGAGGCCAGCAAGGTAGAAGAAAACCAGGAAATAGTGGGAAATAGCCCAGAGAAGTTTTCAAGAGAGGAAGTGGTCAACTCTGTTCAATGTTGCTGAGATATTAAGTGAGATAAGCAGAGAAGTGCTTTAGATTGGCAACAGATGATAATGATCTTGACAGGAGTAGTTAAGAAATGGTGGGAACAGAGATTCTGCTCCTCTGGGTTGGAACCCGGGTGCTGCCAAGATGCTGGCTTACCACTCTTCTCTCATGGATCCTGACACCAAACTCATCGGAAACATGGCACTGTTACCTGTCAGAAGTCAATTCAAAGGACCTGCACCCAGAGAGACAAAAGATACAGATATTGTGGATGAAGCCATCTATTACTTCAAGGCCAATGTCTTCTTCAAAAACTATGAAATTAAGAATGAAGCTGATAGAACCTTGATATATATAACTCTATATTTCTGAATGTCTGAAGAAACTCCAAAAGTGCAATTCCAAAAGCCAAAGTGAGAAAGAAATGTATACATTGGGAATCACTAATTTTCCCATTCCTGGAGAGCCTGGTTTTCCACTTAATGCAATTTATGCCAAACCTGCAAACAAACAGGAAGATGAAGTGATGAGAACCTATTTACAACAGCTAAGGCAAGAGACTGGACTGAGACTTTGTGAGAAAGTTTTTGACCCTCAGAATGATAAACCTAGCAAGTGGTGGATTTGCTTGGTGAAGAGACAGTTCATGAACAAGAGTCTTTCAGGACCTGGACAGTGAAGGGAACCCGGGCAGCCACCGTCTCCAGAGCCCTGGGCAGCATTTTCCAGTGAGATGTACACAATCTTTTGCCTTTATTTCGTAAAGTTTTATACAGAAGAGAGAAGAGCATGTCTTTACTTGAAAAACTCTTGATCAGTAATTTGGGTGGGAGACAAGAAAGTGGGTTATCAAGGGTGATTTGAAGTTTTCTGCAGCATTAAGCTGGCGCTTAATAAGTCATAATAAAGAAATTTCTAACATTCCATGTGAAAAAAAAAAAAAAGAAATGGTGGGAACAGATGCTAGATTATAATGGATTGGAGAATGAATAGGAGGGAGACATTTGGCTGGAGATTTGAAATTTTCTCCCACAATGTCTCTTCTAGTACTTAATAAATAACTTTTTAGAAAGATCAAAAATAAAAAATAAAAAATTCACCAGTGGCTTCCAGACCAGGAAATGGGCAGAAACAACAAATGCAGTAAACCTCAAAGCCAGAAAACAAAAAACCAAATGAACAGAATATTCAAAAGCAGAGTGGAGGCCAGGTGTACCGATTTACACCTGTAATCCCAGCACTTTGGGAGGCCAAGGCAGGTGGATCACTTGAGGTCAGGAGTTTGAGACCAGCCTCGCTAACATAGCAAAACCCCATCTCTATTAAAAATACAAAAATTAGCTGGATGTGGTGACGGGCACCTGTAATCTCAGCTACTTGGGAGGCTGAGAGAGGAGAATCACTTGAGCCTGGCAGACAGAGGCTGCTGTGAGCTGATGTCGTGCCACTGCACTTCAGCCTGGACGACAGAGCAAGACTCTGTCTAAAAAAAAAAAAAAAAGCTGAAAGCAGAGTGGAGAAACAAGACATGGCTCGATTCTTTTGGTTCTTGAGAAGACAAAAGAATGAGATTAGAGAAAAAAAGGAAAAAATCATCCCTTTGGTAGGAGTGACACTTTCTCCTTCAGAAAGGAGTGAAGATATGTGCAGGTGTGGGTAGTTTTGTTGCTGTGGTGGTGGGAAAATAGGGAATTCTTATTGATGGGGTCATTTTCTTAATTAAATGTGAGATCATCAGGTGAGAGAGAAAATAAAAGAAGGGGCATGGGAAGTTTGAGAAGAAAGAGGAAGGTATGAGCTGGGCGCGGTGGCTCACGCCTGTAATCCCAGCAATTTGGGAGGCCAAGGCGGGCGGATCACGAGGTCAAGAGATCAAGACCATCCTGGCTAACACGGTGAAACCCCGTCTCTACTAAAAGTACAAAAAATTAGCCGAGCGTGTGGCAGGCGCCTGTAGTCCCAGCTACTCAGGAGGCTGAGGCAGGAGAATGGCGTGAACCCAGGAGGCGGAGCTTGTAGTGAGCAGAGTTCATGCCACTGCACTCCAGTCTGGGCAACAGAGCAAGACTCTGTCTCAAAAAAAAAAAAAAAAAAAAAGAGGAAGGTATGAAATAGCCAATTTAGAGTGTTGGGAAATGAGCCTATATGTTCATTTGAAATTAGTGTTAGTCTGTTTTGATCTGCAAAACTGGCAATTTCATATGATTTGATCCAATACTGGACAAATGTGGCAAGTTTTTATTAGTTTGGAATCTCCCTAACTCAACATTTGTTATTCTGAAGTTTATGTTTTGGAATCATTAAAAATATTAATAATGCAAAGGAAAGTCATCTAGATAACTTTTGGGGAAAATGGTTAGACTACTTATGGTTTCTTCATGCCTTCAGATATTAATTAGGAGACTTTAATGTGCTAGGCTCTTAGGATCTAGTCTAGGTGAGCCAGATAGATGTAATTTCTGCTTTTGTGACGTTTTAGTGGGGGAAGGCAGACAGCTAAGCTATTTGATCACATTTTACAACTCCCTGTGTGACAAGGGCCAAGCAGAATTTCAGGGTAGCGTGGGAGCATACTTCAGAATCATCTAACCTGGCGACAGGATAGGGCCTGGGCAGGCTTCTCAATATATTTTTTTTAAAACTTAAGACCTGGAGGATGCAAAATAGCTCAGTAGGAGGTAGAGGAAGACAGTTCTAGGGAAAGTGTGTGAATAAAAGCCTATAGGTGAGAAGAGGCATCAAAAATCTGAAGAAATGGGATCACTTTAAGAAAGCTGCAGTAGAGTATGCTTGAAGATGAGGCAGAAGAGGGAGGTTGAGTCTAAATTATGAAGAGCTTTATCACCTTTTTGCAAGCCTGTTGGATCTTATCCTAAGAGTAACAGAAAGCCATTGAATAATTTTAAGATAATACAAAATTTTGCAAATATGTTTGCAGCATCCTTTTAAATGTAATTACTAATGTCAGATCAAATATTGCATGTTTTTCAAAGGTCACCTAGAAAAAAACTCATTTATCAGCACACTAATTGGATTAAATACTTGGAAGTAAAGTATTAATCTTTTAAAAATGTCATCAAAATGATGTCTTCTTGCCTCGTAATATAAATCAATTTCAAGATCAGGATAGTCTTTTTTCCAAAACCGTAGTGGCTAATTTTAAAAGTAGAATTGTGTTTATGATATTTTTAGCCTTCTTTTGCTATTGAGAAATATTCTTATCTTTTTAAAAATAGGAAATATAATGATAAATAAACTATTAAATTTTCATTGACAGAAGAAGTAGAAAGACTGGAAAGAGACCTAGAAAAAAAGATGATAGAAACTGAAGAGCTTAAGAGCAAACAAACAAGGTTTCTTGAGGAAATTAAAAATCAAGATAAATTGAACAAATCATTGAAAGAGGAGGCCATGTTACAGAAACAGAGCTGTGAGGAACTCAAGAGTGACTTAAACACAAAAAATGAATTGGTAAGTTCATATTTTACATTGCTTTGGCTGTATTCTCTTAAGACAGATAATTCTTTGCCCTTGGGTCTAAAAATACAACTTCCTGACCATATAATGGGGAAGATGTGGTTTAACAGAAATATGTGTGAAAGGCTTATGAATTGCAGTTGACTGTGTACTGGATGATATGGCTTCCCAAAAGACTGATGGGATCTTGGGCTGCATTATGTACTCCTAGACATTTGTATTTTTTAAAAACAACATTGTAGGTGAGGCTAGGCTGTTCATTGGCAAAAACATTTAGAAGGCAATCTGGCAAAATTATCCAGATTTTCGTGAGTTATAAGTCTTTTTGGACATGGAATCCATCTTTTATTACTAAGATAAAATAACTTTATAATATCTTTATGCTGATTCCCTGGTGCACGTTAGTCAGCCCATTGAAAACCTTGGCAAAATATCAGACCTTAAGACTTTCCACTATCCCAAAACTATGAACTGTAGTTGCCTAGTTTTCTCTTTTGCTTATTTATAATGTTATTGATATGTTTGTGCTGTGAATAAATGTTTTGTAAACTGTCAGAAGTTTTTGCTTTTTTTTCTATACCTATTTTTGTTAGAAGTCAGACTGTGCTCTTCTCTATGTCATTGTTATTTTTATCATTAACCATTTAAAAACATGTTTATGCCAGTCTCACGCCTTTAATCCCAACACTTTGGGAGGCTGAGGCGGGAGGATCACTTGAAGTCAGGAATTCAACATCAGCCTGGGTAACATAATGAGACCCTGTCTCTACAAAAATAAAAATAAAGTAAAAACACATTTATATACAAAATTAACGTATGTTCATTGTAACAAATTTAGACAACACAACTGTATTTAGCAGAAATGAAAGTCCACTCTTCCCTACCCCATTCCCCAGATATTAATATTTTGTTTTCCATGCTTCTTACACAGTATACATGTGATTACATAATGTATGTATAATTATGCATATTATACCTTTGAATATTTTTGTAATTAAAAAGAATGTTACTGTATATAGTCATTCCTCTGTATCTGTGTACCAGAATCCACGGATGCTCAAGTCCTTTATGTAAAATGGTGTAGTATTTGCAAGTAACCTTCATACATCCTCTAGTATACTTTAAAATCATTGCTAGATTACTTATAATACCTAAGACATTGTAAATGCTATATAAATATATTGTTTAGGAAATAATAAGAAAAAATATCTATACAGGTTCAATACAGATGCAACTATCCTTTTAAAAAATATTTTTAATTTGTGGTTGGTTGAATACACAGATGCAGAACTCACAGATATGGAGAGTCAACTGTATATTATTATTCAGCATCTTAACTTTCACAAAACAGCATACATGGACAGCTCTCCAAGTTAAAAAATATATGTACCTGCATATATAAAGCTTTCTCACTCTTTTTAAAGTCTGTGTTGTGTTCCATTAAATGTATTCTTCATAATTTAGTTAGCCTATTCCTACTGATGGATATTTAGGTTGCTTTCACATTTTTTGCTATTAGAGACAGTACTACAGAGAAAATCTGTGTGTGTGTGTGTCTATATATACCTTATGCATTCATACTAGTATTTCTTTAGCATAAACCACTAGAAGTGGAATTACCATGTAATTTGCATTTAAAATTTTGATAAATGTTAATGCACACTTCAAAAACTTGTAACCAATTTACATTTCCACAGCAGGGAAGAAAGTACCCAATTTCCAAGTGGGTATTATTATTTTTTATTTGTACATATGGTAGAAAAAAATGGAATCTTGTTTTAATTTTGAATTTTTATAGTTGTTGGAGCATTGAGTATTGCATATATATTTATTGGCTATTTTGTATTTCTTCTTTAAATTACCAGTTCATATTGATTCTGCCTATTCTGTTAGTCCCAAGGACTATTAGATGCCTAAAATAATTCTGGGTCTTATTCTAAGAGCTTATATTTGAAAACATTTTTATTATCTTTTGCAGAATATCTAATGATAATATCATCTGCAATTATGTGAAGTTTTCCAGTTTAAAAAAGTAATTGCTTATGCATTAGGCCAATTAATGTCTAAAAGAAAAGCAGCATTGAAATAAGTCTTCTGGTGGCCATTTAAACCGTAGTAGTCCTGTCCTGCCACCAATAAATATTAACCAAATTTACTCTTTGTCTTTTTGCAAATTATTTAATTCCTGTGCTTCAGTTTAGTTATATTTAAAATGAGGGCTATTTACCTGTCCTGCTAGCCTCACAGAATTGTGAGGATTTAATAAGGTAATGAGTGTGAAAACAATTTGAAATGAATCAAGCTAAGTAACGGAAGGTAGTAAATCTGTAACTCAGAATGGCAATAAAATATGTCCATGTAAGAATAATGCCAATACTAAAAGCCAATGTCTTCCTATGGTAAGTTTTCAGTAAAGAGCAACTTGTATTATTACAGTTTAATTCTCCAGGTGACAGTATCTGTTTGCTTCTTTAGCCCTTGTCTTGGTTTCTTGCAGGCCCTTTTCTGCTGATTCTTTATTCTTCCTTAAAGGTAGTTCTTCCAGGCCTGAACTGCATACTATGTTTTTCAGGGTTTGCATGATAACTTGCATTAATATGCTTGCTTACATTTTAAGTTTTGAAACTGGCTTGTCTTCTTGGGAAATGTGGTTGTGTGTGTATGAATTTTTTTTTAAATGGATGTTTATATAGGAGAGCAAACTTGAATGTGGGGGAAAGAATTATTTTTCTGATTGGTAAATATGTTACCTGCAGTCAACTCTTGATTATCCACAGCCAATACTGCGACTAGCCTACTTTCCAGTTCATTTGACTTCTATTTTGCTTTTATTCATGAATTTCTTCAACAGACATTTATTGAGTGCTTACTATATGCTAAGCCTAGGGCTTATAAAAGACACAAAATGCACAAAAGACACAAAAGACTTTGAAATGCACAGCCTATTTATTATTATTTGCCTGCAGAGACCAGTTGTATTCTCTATGATTCCAGTCACATTTGCCTTTTGTTTGCCACTATTGCCAATGAGTTTTGAGGAGAGAACCCAAGATTAGTTGACAGTGTTGATTGTGAGTTGCTTTCTTGAGACTTGGAGACTTATGAGCATTCAGTGAAAATATCAATGTGGGTAATGTGCTGGACACCCTGCAGCAGTACATTGAAGGCAGCGTGGAGCAATAGGCAGTATTGGATTTGAAATCAGGAGACTTGGAATTGAATTCTGCCTCTTCCACTACCAGCTGTGAAACTGGGCAAGTTATTTAACTTTGCTGTGCAGCTTTTATCATCTTATTGGGTGGTTGTAAAGATTCAGTGCAATAACATATGCAAAATGCTTAGCACAACGTCTGGCACACATTGAGTATTTGGCTAAATGTTACCCGTTGTCTAGGCTGTTACTTCCATTTTGATGGATAATCAGGAGGTGACTGTGAGCTAAATCATGCACGACTTTGATTTCTTGGGCCGTGTAAAATGTTTGTGTTTGTTTATGTTTTATTCTCTTCAGCTTGCATTTTTATATTAATGAAATTTTTCTGCATGTTTTTTCTTTGATATCTACCATCAGACACTGGCCAGAAAAAAGACAAAAATCACTTAGTGGATCTTTGAAAAAACTCAAAGTTTGGTTTAGTAGAAAGGAGCTAGTACTAGTAGTAAGTTAATAAAATATTTAGTTTCTGACACTAATCTAATATGTAACTTTTGACAAGTCAGTTCACCAATCTGAGACTTAATTTCTGTATTTATAAATTCAGAGAATTAGATTGGATCATTTGCCTTTTGCAAGCTCCAAAAATTTCTAAGAATAAAAAGTTATAGTAGAATTACTTTATTAAAATTGAATATTATGTATTTGGATCCCTTATTCTTTATGACATCCCTTATTCTTTATTACACATCCCTTATTCTTTATTACATCCCTTATTCTTTATTACAAAGAATAATGTTCTGAACACTTAAAACTGTGATGCCATTAGCCACAAATACTATAGCAACGACAGTATGACAATTCAAACCAAGCTCTTATTTTCATCTTTCTGATTCCTCTTTATTTCTCTGCAGTTAGTGTCAGTTATCATTTTCCCTTATAATTTGAAACTATTGTTAAAGTCGGAAAGTCAGTTAAAGAAATTAATTTCTTTAGTGCTAATTATTGGAAAATCAGGAAGTACGTATTAGTCCAGTTACACAAAAATAATTGATACAAAAATATTTTCATGTTTAACAAACATAAGAGATTTTAAAAATCATTATTCATTATATCCTGAAACAGCTTATAAACTTCAAAGGTCTTTTACATGTTCTCTTATGGAATGATAATTTTGTGTTTCATTTTTTATAATTTAGAAGTAAGATAAAATGTTCTTAGTGTTGTGCAGCTTACTGTGGAGTTTTTAAACCTATATAATTATTACTTATGATGAGAACTTAACCATATCGTCACATCTTTATACTAACTTACTGATCCTATATGTTGTCTCATATCAAATTTGGCCAATAGCTAAAACAGAAGACCATAGAACTAACACGAGCATGTCAGAAGCAATATGAGCTGGAACAGGAATTGGCCTTTTATAAAATTGATGCTAAATTTGAGCCACTAAATTATTATCCATCAGAGGTGAGTTATTTTAATTTTTTAGTAATCCAAAGTTAAAAGCCTACATGGGATGGAATGGGGGAGGGTAGGTGGTGAGGACATGTAAGGGATTTCATCAGATATCATTCCACTTTCTTGTTATGAGAGGAGTAAACTGTATTTTGGTTGAATCTATGAATTATTTGGCTCAGGGAGTTAGAACAGTATCCTAAAGAGGTAAAAAATCTTTGCTCATAGCCATATCCATTACCAAAAGCAGTCGTCTAACTCTCAGCTATCTTTCCCAGGTGTATGGGTTGATCAGTTCCCTTAAATCCAGACGTCTGGGATAAGTGCTTCAGTACCATGGAATAGTCATCTCCTTACATGGTGTGTTCAGTAATCACTGGGTTCAATATTAGTCAGTCATGATTGGTACAAATGCCATAATGTCACTGCAAGTGAGGAAATGCCAAACTTCTAAGACCCAGTGATTCCAACCAATATCATATGATATTTCATTTTTAAAACTTCAATTATTAAAATGTATTGTACTGATGGCTGCATACCATGTATCTGAAAAAAAAAAATAGACTGAGATTTTACTTATATGAGCCAAGAAACCAAAATAAAACACCCATATTTCCAATTTGAGAGATCAAGCAGTGCTAAAAATCACATAACTGTAGGCAGTTCTTTAATCAATCAGTCCAAACTTTCACTCTTCAGTGGTAGGAGGAAGAATTCTTTTGAGACCATTTTTAGTTTAATTTCCTTTTTGGTATATTAAGAAGAAGATAAAAGAATAATATATATCTTTCAGCTTCTAGGCATGTAGGATTTATATAACTTGAGCAATTCTGTGATATGTTTGCCACTAAATAAAATGAATAATGTAGTTTGACTGCTTGGAGGTCACTTATTAAACCATAAGTCTATTATTTTGCTTTTAGTATGCTGAAATTGATAAAGCCCCAGATGAAAGCCCTTACATTGGCAAATCCAGATACAAGAGAAATATGTTTGCCACAGAGAGTTATATTATTGATAATGCTCAGGCAATACAGATCAAGAAGATGGAGCCAGATGAACAACTTAGAAATGATCACGTGAACTTGAGAGGCCACGCACCGCTGGACAGGCAACTGGAAGACAAAGAAAAAAAAATAAGTGCAGGTTAAAAAAAGTTATTTTTAAAATTCTTTTAAAAAATGTAAAAACATTGAATATGTAGGCCAATTTTGTTTTATAGCTTTTTTTTTTTTTTTGAGATGAAGTCTTGCTCTGTCGCACAGGCTGGAGTGCAGTGCAATGGTGCAATTTCAGCTCACTGCAAGTTCCTCCTACCGGGTTTACGCCATTCTCAGCCTCCTGAGTAGCTTGGACTATAGGCACCTGCCACCACGCTCAGCTAATTTTTTTGTATTTTTTTAGTAGAGACAGGGTTTCACTGTGTTAACTAGGATGGTCTCAATCTCCTGACCTTGTGATCCACCCGCCTTGGCCTCCCAAAGTGCTGGGATTACAGGCATGAGCCACCGCGCCCGGCCCTGTAACTCCTTTAATTGAACATGTTGATGGTGTTGTTTCCATGAAAAGTCTAAAACAAAAGTAGTGATTATCAAGCAGATATATCGAGCATTTATTTTGTAATGATTCCTGTTATGGTTAATAGAGTTTTGGCAGTAATTTGATGGCAACATGTCCAGGGGATTCAAGAATGAGTAAATCCCCTCTTTCAAATAAGCACTGGAACTATATATTCAAAGTCACAATTAGTAATAACTGAAGCAAGTAAAGAACCACTTGATTGATTACTATGCACGTAGCAAAAACCTAAAGCAATGCTTTGTATAAGCTGGAACAGAACATTCTCCTCAGGCCTGGGTCTAAGGGTAGCCTCTGACTTTTCCTGACATGCCCCACGCCCCACAATCTAATTCAAGGGATCTTAATACCTTCTGGCAAGTCACGTAAAGGAAGAAGTCAAGACGGGGGCACTTTAGAGACCCTGCCAACGACAGACTTTGAATCTACTTACCCACTCAGCTGCGTGGATATGGAAGAAAGAGAACCCTTACCGGGATTTGTGCATCCCCCTAGCATTATGGCCCACTGTGGTGCTCTCAATCACACCAGCAGCTTATCTTTCCTTGACTGGTAGCTAAATGGAAGACATGGAAGGCAAATAGAAGTTGACTTGGTGAAGGAAGAGAAGAAACTGAGTTATTCATGTCTACCTATACTGTATGCAAGTCTCTGGGGGAAAGCAAAAATAAATCAGATTTTTGTGCAGACTAGCTTTAAAGGGGCTGACTCAGTTTTATAGGGGAGAGGGAAAGAGAAATCTTAAATTTGAGGTGGAAAATAATTGATTTGAGATCATCTACAGCTGGGAGAGAGAGCTCAGTAGTGAATTTCTTGATATTGAATCCCATCGTAAAGCATTTCCCTCTAACACAAGGTTTTATGGGTTATTTTTAATACCCTGAACCTAATTATAACTTAGTGACATGTAAAGCGCATATTTCCCAATAAAAGTCTTATTCTCTAGTAAAAAGGGTTTACTGGTGTTGGGAATAGCCCCTTTCATGTTAAGAATTTTACAAATAAAAGGATCGATTGTAGTTCTATACCAGCCAGGCGCAGTGGCTCATGCCTGTAATCTCAGCACTTTGGGACGCTGAGGCGGGCGGATCATGAGGTCAGGAGATCGAGACCATCCTGGCTAACACGGTGAAACCCCGTCTCTACTAAAAATGAAAAAAAATGAAAAAAAAAAAAATTTACCGGGCATGGTGGCAGGCACCTGTAGTCCCAGCTACTCAGGAGGCTGAGGCGGGAGAATGGCGTGAACCCCGGGAGGCGGAGCTTGCAGTGAGCTGAGATCGTGCCACTGCACTCCAGCCTGGGCAACAGAGCGAGACTCCATCTCAAAACAGAACAAACAAAACAATTAGAGTTCTATACCATATCATGAAACAGTTTATTTTAGAGCTTAATTAATAGACAAAAGCCAATCATAAGTAATTACTTAAAAATTTTTTTGTGATGTATAATGACAGTTTAATAGAGAGGGGAGAAAGATATTACAAAGAAGGAATATCTGGTAGAAATTTCAGAATTCAATATTTTTCTTGTTTCATATTATGTGAGCATGGTTTTTAAATTTGCAGCACAAACTCGACTATCAGAACTGCATGACGAAATAGAAAAGGCAGAACAACAAATTTTGAGAGCTACTGAAGAATTTAAACAACTGGAAGAAGCTGTACAACTAAAAAAAGTATGTAAAAGCAAAGCAGCAATGCTAAGAGGAAATGAAAAATGAAACGTGTTTTTCCCTTCATAACCATATAAAACAATTTAAAAAGCAGTTAGCTGCCTAATTAATTATGGGATAATAAATTCCACAGTCAAATATGGTTCTAGAATTTGCCAGTTGTAATTTTCTTCCATTTATGATGACATCCAATTAGCAATTTATTAATAAATAAATTACTTAATTTTATGTAAAAAGGTGTAGTCTTGAGAAGTTGCTTCCTGATGTATCTCTTCTAATTGAATTAAGCACTCTCCACCTTTAAGATCCTGGGACTTAGATTAAGAACCAGGAGATATCTCTGCTATTACATGAACATTGTCATCAAACACACGCCAAAAAAAAAAAAAAAAGAGATATGTAGTATACAAAAAGATTGAAGTAACATATTCTCAAAAATTACCAAAGTGTGTTGTAAAGTAAGCAAGTAAGCAGCTCAAATCCATGATGTAATTGCATAGGGGAAAAATTCAAAAAAAAGGAAGTAGCGTGACATTTTAGTTTTTAAGTGGGTAAAAAGATTTTAGTTATTTATAACTTTTAAAAATCAGTATTTAAAAATTATGATGGTAACTACATTCATATCACAGTAGGTAGAACAACAATGTGAAGTCCAAATTGTAGATTCTTTTAAAAGATACACTGTATTGTTACTTTCAGATTTTATACTAAAACTAGAAATTGACTCAAGTTTATTGGAACCTTACTATATGTCAGTCACTGGGCTGGGCGCTGAGTAATGAACAAAATAGACATGTGTCCCTCTCATGGACAGACTTGTGGGGGAAATAAGACAATAAATAAACAAAAAGGAAAAAAATATTTATTTTTAAAAAAGGAAAAAAGTTAAACAGCATCAGTGTTGTAAGAAAAAAATAGAAAACTAGGGGAGATGTTAAAAGAGATACACTTTAGATTGTGGGGATTCACAAAGGCCTCTCTGAGGAGGTGACAGGCTAATATACAAAGGATGAGAAGGAGCCAGTGAGGCAGAGCTGGCAGAAAGTATTCCATGCAGAGGTGACAGTGTGTACAAAGGCCTTCAGACTAAAAAATTTCTCTGCAGAATAAGGGAGAGTGTAAAGGAAGATGAAGTTAAAGAGTCATGAGGTTAAAGATCATGCCAGGCTTCATAGGCAATTTTATTTTTATTTTTATTTTTATTTTTGAGACAGGGCCTTGACTTCCTGGGCTCAGGTGGTTCTCCCACCTTAGCCTCTGGAATAGCTGGGACTACAGGCATGTGCCACCACTCCTGGCTAATTTTTTGTATTTTTTTTTGTAGCGGTGGGGTCTTACCATGTTGCCCAGGCTGGTCTTGAACTCCTAGGCTCAAGTGATCTACCTGTCTCAGCCTCCCAAATTGTTCATAAGCCATTTTAAGAAGTTTGAATTTTATTTTGCATGCAATGGGAAATATTTGAAGGGCTTTAGATAGTTGAGTGGCTGATCCTATTTGTCACTTTGCCTTACTTCATGAAGAGTGAAATGGACTGAGTGAGATAGAAGGAATGGGGTTGTGTGCATCTGTATCTCTCAGGAGGCTGTTGTTCAGTACAGGCAAGAGATGATACTAGCACCAACCAGGAAGGTGCTGGTGGATGTGGAGACAAAGCCAACTGATTCCAGGAAACATTGGACAGTAGAACTGACAGGACTTAATGATGGGTTGAAAGTAGGAAATGAGGTAGAGGGAGCTATCAAGATGGTTTTAATAATTTAAAAAGAATATTTTATAATAGCACTGGCCAAAGCTTTACATAGATAGATGTAAATAATGTACATAATTTTAAAAGAAATGGATACTTCCAAAATATGCTTAGAAAATAGTTATTTAAGTGAGTTAATATTAATAGTTAATAATAGTTAATAAATAGTTAATAAGAAAGTTAATAGCCTAAGTTTTTGTTTATACTGTTCACTTACTTGACATGCTAACAAAGGTAAGCTTCAGCTGGGTTCTAATTAAGTGAAATAAAAATGTAAATTTAATGAGAGTTTGCTGTATTTTGAAATTATTTAGTGTGAGATAATTGTCCAGTGAACATGGAATTCTAAAATTTTTTCCTGATTATAAAGGTATTGCAGTTATGGGGAATTACGTAGTAATCATCATTATTTTATTTCTTTTCAGTCTTTTATCTTCATCTTTTTTACACTTCTATACAGACTCTTGAGAAATTTTTACATTTGTTTAAATCTATGCTAAAAACTGTTAGAAATAAGAGATAGAGTATTAATTATTACTTCTATATCAGTACTCAATTTATTGGTTGATTGTCTTCACATTAAAACTAATTAGGAAACTGTAGTGTAGTAGTCAGTGAAATTGTCTAGAGTCACACAAAGTCTTGCTTCCACAAACTCCTAGTATGACCTTGGGCGAGATATTTAAATTTTCCATGATTCAGTTTCCTTATCTATAAAATTGGGATAATTATACTTTTTACCTTTTATGTTTTGAGGATTAGATTAAAGGATATAAAGAGTTTAGAACAGTGCATGGCCCATAGTAAGTGCTATATGAAGCCAGCTATTATTAATACTATGTTTATTATTGATAATTTACAAGTTGCCTATACTATTATAGAATGACTACTTATGTGTGCTTACTATTAATAGTTTTCATAAACTTTTATAAAGTATGATTTTCTACATATAATAAGCATAAAAGTGTAAAATATGCATGGAGTGCTTAGATAACTCGCACATTTTACTTTTATTTTTAAAAAACTGATAGAACATAGAATACTTATTAAAGACATTGTCTTAATAAATCAATGTTGCTCTTCTCTGTTAATTTTATATTGGGGTTTGGGGAGATTAGATTTCAGAAGCAGGGAAGGACCTTCTTTACAAGGAGTTGAGTGGTAGACTACAACTTGTAAATAAATTACGCCAGGAAACTCTGGATCTAGAACTGCAGATGGAAAAGCAAAAGCAGGAAATTGCCGAAAAGCAGAAGGAGATTAAGGACCTGCAAATAGCCATAGATAGCCTGGATTCCAAAGACCCAAAACATGTGAGTAAATTAAGAAATTTTTTGTTCTCCCTACATATTACATGTCTCATCATTGTTAGCATCAGAGTCCAGAGTCCTTTCTGAAAGTCTGTTTTAGTTTGATGTACAAATTTAAGTGATACACATATACAGTCAGCCCTCCATATCCATGGATTCTGCATCTGTGGATTTAACCAACTGCAGATCACGTATCTTAGGAAAAAAAGGATGGTTTTATCTGTACTGAACATGTGCAGACTTTTTTCCCCTTGTCATTATTCTGTAAACAAGACAGTATAACAACTAGTCACATAGCATTTATACTGTATTAGGTATTATAAGTAATCTAGAGATGATTTTAATATATAAGATGATGTCCATAGGTTAAATACAAATATACCATTTTATAGAAGGGAACTTGAGCATCAGTGGATCTTGGTATCTGCAGGGAATCCTGGGACCAATCCCCCATGGATACCGAAGGAAAACTGTACATATATGTGTGTATATATAATGTATGTATGTGTATATGTATGTGTGTTATATATAAATATATGTGTGTGTATATATACACACACACATATATATGGAATGTGTATGTTTAAAACAAAACAACCTAGGGCTTGAAGAGAAGGTGGCTTTCAGTAAATGATGGCCACATGGCATAATTATTTATTTTTAAGTGGTTGAATTTCATTGCATTGCAGAGCAAGAGAGATTTGCTCTCTCCCTCCTTTCCTTTTTTTCATCTTTCTTTCTTTTTTTTTTTTTCTTCTTTTTTTTTTTTTGCTCTGTCGTCAGGCTGGAGTGCAATGGCACAATCTTGGCTCACTGCAACCTCCGCCTCCCAGGTTCAAGTGATTCTTCTGCCTTAGCCTCCCGAGTAGCTGGGACTACAGGCACCAACCACCATGCCTGGCTAATTTTTGTATTTTTAGTAGAGACAAGGTTTCACCATGTTGGCCAGGATGGTCTCGATCTCCTGACCTTGTGATCCACCCACTTCAGCCTCCCAGAGTGCTGGGATTACAGGCGTGAGCCACCACGCCTGGCTGAAGCGATTCTCCTGCCTCAGCCTCCTGAGTAGCTGGGATTATAGGCGTGCACCACCACGCCCAGCTAATTTTTGTATTTTTAGTAGAGAGGGGGGGTTTCTCCATGTTGGTCAGGCTGGTCTTGAACTCCTGACCTTCTGATCCGCCTGCCTTGGCCTCCCAAAGTGCTGGGATTACAGGCGTGAGCCACCACGTCCAGCCCTTCATCTTTCTTAAGAGCAGAAAAAGCTGAAGGGGGTTCCGAGTCCTTTTTCTACCTCTTCTATTTAATCCTTTATGCAAATATTCCACTGAAGGTATTTGTTTTTTCGTATTGTTTTGTTTTGTCCTTAAAAAAGGAAACATTTCTCTGGAATGTTTCTTCCTGAGATATGACTAGATATGGTCAGGTGGCTGGATACGGCCAAGCCCTTGTCTCTGTCTCTACTCTAAGAAGTTGTACTAATTGCTTATATTTTAGCTAATACTCCTAAAATACAAGGAAAAATATCTTCTATGTATTTTCCTGGTATACCTTGAATAATAGAGTTTTTTTTTTTTTTAAAGAACTCTAAGATCTCTGGATTAATAGAAATCATAGAATTTAACATAGTGAGGATATTGTAATTGCTTTAAGTACTTGACAAGTTATTTAACTATTCCTTTAAGCATTTTAGTACAATATCATATATATTTTTTGTGGGCCAGCTAATTTCGATAAAGGATAACCTTATGACAGATATAAGGTCTTTTCTAACAAAAGCCTAAAAATTGAAACCAAAGTATTAACATTGAAACCAAAAGTAGTCTTGATTATTTTAAATAATTTTAAGGAAAAATGGGGTATTTTAAGTAATGTATAATGTGGTCAATAATATCTTACTTTATTGAATGTATTTGTTCAATCTCACCCATGTAAGGCCCCTGAAGACATGAACTGTATCCTACGTATCTGTATTCCCAGGGACCAACCAGCCCTGTGTTTATGAATGCTTGCATCATGGAAGGGAGGAAGGAAGCAGCTTATAAATCCTACCCAAAACTCCTTTGCTTCCCCTTCCAGTTTTGTGATCTATGAGTCTAATTAGTAGCTGGATTATGTGTTTGCTTTCAACAAATGACTGTTATAGTTCTGGCGGACGAGAGTTCAGTTCGCACTGGATTTCTGTAGAGAATTATATATAGAAAGGAGGTAAATGAGACATGGGAATGGTATCCAAGTTTTAAAGTTAGCTAAAATCAACCTGTGCAGTGGGGATGAAACATACAAACCAGATTTGAATTTCCTTTTTAATTTTATTAAAACTGCTAATAGTTCTTAAGTTTGCAGCCGTAGTCCCAGCATCAGAGGACATCTCTTTTAAGTTTATCCAGAGGGAACATCTTTTTCTGATTCACAAAGTTTCATATTGGCTAGTGTTTGGCATCCCATTTTAGGCTACAAAATGTGAGCCTTTAAGCAGAAGAGAAATAATCAAGAGTGGGATGCCTGCATATTTTTCTATAGATATAGGTAGACTTTTATGTAATTAATTTTTATGTAATTAGATGAACTATCTTTCTGAATAGCCAATAGAATTTAAAAGTAAAAGCTTAACTTTGATGAGAAATCATAGAAAACAAACATATTAAGTGCCCACAATGTGTCGTACATTGTGCTGTATTTTACATGTTCTGGTGAGGAACTTTATTCACATCTAGCCATTTTTCTTTCAATTTGAAGAGGATGAAAATGTGATATAGAAATATTAAGTGATTTGCCCCCAAGTCATTGTTTTAGAAAGAGGTGGAGCCCTTGCTTATGCTACCACAATGACCCTCTCCTCACAAAGCGATTAAAGGTCTAAAGAGATTATTTTTAAATTAGCTCAGAACTAAGCCTAGGCAGATTTTCAGCAAATATAAGCATTTAACTAGGTTTCAAATTCACAGACTATTGTAGTTATGAAATTATTCATAGAAGCACAAATTATCACTGGAGCAAACATAATGAAGATTTGTATTGTGTTTCTCTGATTGGTAAATGCCCCATTGGAAGCAAAAGTTAACTGTTCGCTAGAGGGAACGAGCTGTAGTGATCTGTTGCAAAGTTTGGGCGTGATTGGCCCCCGGGAGCTTCCTGTGTTATGATTTAACTCGCGGAGGGTGGGGCCTGCCCGCAGAGGCTGCTGGTGATTGGATGGGCGGGGCCGCTGCTCACTTTTGGCCAAGAATGTGGTTTGAGGCTCTGCGAAGTTACAGAGGCTCGGAGGCGCTTGCGAAAATGTGGCTGTCAGAGAGGGAAGTGCACATGAATTTGAAGACAGCATTAGAAAGTGTTCCGCCCACAGTTTCTCTGTTCTCAACGGCTCAGTTTTAACAGGATAAATTTTAAGGTATGATCATTTTTTCTGTCTGTGTACAAAGGACTTAAAAGGAGGAGGAGTCAGAGATGTAAGTTCCTGTTTTTACAATAACTCTTTTGTGAGCTCCTCGGTGATGTAAACCGCAGAATCTACTTTTGTTCCCCTGTATTTAATGTACACCATTGGCATATTGAATCAGATTTTTATCCTGCGTATAAAGGTTTCGCTGGAATTTTTAATGGTGAATTTTAAAGATTTATTGATATGAGTATAGTCTTTTAAGAAATTATTTCTTGAGCCATAAAAATCTGAAATTTACTTAGAATGTAAGCTGTTATATGTAGTTAACTTTTCAGAAAGATTTCAAATGGGTATTTTGGGAGTGTAGGGAAAAGAGTTTGCAAAATACCATAAAGCTTTACCAGTAGTAAATTTAAGACCTTCCAATTAAGCTGCCATTCTTTTGTTCATCAGAAATGAAAAGATGTTTTTTCTTGTATTTGGGGTAAGCAAATACATAAAATTGAGAAATATTATTTTATCATCACATGGGTCTTAGACTTGAGATCACTGGTGTTCATTTTTCTGATACAGTTCCCTCTTTCGATAACGTCTTCATTTATTGTTGTATTCCTCTCATCCTGTGGGTACCAACTTAAGAGTCATGAAGGTGTGAGTGGGAGGGCAAAGGTTCTCTGGGGAATTATTTTGTCTTCATATGAACAGTTGCCTCACGTGCAAATCATGTGATGGATCTGAAATTCAGTTTTCTCATGTTTAAAAGCAAGGGTTAGACTAGATCTTTGGCGCTTGATTTGCTTTCCCTAGCACACCTGAGAAATACAATCCACTCTTTTCAGTTAACAGCAGTTCCCTAATGCCATGACTTCAGGGTGAGGGAGGGTGTGTGGGTATGTGAAAGCTCTGTTTTCCACCTTGGGGAAGTCTAGTGGTAGACAGGTATACCTCCTTAGGACCCTCCATTTTGAGACTCACCGGGCTAAGTGGTCTTTGAGGTCCCTGTCAACTCTCAGTTTATTGAAAAACCAAATGTTTCTTTGTATAAGAGATTGAAAGTAAATTTGAATTTCAAGTATTTTATTTCATGCCTCTATTTTCTTCTAAGAAACCTTTTTTAAAAAGTACATTTAATTTTTTTTATTAAAAAGGCATTACTTATCTATTATAAAAGTTTTTTAAATATAAAAATACTCATTACAAAAGGAAAAAAATCCCCATGTAATCCTTCCACCCAGGTATAATTCTTGTTAACATTTTGGGATGTAGTTTTTAAGTCTTTTTATAGATATATGCCATAACTAACTAACTTTGGAAACCTTTTTTAAAAGACACATTGTAGGCTGGGCACGGTGGCTCATGCCTGTTATCCCAGCGATTTGGGAGGCCAAGGCCGACAGATCACTTGAGGTCAGGAGTTCGAGATCAGCCTGACCAACATGGTGAAACCCCCGTCTCTACTAAAAAAAAGCAACAAAAAACAAAAACAAACAAACAAAAACCCGAGTGTGGTGGCCTGCACCTGTAGTCCCAGCTTCTTGGGAGGCCGAGGCAGGAGAATTGCTTGAACCCGGGAGGCGGAGGTTGCAGTGAGCTGAGATTGTGCCTCTGCGCTCCAGCCTGGGCGACGGAGTGAGACTCCATCTCAAAAAAAAAAAAAAAAAAAAAAAGCAAGAAAAAAAAGAGAGACACACAATTTAATGCAATGCAAATAACACTGACCTACCTAGCTGTGCCCTTGGAAAAACCACTTAACCTTTTTGTTCCTCAGTTTTCTCACCTGTAAAGTAGAAATGATTTCCATATCAACTTATCTTGAAGTTTAAATGAAAACTACCCATGTGAAAACAATATAGGGCCTGACACAAAATAGATGCAAATTATTATATTTATTTTCTATTCTTTGTTTAAAAATGTTGTTAAGGATTATTCTTTTTAAAGGAGTTTAAGGAACTTGGAGTTTTTTTTTTTGTTTGTTTGTTTGTTTTTAATTCAGTCCCATATGAAGGCTCAAAAGAGGGGTAAAGAACAACAGCTTGACATTATGAACAAGCAGTACAAACAACTTGAAAGTCGTTTGGATGAGATACTTTCTAGAATTGCTAAGGAAACGGAAGAGATTAAGGACCTTGAACAACAACTTACTGAAGGTAAGAATTTCAGTGTGATTTAGGGTAAATCAGTTTTATTACTAGTGAAAGGAACATTATAAAGACAAGCATTAATCCAGATAGTAGCTAAATACAGTTCACCTATTAGTACTAGTATTTGATAGGGAAATATTTACAGGATACCCAAAAGTATTTAATGCAATTTTAAGAGTTTTGTTTTTGTTTTGTTTTGTGGCATTGATGCCTAGTGAGTCAGGTCATTCCAGTCAGTAGGCCAGAAGTCAATACATGATCTTGATAAGCTCTGGCATGTGATTGTCTATGGCATAAAATCCATTCAGGAGCAAAGCACCCATTGGCATCAGGGAATTCAGTGTCTGGTTATAAGAAGAAAGAGTTTTAGGATCTACTTTTGCAATGCAGATTTAAAATGTGACATATCCATAATAGTGGAAAAGGAAGACAATAGGCCATAGTGGTTTTTACACATAGGGCTCAGTGTAAAAAGATCCTACTCCTTGTTTTGCTACTATCAGCTGTGTCACCTTGGACAAGTTGTTTTTATCTCAATTATTAGTTGTTGGGAGAATTAAATTAGATAGTATTCATAGGCCAGGAGTGGTGGCTCATGCCCGTAATCCTAGCACTTTGGGAGGCTGAGGTGGGCAGATCACTTGAGCCCAGGAGTTCAAGACCAGCATGGGCAACATGGCGAAACCCCAACTCTACAAAAAAAAAAAAAAAAAAAAAAGCCAGGTGTAGTAGTACGTGTGCCTGTGGCCCCATCTGCTTGGGAGGCTGAGGGTGGAGGATCACCTGAGCTCAGGGAGGTTGAGGCTACAGTGAGCCGTGATTGTGCCACTGCACTCCAGCCTGGGTGACAGAGTGAAACTTTGAGGAAAAAAAAAAAAGAAGAGAGAGAGTGTTCATAAAGTTCCTGGCACATAGTGTGTATCCAGTACTGTACATGGGGAGTGTGTGTGTGTTTTAAGTCTTTAGGTTACACGTTTATGTTGCCAGTCTTGGATTCATCTTATATACTGAGTGATTTTGTTATATGTATTTAGCAGCACGAACTCACAGTTTTGCTACATATTTTTTATTTTATTTGGAAATTAAACTTTTTTTTTTTTTTGAGATGGAACCTCACTCTGTCACCCAGGCTGGAGTGCAGTGGCCTGATCTCAGCTCACTGCAGCCTCTGCCTCCTGGGTTCAAGTGATTCTCCTGTCTCAGCCTCGTGAGTAGCAGGGGCTACAGGCACGTGCCACCATGCCCGGCTAAATTTTTTTGTATTTTTAATAGAGATGGGGTTTCACTGTGTTAGCCAGGATGGTCTCAATCTCCTGACCTCATGATCCTCCCGCCTTGGCTTCCCAGAGTGCTGGGATTGCAGGCTTGAACCACCGCACCTGGCCGAAATTAAACTTTTTACAGCATGAATCAGGTATTTTACAAGCATAGCCCCTAAATATACTATTTTTATTTTATACCTGCTTAATAGTCCTGTACTATCTATAATAGGAAGAAAATTTAACATTATGTTTTGAAAAAGAAAAATGATAGGAAATAATTGAAAGCTTAGAATTTCACTCTTGGCTAATAACAAAATGCTGATGAGACAATGCTACAGTACTTTAAAAAGATATATTATTACCCTTTTTGCATCTTGCTTAGGCCAGATAGCAGCAAACGAAGCCCTGAAGAAGGATTTAGAAGGTGTCATCAGTGGGTTGCAAGAATACCTGGGGACCATTAAAGGCCAGGCAACTCAGGCCCAGAATGAGTGCAGAAAGCTGCAGGATGAGAAAGAGACGTTGTTGCAGAGATTGACAGAAGTCGAGCAGGAGAGAGACCAACTGGAAATAGTTGCCATGGATGCAGAAAATATGAGGAAGGTATGATTTTTTTCCTGCCTATTTTCCTTAGCTTCATAAGTAGATAATGTCCAAATTAAGTTAGTTGGAGGAGTTAACAGTACATTTTTAAGTGGGAAAAAGTATTAGTGGCTATATGGTGATTTTTTTCTTTTAAAAGTTGGGCTTTTTTTTTTTCTTGTTTAGCTGTGATACATTTGGAATTATTTTTTCTTTGCTCAGAAAAGGAAGATTATTTAGGCTGCATTTCTATCCCTGAAAGGTATTGTTGCCAAATAACTCTGAAGAATATGAAATGGTAGCTATTACAAATACTGTATTAAATATTCATATTTTATTTGTGCTGCAAAATTGAGCACAGAATATTTTTTCTTATTCTTGTGGTTACTAGATAATTTTAACATTATTTTATAGCTAACAAGACAGACATATTGTTTTATGCCCTTATGAACCTGATTTGTTGCCCATTCATTTGGAGATTTCCCTTGCGCTATTTTAGTTGTTTGGAAAATGTTATCATATGTGAGAACCAGAGATTTCCAAACTTCTTGCTCAGTAGAGCTGGCTCCAGAAATTGAATTAATATATTTTAATATTATGAAATATCTCAGGCATATTTAAAAAATCACAAATAATATTTAACATCATGTACTCACAACTCAGCTTAAGAAATAAAACATTATAGATATATTTGAAATCCTCTGTCTACTCCTTTCCAGAAGTAACAAAGTTCTGAATATGGTTATTATTTCCCTGCACCTCTATTCTTTTATCATATACGTAAACATCCGTAAGCAATATATAGTATTTTCCATGATTTTAAGACTTATACAAAATGTATCATAATGTACATATTTGGCCACTTTCTTTCTTCATGTTTATGTCTTTTTTGTTTTTGTTTTTGAGACGAAGTTTCACTCTTGTTGCCCAGGCTGGAGTGCAATGGCGAGATCTCAGCTTACTGCAACCTCTGCCTCCTAGGTTCAAGTGATTCTCCTGCCTCAGCCTCTCGAGTAGCTGAGATTACAGGCATTCATCACCATGCCCGGCTTCTTTTGTATTTTTAGTAGAGACGGGGTTTCTCCATGTTGATCAGGCTGGTCTCAAACTCCCGACCTCAGATGATCTGCCCACCTTGGCCTCCCAAAGTGCTGGGATTACAGGTGTGAGGCATGGTGCCTGGCCTATGTTTTCCAGAATTATGCACACTGATAGGTGCAGTTCTACTTTGTTCATTTTTACTGATATATGTACCATCCTGCTTTATGGACATACCACAAATTTATTATTTATTCGTTCTCTTTTTGGGGGACATTTAGGTGATTTCTAGTCTTATGCTATTGCAAACAATGCTGAGCATAACATTCTTGCACACATCTTGAACACAGGGGGACTATGCTCAGAAGCAGAACTGTGGGTCAGAGAATATGTCCATCCTTAATTAAGTTCAGTAGATATTGTCAAATTACTTTTCATAGTGAGTTTATCAGCTTCTACTCCCACCAGCAATGTGAGGGCTACCATTCTGCCACATTCTTGCCAACCCTGTAGTGTTGTCCAACTTTTTTTTAAAGCTTTTATTTTGAAATAACTTCAAACTTGCAGGAAAGTTGCAAGAGGAATACAAATAACTCACATTTGCCTTTCACTCAGAGTCACCAACTACTATTTTAACACATTTGCTTTATCTCCTCATATGTAATTTTTACATGATTTTATATACTTTTTTGTTATTATTATACTTTAAGTTCTAGGGTACGTGCAGATTTGTTACATAGGTATACACATGTTTCACATTGGTTTCCTGCACCAATTAACTCGTCATTTACATTAGGTATTTCTCCCAATGCTATCCCTCTCCCCCACTCACCCACCCCATGACAGGCCCCAGGATTTGATGTTCCCTGCCCTGTGTCCAAGTGTTTTCATTGCTCAGTTCCCACCTATGAGTGAGAACAGGTGGTGTTTGGTTTTCTGTCCTTGTGATAGTTTGCTAAGAATTATGGTTTCTAGCTGCATCCATGTCCCTGCAAAGGACGTGAACTCATCCTTTTTCATGACTGCATAGTATTCCATGGTGTATATGTGCCACATTTTCTTAATCCAGTCTATCATTGATGGACATTTAGGTTGGTTCCAAGTTTTTGCTATTGTGAATAGTGCTGCAATAAACATATGTGTGCATGTGTCTTTATAGTAGCATGATTTATAATCCTTTGGGTATATACGCAGTAATGGGATTGCTGGGTCAAATGGTATTTCTAGTTCTAGATCCCTGAGGAAACGCCACACTGTCTTCCACAATGGTTGAACTAGTTTACACTCCCACCAACAGTGTAAAAGTGTTCCTGTTTCTCCACATCCTCCCCAGCATGTTGTTTCCTGACTTTTTAATGATCACCATTCTCACTGGTGTGAAATGGTATCTCATTGTGGTTTTGATTTGCATTTCTCTGATGATCAGTGATGATGAGCATTTTTTCATGTGTCTGTTGGCTGCATAAATGTGTTCTTTTGAGAAGTGTCTCTTCATATCCTTTGCCCACTTTTTGATGAGTTTGTTTGTTTCTTGTAAATTTGTTTAAGTTCTTTGTAGATTCTAGATATTAGCCCTTTGTCGGATGGGTAGATTGCAAAAATTTTCTCCCATTCTGTAGTTTGCCTATTCACTCTGATGGTAGTTTCTTTTGCTGTGCAGAAGCTCTTTAGTTTAATTAGATCCCATTTGTCAATTTTGGCTTTTGTTGCCATTGCTTTTGGTGTTTTAGTCATGAAGTCCTTGCCCATGCCTGTGTCCTTAATGGTATTGTCTAGGTTTTCTTCTAGGGTTTTTATGGTTTTAGGTCTAACATTTAAGTCTTTAATCCATCTTGAATTAATTTTTGTATAAAATGTAAGGAAGAGATCCAGTTTCAGCTTTCTACATATGGCTAGACAGTTTTCCCAGCACGATTTATTAAATAGGGAACCCTTTCCCCATTTCTTGTTTTTGTCAGGTTTGTCAAAAATCAGATGGCTATAGATGTGTGGTGTTATTTATTTCTGAGGCTTCTGTTCTGTTCCATTGGTCTATATATCTGTTTTGGTACCAGTACCATGCTGTTTTGGTTACTGTAGCCTTGTAGTATAGTTTGAAGTCAGGTAGCGTGATACCTCCAGCTTTGTCCTTTTTGCTTAGGATTGTCTTAGCAATGTGGTCTCTTTTTTGGTTCCATATGAACTTTAAAGTAGTTTTTTTCCAATTCTGTGAAGAAAGTCATTGGTAGCTTGATGGGAATGGCATTGAATCTATAAATTACCTTGGGCAGTATGGCCATTTTCACGATATTGATTCTTCCTATCCATGAGCATGGAATGTTCTTCCATTTGTTTGTGTCCTCTTTTATTTCGTCAAACAGTGGTTTGTAGTTGTTGAAGAGGTCCTTCACATCCCTTGTAAGTTGGATTCCTATGTATTTTATTCTCTTTGTAGCAATTGTGAATGGGAGTTCATTCATGATTTGGCTCTCTGTTTGTCTGTTGTTGGTATATAGGAATGCTTGTGATTTTTGCACATTGATTTTGTATCTTGAGACTTTGCTGAAGTTGCTTATCAGCTTAAGAAGATTTTGGGCTGAGACGATGGGGTTTTCTAAATATACAATCATGTCATCTGCAAATGAGACAATTTGACTTCTTCTCTTCCTAATTCTCTTCCTAATTGACTTCTTCTCTTCCTAATTAGGAAGAAAAAGAGAATTTCTTTCCCTTGCCGTGGCCAGAACTTCCAACACTATGTTGAATAGGAGTAGTGAGAGAGGGCATCCCTGTCTTGTGCCAGTTTTCAAAGGGAATGCTTCCAGTTTTTGCCCATTCGGTATGATATTGGCTGTGGGTTTGTCATAAATAACTTTTATTATTTTGAGATACATTCCGTCAATACCTAGTTTATTGAGAGTTTTCAGCATGAAGGGCTGTTGAAGTTTGTTGAAGGCCTTTTCTGCATCTATTGAGATAATCATGTGGTTTTTGTCATTGGTTCTGGTTATGTGATGAATTATGTTTATTGATTTCTGTATGTTGAACCAGCCTTGCATCCCAGGGATGAAGCCAGCTTGATCATGGTGGATAAGCTTTTTAATGTGCTGCTGGATTCAGGTTGCCAGTATTTTATTGAGGATTTTCACATCAGTGTTCATCAGGGATATTGGTCTAAAATTCTCTTTTTTTGTTGTGTCTCTGCCAGGCTTTGGTATCAGGATGATGCTGGACTCATAAAATGAGTTAGGGAGGATTCCATATTCATTGGAATAGTTTCAGAAGGAATGGTACCAGGTCCTCTTTGTACCTCTGGTAGAATTCAGCTGTGACTCTGTCTGGTCCTGGACATTTTTTGGTTGGTAGGCTGTTAATTATCACCTCAATTTCAGAGCCTGTTATTGGTCTATTCAGAGATTCAGCTTCTTCCTGGTTTAGTCATGGGAGAGCGTATGTGTCCAGGAATTTATCCATTTCTTCTAGATTTTCTATTTTATTTGCATGGAGGTGTTTATAGTATTCTCTGATGGTAGTTTGTATCTCTGTGGGATTGGTGGTGATATCCTCTTTATCATTTTTTATTGTGTCTATTTGATTCTTCCCTCTTTTCTTCTTTATTAGTCTTGCTAGTAGTCTATCTATTTTGTTGATCTTTTCAAAAAACCGGCTCCTGGATTCATTGATTTTTTTTTGAAGGGTTTTTTGTGTCTCTGTCTCCTTCAGTTCAGCTCTGATCTTAGTTGTTTCTTGCCTTCTGCTAGCTTTTGAATGTGTTTGCTCTTTCGTCTCTAGTTCTTTTCATTGTGATGTTAGAGTGTCAGTTTTAGATCTTTCCTGCTTTCTCTTGTGGGCATTTAGTGCTATGCATTTCCCTTTACACACTGCTTTAAATGTATCCCAGAGATTCTGGTACGTTGTGTCTGTTTTCATTGGTTTCAAAGAACATCTTTATTTCTGCCTTCATTTCGTTATGTACCCAGTAGTCATTCAGGAGCAGGTTGTTCAGTTTCCATGTAGTTGTGTGGTTTTGAGTGAGTTTCTTAATCCTGAGTTATTATTTAATTGCACTGTGGTCTGAGAGACAGTTTGTTGTGATCTCTATTCTTTTCCATTTGCTGAGGAGTACTTTAATTCCAACTATGTGGTCAATTTTGGAATAAGTACGATGTGAGGCTGAGAAGAATGTATATTCTGTTAATTTGGGGTGGAGAGTTCTGTAGATGTCTATTAGGTCCACTTGATGCAGAGCTGAGTTCAAGTCCTGGATATCCTTGTTAACTTTCTGTCTTGTTTATCTGTCTAATATTGACAGTGGGGTGTTAAAATCTCCCATTATTATTGTGTGGGAGTCTAAGTCTCTTTGTAGGTCTCTAAGGACTTGCTTTATGAATCTGAGTTATCCTGTATTGTGTGCATATATATTTAGGATAGTTAGCTCTTCTTGTTGAATTGATCCCTTTACCATTATGTAGTGGCCTTCTTTGTCTCTTTTGATCTTTGTTGGTTTAAAGTCTGTTTTATCTGATACTAGAATTGCAGCCCCTGCTTTTTTTTGCCTTCCGTTTGCTTGGTAGATCTTCCTCCATCCCTTTATTTTGAGCCTGTGTGTGTCTCTGCACATGAGATGGGTCTCCTGAATACAGCACACAGATGGGTCTTGACTCTTTATCCAATTTGCCAGTCTGTGCCTTTTAATTGGGAGCATTTAGCCCATTTACATTTAAGGTTAATATTGTTATGTGTGGATTTGATCCTGTCGTTACGATGCTAGCTGGTTATTTTGTCTGTTGGTTGATGCAGTTTCTTCCTGGCATCGATGGCCTTTACAGTTTGGTATGCTTTTGCAGTGGCTGGTACTGGTTGTTCCTTTCCATGTTTAGTGCTTCCTTCAGGAGCTCTTGTAAGGCAGGCCTGATGGTGACAAAATCTCTCAGCATTTGCTTGTCTGTAAAGGATTTTATTTCTCCTTCAGTCATGAAGCTTAGTTTGGCTGCATATGAAATTCTGGGTTGAAAATTATTTTCTTTTAAGAATGTTGAATATGGGCCCCCACTCTCTTCTGGCTTGTAGAGTTTCTGCCAAGAGATCTGCTGTTAGTCTGATGGGCTTCCCTTTGTGGGTAACCCAACCTTTCTCTCTGACTGCCCTTAACATTTTTTCCTTCATTTCAACCTTGGAGAATCTGACAATTATATGTCTTGGGGTTGCTCTTCTCCAGGAGTATCTTTGTAGTGTTCTCTGTGTTTCCTGAATTTGAATGTTGGCCTGCCTTGCTAGGTTGGGGAAGTTCTCCTGGATAATATCCTGCAGAGTGTTTTCCAACTTGGTTCCATTCTCCCCATCACTTTCAGGTACACCATTCAAACGTAGATTTGATCTTTTCACATAGTCCCATGTTTCTTGGAGGCTTTGTTCATTTCTTTTTACTCTTTTTTCTCTAAACTTCTCTTCTTGCTTTATTTCATTAATTCGATCTTCAATCACTGATACCCTTTCTTCCACTTGATCAAATTGGCTATTGAAGCTTGTGCATGCATCACATAGTTCTCATGCCATGGTTTTTCAGCTCCATGAGATCATTTAAGGTCTTCTCTACACGGTTTATTCTAGTTAGCTATTCATGTAATCTTTTTTCAAGGTTTTTAGCTTCCTTGCGATGGGTTCAAACATCCTCCTTTAGCTTGGAGAAGTTTGTTATTATCGACCTTCTAAAGCCTATTTCTGTCAGCTCATCGAAGTCATTCTCCATCCGGCTTTGTTCTGTTGCTGGTGAGGAGCTGCGATCTTTTGGAGGAGAAGAGGTGCTCTGGTTTTTAGAATTTTCAGCTTTTCTGCTCTGGTTTCTCCCCATCTTTGTGGTTTTATCTACCTTTCGTCTTTGATGTTGGTGACCTCCAGATGGGGTTTTCGTGTGGATGTCCTTTTTGTTAATATTGATGCTGTTCCTTTCTGTTTGTTAATTTTCCTTCTAACAGTCAGGTCCCTCAGCTGCAGGTCTGTTGGAGTTTGCTGGAGGTCCACTCCAGACCCTGTTTGCCTGGATATCACCAGCAGAGGCTGCAGAAGAGCAAATATTGCTGCCTGATCCTTCCTCTGGAAGCTTCTTCCCAGAGGGGCACCCACCTGTATGAGGTGTCAGTTGGCCCCTACTGGGAGGTGTCTCCCAGTTAGACTACATGGGGGTCAGGGACCCACTTGAGGCAGTCTGTCCGTTCTCTGAGCTCAAACACTGTGCTGGGAGAACCACTCCTCTCTTCAGAGCTGTCTGATAGGGACGTTTGAGTCTGCAGAAGTTTCTGCTGCCTTTTGTTCAGCTATGCTCTGCCCCCAGAGGTGGAGTCTACATGTGGAGGCAGAGGCCTTGCTGAGCTGTGGTGGATTCCACCCAGTTCGAGCTTCCTGGCTGCTTTGTTTACCTACTCAAGCCTCAGCAATGGTGGACGCCCCTCCCCCTGCCAGGCTGCTGCCTTGCAGTAGATCTCAGAGTGCTGCACTAGCAGTGAGCAAGGCTCTGTGGGCGTGGGACCCGCCAAGCCAGGTGTAGGATATGGTCTCCTGGTGTGTTGTTTGCTAAGACCTTAGAAAAGCACAGTATTTGGGTGGGAGTGTCCTGTTTTTCCAGGTACCATCTTCTGTGAAGGTACAGCTTCCCTTGGCTAGGAAAGGGAAATCCCCCGACCCCTTGCACTTCCTGGGTGAGGCGATGCCCTGCCCTGCTTCGGGTTGCCCTCCGTGGGCTGCACCCACTGTCCAACTAGTCCCAGTGAGATGAACCAGTTACCTCACTTGGAAATGCAGAAATCACCTGTTGTCTGCGTTGATCATGCTGGGAGCTGCAGACCAAGCTGTTCCTTTTTGGCCATCTTGGAACGGGATTCAATTTTATACACATTTTTATACAGATTTTTTTTCCTGAATCATTTGAAAATCAGTTGTAGACATCATGCTCCTTTGCTTCTAAATATTTCAGTATATATTTCCTAAAAACAAGGACATTTTCTAACATTAACACAGAATAATTATCAAATTTAGGAAATTCAGTATTTTATCAGACTTCATGTTTGCCAGTCTGCTGAGCTTTAAAGGCCTTCTTTCCATTTTTCTATTGTGAAGATGTTTACAGTTATAAGAAAGTTGAAAGAATAGTTTGGTGAACATCTGTGAACCCTCTTGGATTCAATAAATATTTTGATTTATTTTCGCTTTCTCACAGATACATACTTTTTTCTTTGCTCATTAGAAAGTTGCAGATATCATAATATCATCCCTTCAACACACATCTTTTTAAGAGTATTTTCCCTCATCACTACAATATCATTGTTACACCTAAGGAAATTGATGGTAATTCCCTAATGTCCTCTAATGTCTTTTTTTTTTTTTTTTTTTTTTTTTTTTGAGACGGAGTCGTGCTCTGTCACCAGGCTGGAGTGCAGTGGTGCGATCTTGGCTTACTGCAACCTTCACCTCCTGGGTTCAAGCAATTCCCCTGCCTCAGCCTCCTAAGTAGCTGGGACTACAGGTGCGTGCCACCAAATTAGCCCGGCTAATTTTTTTTTTTTTTTTGTATTTTAGTAGAGATGGGTTTCACCATGTTGGCCAGTATGGTCTCAATCTCCTGACTTCGAGCTCCACCCGCTTTGGCCTCCCAAAGTGCTGGGATTACAGGCATGAGCCACCGTGCCTGGCCCTAATGTCCTCTAATATCTGAACCGTATTCAGATTTTCTTTATTGTCCCAAGAATATGTATGTGTGTGTGTGTGTGTGTGTGCAGGTGCGTGTGTAAAATCCAAGCTGGTATTCCCTAGATTGAACCACATTCTGGGTTTGACTGATTGTTTCCTCATGGTTTGTTTAACTTGTATCTCTGTGTTCTATGTAAAATAGTATCTTAAGTTAACTGCGTTTTCCCCTGATTACTGGAGAGGCTGATCACCTTTCATTTGGAGAGGCTAATCACCTTTCATTTGCTGTTCAGGTTTCCTCTTCAGTGAATTCCCTATTCATATTCTTTACCTATTTTTTGTTGAATTGTCTTTGCCTTTTCTTAAAGATTTGTAGGAATTCTTTACATATTCTGGATAATAATCTTTGGTTGGTTATATGTAGTATCTACATTTTAAACAAGCAGCCGAAATAATTGAGTTGCCAAGTGGTTTTTGGACAGCTCTTTTTAGAAGTTCTCATCATACTATCCTCCTCTTTAATCTATAATAGTTTGATCCCGAGTAAATAGATGAAAGAGGTAATGTTTAATCACAAAACACAAATGGACTAAAATGAATCAGAACCATGGTATGCTAATAAATATGTACTTATATTCTTGTTAGCACTCATTTAAGGTACTCTTATCGTCCTTAATATTAGAGAGTGCCAGTCCCATTTTGTTCTTCTGATAAATGAACATGCTATGGTTTAATAGAAAGAGTATGGGCTTTGGAGTCAGAGATCTACATTTATATCCTGACTATCCTTTTTCTAGCTACATAGCCCTATGCAATTTACTTAGATATTCATTCTACAGTTCCTCATCTGTAAAACTGCAAGTTGCCTTATACAGTGATTGTGAAGATACAATGAATAATGAATACAAAAACATTTTGTCCAACATCAGATGAAAAATAAGCATTAAATCTTATCCTACTCTTTTTTTCCCTTCCTTTCTCCCTCCTTATGTTTTTAGACTCGTAAGTATCACAGAACTGGTCCCTTTGAAAAACAGTATGTTGGTAGCTTACTGACGTTCCTGATTACATTTAGCCAGGGCTTTGTTTTCCAACCAGGATATGCACAGCCTGAGGCTTTATGATATTGCTACTGAAAACTTTGTGGCAGGCAGCAGTAGCTGGCCAGCATTTGGTTTACAGTGCTCAAGTTACTTATAATGCCTTGCAGATGCTTAAGCAGCACAGTGAGGGTTCCATAGTTAAACCCACTGTATCTTTCTAGGAGCTTGCAGAGCTGGAAAGTGCCCTCCAGGAGCAGCATGAGGTGAATGCATCTTTGCAGCAGACCCAGGGAGATCTCAGTGCCTATGAAGCTGAGCTAGAGGCTCGGCTAAACCTAAGGGATACTGAAGCCAACCAGCTCAAGGAAGAGTTGGAAAAAGTAACAAGACTAACCCAGGTAAGTAGGAGCATAAAGCCAACTAGAAACTAAGTACCCTGTGCCATCCTTCTTTTATTTATGTCTTAATTTAAAGTTAAGCGTTTTTTCATACCATATATATGGAGTGATGAGAAAGGCAGAATTTTGGAGTCAGGCATTCCGAGTGCTAATAACTACCCCTGTGTGAACATGGGCAAATCAGTTCATAGCTCTGAGCCTCCCAGCCTTTTCCTCCTCTGTAAAATGGCTTATGGGGAAGATAAATGAGAGAAATGACATGAAAGCACCTGACATCGATACTCAATAAATGCTAGTTTGTTTTTCCTTCTTAGAACAGGTTTAAGAGACTTTTTTTTTTTTTTTTTTTTTTGAGACGGAGTCTCGCTCTGTTGCTAGGCTGGAGTGCAGTGATGTGATGTCGGCTCTCCGCAACCTCTGCCTCCTGGGTTCAAGCGATTCTCCTGCCTCAGCCTCCTGCGTAGCTGGGACTACAGGTGTGTGCCACCATGCCTGGCTAATTTTTTGTATGTTAGTAGAGATGGGGTTTCACCATGTTGGTCAGGCTGGTCTACAAACTCCCCACCTCAGGTGATCCGCCCACCTCAGCCTCCCAAAGTGCCGGGATTATAGGCATGGGCCACTGCACTCGGCCAAGACCTCTTTTAGGTTGATGGTAAGTTGTAGTTTGCTGTCTCCTTTCAGGGTTGGCTGAAAGATCCACTAGTTTAAATTGTACTTGCAAGTTACAGAAAACATATCCAATAAATATTTATTGATTGGCCATTGAGGGCCAGGTGCTGTGGATTCTCTAGGGAAAGCACAGACATGGTCACCATCCTGTGGAGCTGACAGATCTCTGATTGGTAAACTTTAGTCCAGCAGGTGAAACAGGTGTGGAAGAAAGAAAGAGACAGGATTCTTTGGCCAAGGAGGAAGTAGTCAGGGAAGATCACCCTACAGAAATGATGTTTCAGCTGATGACTGATGGATGAGTAGGATTTGGCCATGCAGAGGGGACAGGGTGAAAGGGGTAAAGGTAAGGTATGTGTATTCTAGGCAGAGAGGTGAGGAGAGAGAGCATATAGTAAGTACATTTGAAGTGCTGAAAGTATGCCTCCAGGATGCCAGGAGCAGGGAGAGGAGTGAGGAAAGAGAACGAGAGGTAAAGGCAGAGGGGCAGGCAGAGGCCAGTTGTAATATATTCTTTATCAGATTAAAAATACAATTTATTAGCCAGATGAGCTGCATCTTCTTTCAGGAAGCCACTTCAACCTTTCCTTTCTGCCTGCTGAAAATCTGGGTTCAGGACTCCAGTTTGGTTTTCCTATAACCTGTGCACAGTAAAGGTATTTATCATGCATATGATGATCATCTGTTTAGATGCTCCTAGATGATCTGTTTGTTTTACCCCAGCTAGACTCAGAGCTCAGTGAATGCCCAGATTGTATCTGTTTGTTTCTGTTTTTTTAGTGCCTGGCATATGAGAAGTGTCAATACGTGCTTATTTGATAAAAATGAAATAAATAAGATATTTTGAATCTCAGGAATGCATGTAAAAAATAATTCATATAATTAGAAAATGAACTAGAAATATATCTGGTTTATTATAGTAATTATGTATATTCCTTTACTTATGAGATATCAGACCATCACTTGACAGTTATCAGGATTGTATTTCTCAAGAGTGCTGAGTTTTGTAGAAGTATAATTGACAAGATTAGAGTCTCAGAAATTAGGAGGTTTTAGGAAAACAATTAAAATAACAGTAAATATTTTAAAATAATAATAAATAAAATTTCTAGATGGCATTTTCCTTAATAAATTCTCCTCTTCAAGCCAGACTGTACTAGCTTGAAATACATTGTCCTTTGTACTTTGATTGTCTTTTATTTTCTTCTCAGAAGTCTTGACAAAATTATTTTAAGAGCCTAGCCTTTTCACTGATTCACTTGGTATTGAAAGGGACATTCCCCCTTCCTCAGCACCAAGACCGCCAGGATTGGTCTTCAAACCACACTGAGAATATGAAGCATAACAGGTCTTCTGTCTCTGATCTGAAGATCTGCAGATCTCTGATTGGTAAACTTTAGTTACATGAACTCCCTTGTGATGCTTGATAAGTACAGATTCCTTGTCCCCACCCACCCTAGAGATTCTGATCCAGAATCTCTTTTCTGAGATAGAGGTTAGGTGTCTGCATTTTTAACAGGCATACCTAGTGTTGATATAGGTTTTTTGAGGACCACAGTTTGAGAAATACTAGTCTAAGGGAAAGAAGAACAATAAGTGTTGGATCACTTGCACAACTTTTAAAGGTAGGTGCTTCAGCCCACACCTGAAGATTCTGATTTGTTGTATTTGGGCTGAGCTGATTCCGATGCTTACTCCTTCTTAAGTGTTAATAATAGTTTAAGGATTGTGTGAAAAAATTATCTTTGGTTTTTAAATTTGGGAGTACAAACATAAAATTGAGTTGTAAAACTGTAGCTAGCCAGGGATTGTGTGTATATGTAAATTTATTTGTGCCTTTTAAAATAATAAATTATTGCTGTTTTATACTTTCATGTCATTGCTTCGTATGGTGACAGTTAGAACAATCAGCCCTTCAAGCAGAACTTGAGAAGGAAAGGCAAGCCCTCAAGAATGCCCTTGGAAAAGCCCAGTTCTCAGAAGAAAAGGAGCAAGAGAACAGTGAGCTCCATGCAAAACTTAAACACCTGCAGGTAGAGATTTGTTGTTTTAGAATACATTCTTACACAGAACATCCAAAGATGATGATATCTTTAGTCAGGCACTTAGCAACCTGCTCTAACATGTAGTAAGCAACTTGAATTACTAGACAAAAGGAAATTCTGGGTGGAGCAGCACCATAGCCCCTATTCTCTTGTGACCATTGTTTTAAGATTGTTATTTGTGAATCTCCTTTTGTTTTTATGATGGTGCAAAGAGATAGAGGCAGTGTCAGTAGTAAACAATATACTGTGTAAACTCATGGGCAAAAGCAGTATCTTGCATTTCTTCTAAAAGTAGATTTGTCACCAGACCGAACTAAAATGATCAGATTGGTGCATTCCTCTTCCGCTGAAATATCTTTGTAATTATCCAGGAATTTAACTAGAGTGGGTTGCAGTGGGATTTCTTATGTGTAAGAAATCTAATATGTGAAATTCTTATGTGAAAACTTAAGAGTTTTCACAATCCTCTTCTCGGAAAGGATACTATTAAAAATGTAATCATTTTTTATTTGTGGGAATGTATGTCAACATATGTATAGCTGTTCTCACAGTAATCTGCTGAACAAACTGCAGGAAAAACAGGTGGATAGGATTTTTCTGATAATTAAACTCTCAAAGAAGACAGATGTCTGAACAAACAAGTACCTGAATCATCACTCAGGTCTCCAAATCTGTGAGGCTGGGGGCCTCTTGGCTAGCTGAGATGGTAGCTGTTATCACCAGAAATAAAAGGGCAGAGTTTATGTGACTTGGAGGAAGGGTTCCAAAAAAAACCATGTAGGGGGATTTGAGAGAAATAAGACTAAGCTCACGTAAAAGTTCTTCTAACACTTCAAATGTTTGTTCCTTGAAGTTTAAAGAAATCTAATAACCTAGAATTTAATTTTTACTGCTCTCAGTTCCACTTCTGAAGCAAATATAAAAGATACACATGTTTTTCATTACTATGTGAGGTGTGTGTGTGTGTGTTGGGTCTTCCTTGAGTTATCATTTTCCATTTTTAGTATAGAAATTTTCATATAACACAAAAACAGAATACTTATGACCCTTTATTTACCCATTGCCCAACCTAAACAGTTGTCAACATTCATTGTTTCATTTTGTCCACCTCTTTTGTTGCTGGAATATTTTAAAGAAAAATTTTATACATATTTCTTTCACCTGCAAATACTTAAGTGTACATCTCTTACAGAAAAGGACTAATATATATTCTTCAGGGGCCTTCTCCAAAGTAGAAAGTGAAGTCAGCTTTCTAGAATGCTTAACACGTGTTGTGGGACTAAGTTAGAACTAGATTCTTTGGTTACTCGGTCAGCTGACCTCCTGAGTACAAGTTAAACCCACTCTACAATTCTTTGTCAGAAATCATGTACTTGCAATGAACCAAAACCTACTCACAGTAGCTCAAGAAAGGAGATAGCTTGCTAGGAACTAGAGCTGCTCCACCTTTGATGTTGATATAGGGGCTTTCTCATTTCTCTTTTTCAATCTCTCCGAGCATTGTTTGTGGCCCAGCATAGACCCCAGCCCTGAGCTGACATATTTTCAAGTCCAACATTTATATAGACTTGCTGTACTGAGTCTTGTTTCAAATTATGGAGAGAATGAGAACCTGTTTTCTGGCTAGTTGATGTGTTGACTGGCCTCAAGTCAGATGATCTGTGGCCAGGATTAGATAGTACTACAGAAAGGGCTGCCTTGGGGCAATTTTATAGATAAAGAGGACTCCAGATGGAACAGGCACTTGAAAACATATTAATTGCATTCTAAATTCTTCATTTCAGTTAACATTGTTACACTGAGTTTGAAGTAGATTACTCATAGGGTAATTTTAGGAATTTCTTTTTACTTGAAAGAGGCATTGTCTGAATTTAGTTCTGTGGTCTAGATATGTTTGTTAGTTCGTTAGTAGTGAAAATATGCTGTCATGTAATAGATAATCCCTATTTCATCCCCCTCCATAGGATGACAATAATCTGTTAAAACAGCAACTTAAAGATTTCCAGAATCACCTTAACCATGTGGTTGATGGTTTGGTTCGTCCAGAAGAAGTGGCAGCTCGTGTGGATGAGCTAAGAAGAAAACTGAAATTAGGATCTGGGGAAATGAAGTAAGGAAAAAGCAAGACCTCCAAGACTAGAGTGGGCCTCACAACTTGGGAGTTGTGAGTGTGAGGTTCAATGATAAACTCACCTTTCTAAGTTCTGTTAATGGCAAATTTCTTTTGTAAGGTTCTCCGTATAATGTTTTCATGACTGAGACAAAAGATTATTTAATTTTAATTGTCTGCCACTGATAGTTTTTACATTTTGGATCTTTTTTTTTGGTATTTAAGGGTAATTTTTGGTATTTAAGAGTTTTTTTTTCTTGAAAGTTAATTATATATGGTCAGGAAGTAGAGCCACATTATACATTTTAAATAGAGAGGAAACATCAAAAGAAAACATAATTATTTCAAATATATGAAATGGACATTTATTTTTGGAGCAAATATTGTTAGCCTCATGTGAGCCTATGGTTTCAGAGCGGCGGCAGTCATTTGATAAAACAATAATTTGCACTTAGGAGATGGTCAGTAAATTGCTATAGATTGACACCAGTCCCTCCACACAGCTTTTTGCTCGAGCTAATGTTAATAGCATGTTTGCATCAAAAATTAAATGTCACATTTATACCATTTTTCCTCCTCACTAGCATCCATAGTCCTTCAGATGTCTTAGGGAAAAGTCTTGCTGATTTACAGAAACAATTCAGTGAAATTCTTGCACACTCCCAGTGGGAAAGAGATGAAGCACAAGTTAGAGAAAGAAAACTCCAAGAAGAAATGGCTCTGCAGCAAGAGAAACTGGCAACTGGACAAGAAGAGTTCAGGCAGGCCTGTGAGAGAGCCCTGGAAGCAAGAGTAAGAAAAGGACAAGAGGCACCTGGAGGGAAGTGTTTGGCAAATATTAATGTTTTTCAGCAAATTACAATGCTTCCTTTGTCATGTAAATACAACATAATTGTTATTTTCACTTATAACAAGTCAAGCTGGGTGTGACTAAAACTCAACCCTGAATGTGGTTATTATGTCAAAGTCAGGCTTGTTTGTGACATTGTATTTTCCTTGATTTGGAAGCAAAGGCAAGTTATTTTATAATAGGCAGGTAAATAATGCCACGTTCCTAGAGTATGGTGTGTTGCCAGAATCTGGTATTTTTTGATGTGATGATTTTAATGAAGAGGCAAACATTCAAATGACTCCTAGAGATCGTTCAAGATAAAACCATTCCTGACAACTCGTTAGTAAATAAGTTACAGCCTATAGTAAAATGGGTGATAATTCATAAAAAGTTTTAATTTTTCTTAAAACATATTTTGCCTAAAAATCATTCTTGAAATCTTATTTCTTCACAGATTAATTTTGATAAGAGACAACATGAAGCGAGAATCCAGCAACTGGAGAATGAAATTCACTATTTGCAAGAAAATCTAAAAAGTATGGAGGAAATCCAAGGCCTTACAGATCTCCAACTTCAGGAAGCTGATGAAGAGAAGGAGAGAATTCTGGCCCAACTCCGAGAGTTAGAGAAAAAGGTAGGGAAGGCTTGGAAAATGAGACACATAAGTACCTGCTGGCAGTGTTCTGCCCACTGGCAGCTAGGTCAGCTGAGACGGGTGCGATCTGTAGTCACCTCTGGCTGCATTGCTGGCACAGTGCTGAACCTGACCTGGGTGGGACCTGGATGCATGTCATTGAATCAAGAACCTAAGACCAGGTGTCATGGTAGATGGAAACAAGAGAATTGAGAATGTAAGGAGTGACTTTCGAGTTAATTAGGTGGTACTTAACAAATGATATTGGGAGGAGTTTGACTCCTTTGAAACCTCTTGTCCAATTGGACACATCCATGGAAAGTTACTTTTAAACTCCTCATCATCCTTTCTAATACCCCTGCCTCTCTTTGATGACTTTTCTCCATTCCACCTCACCATCTACTCCCATTGTCACATTCTGGACTTTGTCAAGTTTAAAAATTGCACCCACCTCTGAAATCACAAACTGAAGTGTCTTGCTCTGATCATAACCGCTTATCTTGCTGGCATCCACACACTAAAAATTTCTCAACCTTATTGAGCTTCCAGTTCAATAGCCTCACCCCCACCTTTGCTGTCTGTTAAGCCCTTGTCTTTACTTTCTTACTTGTCCAACTTAAATTTTGTGGTCTATCAGCTATAACTTTTTTTTTTTCTCTACAAATATCCTCAAGTCCCTTGTCCTTTTCTACTGTTTTATTTCACTGACAAAACTGAAGCTCTCTGCTTTCTTTGGGCCTGCACTTACACTGGGTGTTCCTGGAGAAAAAAGTCACCCATCCAGTATAGTGGTGTCATTAAAAACTTATAGTTACCAATCTCAAATGGACAATATGACCCTTTCCTGTGGTGATCTTCCTCTCCCATGCCTCACTGTTTCACACCTTCTCATCCTCACACCTGCCGTCTGCTTTCTCCCAGCCTCAGTGAATGACTTGCTTTATCCTTCACTGAGAAGCCATCAGTTTCCAAGTCCTGTTGAATCCGTCTCTAAAATGTATCTGGAATATATGACCTTTTTCCTTCTCTGATGCTAGACACTTGTGCTGTCATCATCTCTCTTCTGGATGACTGCTGTGGCTGTCTGATCGATCTGTCACTTCTACTCATGACCCTGCTCTCCAGAGCTGCTAAGATGCTCTTTCTAAAATGTCAAGTGGCTATAATCAGTCTCCCCTCCAGTAGCTTCCTTTGTTCTTAGGAGTAAGGCCAAAATTCTTAAGCCTACGAGGCCTATGTGATTTGCCTCTATTTAGATCTCTCCTTTTCTCACTGTGCTTCTCCTTTCAGTTGCTCAAAAATGCCAAATTCAGGCCGGGCGCGGTGGCTCAAGCCTGTAATCCCAGCACTTTGGGAGGCCAAGACGGGCGGATCACGAGGTCAGGAGATCGAGACCATCCTGGCTAACACGGTGAAACCCCAACTCTACTAAAAAAATACAAAAAAATTAGCCGGGCGTGATGGCGGCGCCTGTAGTCCCAGCTACTCGGGAGGCTGAGGCAGGAGAATGGCGTGAACACGGGAGGCGGAGCTTGCAGTGAGCTGAGATCCGGCCACTGCACTCCGGCCTGGGTGACATAGTGAGACCCGTCTCAAAAAAAAAAAAAAAAAAAGCCAAATTCCTTTACTAACACCCTATGCCCAGGGCCTGATTTCAAAGGCAGGTTCATCCATGCCTTGGTGGTAGTGCCAGGAAATGTTTTTCCAGTAAATGGAAGAAGTTATGACCACTAAGATTCTTGACCAAGAAGACCTAGTTCAAGTTTCTCACAGTTTTGAGATCTATTATTTATTCAGTGGATATATGTGGAGTACCTCCTGTGTATCAAGTATTGTTCTAGGCAGCAGTGAACAGAGTCCCTACCCTCCTGGAGCTTACATCTGAATTCATTCCTGCCAAATAATTTATCAGTTTAATTAATGTTTCTTTTATTTTAGAAGAAACTTGAAGATGCCAAATCTCAGGAGCAATTTTTTGGTTTAGATAAAGAACTGAAAAAACTGAAGAAAGCCGTGGCCACCTCTGATAAGCTAGCCACAGCTGAGCTCACCATTGCCAAAGACCAGCTGAAATCCCTTCATGGAACTGTTATGAAAATTAACCAGGAGCGAGCAGAGGTGAGTTCACATGTACAGAACAGGTTTCCATCAGTGATGCTGCTGTCAAAAAATGTGGCAACTTGTATTATTGATCTTGTTATAAACATTGGTTATTTTACAAACCACTGTAAAGTTGTAAAGTTGTCTGTTTTTCTTAAGACCTACAGATTATAATCCCCCCACAACAACCCCCAATAATTTATTTTGTGCTGCCATGGATCCTGCATTCTACTGAGCCCTGAAAGGAATCATCAAATAAACATACTATCCCTACCTTTACGTGTAAGGATCTGCCTAGGGAGGTAGCTGTCAATATCTACCTGGACAAGGGTTCTTGAAGGATTGTCATATAATCCCTCTGAATCTCAAATTTTTCATCTTGTGCAGTCATGTGAAAATGTTACTTCATAGTATGACTCCTTACTGAGCTAATGGCTGTTACCATGCTTTATAGGATGCAAATGCTAATAAGATTAAGATAGCAGATCATAGGAGACAAAAATATCTAATGATGAGAGCCCAGAGAGACATAATCATGGAAGACTGTAGTAAAAGTACAAAAGTAAAAAAGCCTTTGCTCTTTCTGATGTCGCACCTTGGGGTTGGGGGCTGGGCAGGCAGCCCAACAATGGGAACAACACAGGAGAAGGTGGGGCTTGGGTGTGCGTTTTTATGAACAGCCTGGTCGGCAATGTGATGAAAGCAGAGGAATCAATCCAAGAGGAAGAAATGAAGAAAACAACCTGTGATAGCAGTGGTGCCTTTCTCATATCTCTGTCCCAGTAGGAGTTGCAGGAAGCAGAGAGGTTCAGCAGAAAGGCAGCACAAGCAGCCAGGGATCTGACCCGAGCAGAAGCTGAGATCGAACTCCTGCAGAATCTCCTCAGGCAGAAGGAGGAGCAGGTCAGTGTTGGTACCCAGAGACCTCCCCTTTATCAGATTCTTATCAGTTCCTAAAAGACAAAATTACTGTAGGTGATGTCTCAAAGAATTCTGAAGTGCAGTCAATAGTTAATCAGTACTTTATCCTCTACTGTGTGCCAGGCTTGGTGCAGTTTCCAAGTAATGCAGTTTCCTCACTGAGAAAGTGTAAATAAATATAGAATCATAATCAAGTTGAAAGGATAAATGTGTTTGGGAAAGAATGAATTCATTGGCAACTTTGTGTGATTTTTTTAAAATAGTTTCGACTTGGGATGGAGAAAACAGGTGTAGGTACTGGATCAAACTCACAGGTCCTAGAAATTGAGAAACTGAAAGAGACAATGGAACGACAAAGGATAGAGATTGCAAGGCTGCAGAATGTACTAGACCTCACCGGAACTGGTAAAGGATTGGGCTTTGATTTTTGGCAGTGGTTTTGTAGTTGTAAAATTAAATCATCTTGTTTGTTTTTTACCTTTAACTGTTACAAATCAATTCCATGCTTGATTTAGAGAGCTGTGGTAATTCGCTTAATAAGTAAAATCAGATAATTTTAAAAGTATTTTCTGTAAGTGTGTTACTGGGGGACTTGGTTGCCAAGACAGGAGTTTCGTATTTGTGGCCGGGCGCAGTGGCTCACGCCTATAATCCTAGCACTTTGGGAGGCCATGACGGGTGGATCACTTGAGGTTAGGAGTTCGAGACCATCCTGGCCAACATGGTGAAACCCTGTCTCTACTAAAAAATACAAATATTAGCCGGGCGTGGAGGTGGGCACCTGTAAACCTAGCTACTCAGGAAGCTGAGGCAGGAGAATCACCTGAACCTGGGAGGGGGAGGTTGCAGTGAGCCAAGATTGGGCCACTGCCCTCCAGACTGGATGACAGTAAGACTCTGTCTCAAAATAAAAAAAAAAGAGAGCTTTGTATTTGTAATTTCAAAAGAAATAATGTTTACAAATCAGTTTATTTGCTTTTTTTTTTTTTTATTTACCAAAGAGCAGACTGAAAGTCAGCTTTGAGGAACTGATAAAATTAATTGGCTCTCATGGAATCTCTTTTATATTTTGAAAAAGAAAGGAAGTAAATGATTTCATATCAATTTCATAGAATGACTTTTCTTTACAGACAACAAAGGAGGCTTTGAAAATGTTTTAGAAGAAATTGCTGAACTTCGACGTGAAGTTTCTTATCAGAATGATTACATCAGCAGCATGGCAGATCCTTTCAAAAGACGAGGCTATTGGTACTTTATGCCACCACCACCATCATCAAAAGTAGGAATTCTGTGGTGTTGGGAATGTATAGTGAATTTTCTTGAAGAAAGTGTGACATTGTCCCCTTCCCCAAATTTATGAGCAGGTACCAAAAATGACATTTCTATGCTAAGCCGTGTATTGAGGTTCTGTAGTGTTTTTAATATTTGAGATGAAAATAGGGCTTTCTTGGGGAAGGTGACAGTTGGCTGTTCATACTCAGGTGGTATGTGTTAAGGTCCTTGAATGAGGATACTATAAGGGGAAAAGGTGATTTGAGCCCAGAGAGCCTGCTGAAATGGGCATAGAATTGTGCAGAACCTCTGACAGAAAAAAAGGCACCTGGATTTCATGTCCTTTTAACAAACATTCATTCAGTGCTTACTGAAGCCTAGGCCAAGTGGTAGGCAGTGGTGAGGCATCACATTGAATGATAAAGCCCCTGCTCTCAAAGAGCTCATTGGCCATGCCAGCATAATTGCAAAATGGTGACAACAGACCTGACCTGTATTTTCTAGTTGCAGAGAGATGTTAAGGATTCATCTGATGGGAAGTTCAGGAAGGAATGCTTCTCAAGCAGTGGTGTGGAGTCAGCACTTAACAAGCAGTGAGCGATGGACTTTTAGGAGGGAGGAAACAGCTTGTGTGGAATAGGAGAGTTATTGGCTTAGCAAAGACAAGTAGCTTTGTGGGACTAGAGGATTTATAGGAGCAGTGTCAGATGAGGCTGAAAAGTAGATTGGGGTGATGCCTTTTTTTTTTTTTTTTTTTTTTTTTTTTTTGAGGTGGAGTCTTGCTGTGTCCCCCAGGCTGGAGTGCAGTGGTGTGATCTCGGCTCCCTGCAGCCTCCGCCTCCTGGGTTCAAGCAGTTCTCCTGTGTTAGCCTCCTGAATAGCTGGGATTATAGGCACACGCCACCATGCCTGGCTAATTTTTACATTTTTAGTAGAGACAGGGTTTTGCCATGTTGGCCAGGCTGGTCTCAAACTCCTGACCTCAGGTGATTTGCCCACCTCGGCCTCCCAAAGTGCTGGGATTACAGGCATGAACCATCACTGTGCCTGGCCTGAGGTCATGCTTTTTTTAAAGGGCCTTAGACTCTCTTACACTTAATTATATAGGCCATGGGAAATGGGTTGTGTACTAAAATGATCAGAGCTGTAGTTTAGGAATAATATTCTGGCTAGTACAGAGACTATACTTGTGGTAGGGTGAGCTTTCCGTGGGGCTCTTTGAACTGATTGAGGTAAAGAGTAGAAGCCAGAGCTAGATCAGTGGATCTGGGAAAGAGGAGATGAGATTAAAAGATGTTAAAGAGAAACGGTCAGAGCCTGGGACCTGAATGTGGGAAGTGAGGAGAAGACTGTAGGCTATATTCATCCAAAACAGAGGGGGGCCTGGTGCCATCCTGCTAGAATCAGCCGATGAGCAATAGTCAGGGAGAAGCAGCTCAGACACACTAGGATCCCAGGGCTGTGTAGACTTAACCAGACCCCTGAAGAGCAGAATCTTAGATTCTCCCAGCAATCCTAAAGGAAGCCAACTCCTTGATACAACCAGAGTTGCAGGTGGAAGCAGTATAAATTAGAGCAAAACATATAAGCCTGAGCTGGGTGAAGGTTTAGAGGATGTACCTACAGACTGGGAAGGAGAAAGAGGGTAGCAGAGTAGAGCTTTAAAGCCATGCCAAGCTCCCAGGACAACAGAAGACTGGTGTCCCCAGATTTCTTCGAAGTTCACAGGTTTCCTTTGCCTCAGTTGCTGGGCCATTAAGGATGAGGTTAAAAACAAAACAAAACAAAAAACCACTAGGAAAAATTACTACAGAGAGAACAGAGGCTGACACCCAGGAGTCTGATCACTATGGAGAACTTACTTTCGTTTCTGTCTCTTGGGGAGTTGCTGCATGAAATTAACCCAAACTACCAGATAACATGCTTTTTCCATTTTGGTATGGCCAAGGACTTGTGATTTCTAGAACATTGTACCAAAAGAGAGGATAGGAGATGGGTGTTTTAAAATGGCTTTTGAAAGGATAAATAGACATTAATTTGGTTGCTTTCACCACACTTTGAGCCCTTCACTTTCACAGACCAGTCTGATGTGACCCCAGCCATTACCCACACAGCCCTCCTTTCTGCCTGGCTTCCCTGACACTGCCATGTCGATCAAGTCCAGAGGGATGTTAATAAACTGAATTGTGTATGGAACTGCAGTTTATGTGACTGTGTAATCACCTCACTTCTGTGAAAAATAAGGATAATGAAAAGAAACCAAGTTCTTTCTCAACCTTGCTACATCTCAACTTTGCTCTAGACTTTGACATTTCTTAAAATCAGCCTTTCTGTTTGTAATAGATAGTGTGCTTTGCTGTCATTTGTTTTAGGTTTCCAGCCATAGTTCCCAGGCCACCAAGGACTCTGGTGTTGGCCTTAAGTACACAGCCTCAACTCCTGTTAGAAAACCATGCCCTGGGCAGCAGGATGGGAAGGAAGGCAGTGGACCTCCCCCTGCCTCAGGATACTGGGTTTATTCTCCCATCAGGAGTGGGTTACATAAATTGTTTCCAAATAGAGGTAAGTCAAATCACATAGGAAAGTTGCATTTCTCTTGCCCGTTTAATAACCTTTTATTGATTCCCTGAAATCCCTAAGTCACAGTCCAGACTCCTTAGCTAGCTCCATAAGGTCTTCTGTGATCTGGTCTTGGCCAGTGACCTCTTCTCGTCATTTTAAACCCTGTCTGGAATGTCCTTCCTCCTTCCCTTCCCATGCTGCTGCCTACTTATCCTTCAGCAAGACCTAGGTCCTCAAACAATGCTCCTGAATGGAGCTTTCTTCCACCCTGCTTCACCCAGGCTGACTAAGCAGCCTCTTTGACTGTACTGGAGCATGGTGTCTTGTGTCTGTGCATCATGGCATTAATCTCACCTTCCTAAAATGAAGTGTTATGGGTCTGTCTTCCAAAGCTCTGGGGGAAGAGTCAGACCTGAGTAAATCTTTTTCACTTATTAGCTGTGTGGTCTTCGGCTAATTATTTAGCTTCTGAAACTGTTAATCTGTAAAATGTGAATATGACCTTCTGAGAATTTGTTCATTCAGAAACTTTTTTTTTTGAGATGGAGTCGCGCTCTGTCACCGGGCTAGAGTGCAGTGGCACCATCTTGGCTCACTGCAACCTCTGCCTCCCGGGTTCAAGTGATTCTCTCTCCTGCTTCAGTCTCCCGAGTAGCTGGGATTACAGGCGTGCACCACCATGCCTGGCTAATTTTTGTATTTTTAGTAGAGATGGGGGTTTCACCATATTAGACAGACTGGTCTCCAACTCCTGACATCAAGTGATCCACCTGCCGCGGCCTCTCAAAGTGCTGGGATTACAAGCATGAGCCACGCATGTGGCCAGGAAGTGTTTATTGAGTGTTTATTGTGTGCCTGTGTTCTAGGTTCTCTGTTGTCAGTGATCAGCAAACATATTTTGTGGTTTTAGGGCAGATAAGTTAGTAAGCTATCACATTGGAGAGTGTTAAATGTCATGACAGTGGTAAACACTGAGTGCTGTGAGATCTTGTATGTAGCATGAATTAGATACCCAGATGGTCACTTAATAAATTAATGAATAAATTAATGAATGCAGAAACAAACCAACAGATAAACTTAAGAAAAACTCAAGTATCAGCCATAGAAAATACTTTGAATCCATGTTTTGAGCTGCTTTTCAAAAGTAGTTTTGACCTTTTTTTCAGTTTTATTCTCACATCTCCAGTATCTTGGCTTAAATGCTGCTGTTCTCTACTAAATTTGTTTACCTGGTAAACCATGGGGGTAAAACACTCTTTTGTTTAATAAACTCTTCTGTTTATTTCTTTGAAGATGCAGACAGTGGAGGAGATAGTCAGGAAGAGAGTGAGCTGGATGACCAAGAAGAACCCCCATTTGTGCCTCCTCCTGGATACATGATGTATACTGTGCTTCCTGATGGTTCTCCTGTACCCCAGGGCATAGCCCTGTATGCACCACCTCCTCCCTTGCCAAACAATAGCCGACCTCTCACCCCTGGCACTGTTGTTTATGGCCCACCTCCTGCTGGGGCCCCCATGGTGTATGGGCCTCCACCCCACAACTTCTCAATCCCCTTCATCCCTATGGGTGTGCTGCATTGCAACGTCCCTGAACACCATAACTTAGTAAGTGGAAAGACATACAACTCTCTTTCCACACTGCTTCCATGGGTGACTGATAAGGGTATATACTTAATGAGTTGACCTGTTTATGACTGGATTATATGGCAAAGGTGTGTTTGTAAGGCTGATGTTTAGAACTGTGCAAGCATTCTCTTACTAAAATTTCTCTTCTAAAAGCAATGGTGTGTGCCTATAGTCTGAGCTACTCAGGAGACTGAGACAAGAGGTTTGCTTGAGCCCAGGAACTCAAGGCCAGCCCCGGTAACAGCAAAAAATGAAAACCAAAAAAACAAAAATACCATGTACAGGAGTTAGGGTCTCAGGCCAATCTACAAACCTGGGTTAGCCATTTAATAAATGTTTTCAGTCCAGAAGTTTACCATTTTTACAAAGCTTATATATTTTTCTATTGACAGGTGTTATATTAATGTGTATGTATATATTCACTTACTAGTGCCTGTACTTGTACACATACACATATGTATAATATGAGTGTATACACATACATGTATGTGCACGTGTATGCACACAGGTATGGACAGCATACAATAAGGTTTTGGTGGGGATTATCTCTAGGTGGTAGGATTTATTTATTTTTTATTTTCATAGTTTATATTTTGATGAGGATAAGGTTTTGGTGGGGATTATCTCTAGGTGGTGGGATTTATTATTTATTTTCATAGTTTATATTTTATTGTACATAATATTTTGTATTCTGTTTTTCCTACTTAATGTTATAAGCATTTGCCCATGTTATAAATGTTATAAGCATTTGACTGTATAAATGTCTTTAAACAGTATTTTAATGACTGTACAACATTTCTATATTTGTAGGTACTGTAGCTGACCTAAATTCTTACTGTATCTCTTATTCTTAGGCTAGATTCTAAGAAATAATTATTTCCTAATCACTAGATTACTTTGTTTTTCTTTTTTCTTTTTTTTTTTGAGACAGACTTTCTCTCTGTCGCCCAGGCTGGAGTGCAGTGGCACAATCTTGGCTCACTGCAACTTCCGCCTCCTGGGTTCAAGCGATTCTCCTGCCTCAGCCTCCCGAGTAACTGGGATTAGAGGCACCCACCAGCATGCCCGGCTAATTTTTATATTTTTAGCAGAGACGGGGTTTCACTATGTTGGCCAGGCTGGTCTCGAACTCCTGACCTTGAGTCATCGCCTGCCTCGACCTCCCAAAGTGCTGGGATTACAGGCATGAGCCACTGCGCCCAGCCTCATTAGATTACTTTCTGATTTTTTTGGTTCTAGAGAAATAAAATACAATCTAAGCTCCTCCTTCAGACTCAGAACACCTGGAGCCTTTGTTTTTTCCTTCCTCTCTTGGCAGATTGAGTGGAAGATAAACTAGGACACATATCAAGTCCACCAGTACCATTGTAATAAGTCAGACTAGTTTTAGAGGGTCTGTGTGCATTTACAAGTTTAACTATAGTAGTCACTCGTATTCTCTTAAAGTTTTTTCTTGCACGTTGTAATTTGTAACAATTTCTTTCTATTCAGCATTTATTGATAATCTCTTAAACTGGTTCTTTTACTCTCCAAGCTTACCCGGCCGTTTATATAGTTTCTCAGGTGTACTTTTATACTTCCCTACGTTTGCATATGTTACTCTTCAGCCTAGGTCTTTCCTCTTTCATTCATTCTTCAAAACCCAGGCAAAACACCTCTTCTTCTGGGCAGGCTTCTCAGAAAACGTTTCTCCCATGTGTCCAGAGGAGGGAGAGACTTCTGTCTAGAAAGTCTTCTGTGCTAGACACCGAACTCTTTGGAGGCAGAGGTTATCCACAAGAGGCTTGGCGAATGTTTCTCAATCATAGTCAGACTGTTTGAAAAATTAAAGGTTCTATTTGTCCATCAATTTCATCTGTGACATTTAACTTTTTATACCAAAGCCTTATAATCTACCATCATTTTTTGGGTCATTGATACTACTTTAACCAGAGTTAATTTCAGCTTTTGGCAGGAAAGAGAGGAAACATCCTGTGATGTTTCAGCTCTGCATTTTTCCCCTTCTTCATTCAGGAGAATGAAGTTTCTAGATTGGAAGACATAATGCAGCATTTAAAATCAAAGCAGCAGGAAGAACGGTGGATGAGAGCATCCAAGCGGCAGTCCGAGAAAGAAATGGAAGAACTGCATCATAATATTGATGATCTTTTGCAAGAGAAGAAAAGCTTAGAGCGTGAAGTAGAAGAATTACATAGAACTGTCCAGAAACGTCAACAGCAAAAGTAATTAATATATTTTTTATAATTCAGACAAATGCGATATTAGTTCATTAATGCTGTCGAATAGAACTTTCTGTAATCTTGGAATGTTCTTGATCTTCTGTCCAAAACAGTAACCACAAGCTCAATGTGGCTGTTGAGCACTTGAAATGTGGCTGATGGAGCTGAGGAACAAAATTTAATTTCAATTAATTTAATAGCCACATATTGAGTACCACATTGAGCAATACAGTTCTGAGTTCTTTTGGCCAATAATATAAATCAGTTCTTCTTGTAGTCCCTCTTGAAGAGTGGTATAACCATTTCCCCTCTCCAGTTACCCTAGCTAAAAATATGGCAGGGGTTCTCAACTCTTTCTCTTCCGTTACTCTCCTATGTTTCCAGTTGGTCTCTAAATCCTGGTGACTGCATCCAGAGAGCTCTCAAACTGGTCCCTTTCTGTCATCTCCCCTTCTCTAGCTTTTAATTACTCTCATCCTAGCGATTGTAATAGTTTCCACACTGGCCTTCCATGTCTTCTCTCTTGGTCTACACTGTATCTTGACACACTGCAAATCTGACTGTTCCACTTTCCCATGTGATTCTCAGTACCATCAGAATATACACGGCCCTTCTCCATCTGAAACCTACCTGTCTTTTTCTTTTATCACAGTGTTGGGTCTGGCTCACTGCTTTCCTGTGGTTTCCCTGAACACCACGTTTTCTCCTGCCTCTACACCTTTGCTTGTACTGTCTTCTGCCTGCTGACCCCCCTGCCTAACTCCAACCTGTCTTCAAAATAAAGGTCAGAGATCCCCTCTCTTTTTTTTCCTCATTAAAAGCCTATTTCTTCTCAGGTGCCCACAATTGAAGGTTAGCAACCTTGGTCATAGCACTGTTCACACAATGTTGTGTGGAGCCCAGGAGCTCCTTGAAGGCAGTAGCTGGACCTCCATCTCTGTGTCCCATCACCTGTCATAGGATCACTTAGTGAATGCAACATCTGTTGATTGGGTTAATTATGCAAAAGCCTATCTGTTGCAGAAGTCCATGAATTATGACAGTTCCCCAGTTTTTGCCATTTAACCCAGACTGGCCCAGACCCCAGGGTGGTAGGGAGGCCTGCAGAGGACACAAGTAAGAAAGACGTGGTTGCTTCCATCTGGTAGCAGACATGTGACTAACAGTCTTGGCAAGTGAAAGCAAGGGCCACACCTAAAAGATAGGGGCTAGACGTTTGAAGGTTAGGCAGATGGTTGTATCTGTTATTTTTGTGGGTATACACATTGGGGAGTGGAATTTTTTTATTCTGAGGTATTTTGGAGGGAGGTGATAGGGTGGTAGGATCGCCACTTCTTTTCATAGTTGTAAAAGTGTAATAAATACTATTCTAGGAAGTTTGGATAACACAAAAATGTTCCAAGAAAAAAGTAAAAATCATATGTATGCCTTCATTTAAAGAGAAAGAATCTGTTAAATGTTGAATTTATTTTCATATTTTTCTGTCATGCAGTGATAGATAATCTAATTTTTAAATAATTTTGTCATGTTAGCCTTAAGATATTGAATTGTGTGTCACGGTTTTTGATATGTCAAATGTTGTCACCAGAGTTTTACTTTAGCCGAATGGAATAAATCACAAAATCAGGTAGTCTTCAGGGCAGCCTATAAACTGCCCTTGAAGGATAGTTTTGAGGGAATGGATGAATATTGTGGTAGTGGTTTGCTTTATTTTTGTACCTCAAGAGAATAGAAGTATCAACATTTTCTTGGTCAAGAGATGACAACACAATAATCTTTGTTGTTATATTTAAAAGGGCAAACAATTCCATGTCATGCATTTTACATATTATGCATTTATTGCCAATAAGAATTCCATGTTTAATAAAATCGTAAACATAGACCTTGAACAGAATCAAATGTAGCAGTCTTTCTTATCTATTCTCATATAAAATTAGAAAATCATTGTAGATCTTTTTAGTAGTTAGGCTACAAGTACCTATATTGTCTACATTTACAATTTTTTAATGGGTGTGTTTATTATTTTTTAGGGACTTCATTGATGGAAATGTTGAGAGTCTTATGACTGAATTAGAAATAGAAAAATCACTCAAACATCATGAAGATATTGTAGATGAAATTGAGTGCATTGAGAAGACTCTTCTGAAACGTCGCTCAGAGCTCAGGGAAGCTGACCGACTCCTGGCAGAGGCTGAGAGTGAACTTTCGTGCACTAAAGAAAAGGTATGTCTTGTTGTGGTTTGGGGTGTGAGCTCAGTGTGGGTGAGTCAGCTTACTATCTGCATGAAGGACTAGAAAGAGAGTGTGTGTGCTAAGAGGACAGTTGTCCAAGTCAGACAGCCAGGTTCCGGGCTGGATTCTGCTAGTTAAGGAGATGTGAGAATTTGTCATATAAGTCCCCTGGCTTTGCTTTTCTTATCTTTAAATTCAGGCTAAGAATATGTAGGCTTTTCAGCATGGATTAAATAAAACAGCATATTTAAAATTCCTGAAGTTACTTAGTTCCTAGCACACCCCACCTCCTTATCTTGTGTGTCTTTTATATCTAATTATTTGGATTCTGCTGTGTTTTTAAAAATAGGTCAATCTTTATATTCTTATTAAACTACAATGGACCTCACAAGTATTACTTTGGTCTTCAAGTTGATAATGATACAAAATATTTTTTGGTCTGAGATAATATTCTTTTATTTTTTGAGACGGTGTCTCACCTAGGCTGGAGTGGAGTGGTGCAATCTCAGCTCACTGCAACCTCTACCTCCCTGGTTCAAGCGATTCTCCTGCCTCAGCCTCCTGAGTAGAGACGGGGTTTCACCATGTTGGCCAGGCTGGTTTTGAACTCCTGACCTTGTGATCCTGCCTCGGCTTCCCAAAGTTCTGGGGTTACAGGTGTGAGCCACTGCGCCTGGCCCGATAATATTCTTTAGACTACAACACAGAGGGAAGTTGGGGAGAAAAAGGAGTTACCTGTTATTGAGCCACTGCTATGGCTACGCATGGCCATTTTGTAAATGTTTCGTTTAACTTTCCTGGCAGCCCTGTAGGATGATGTTAGCTTGGTTTACTGATGTAGCTCAGAGAGGCTCATTACTGGCCCAGGGTCACATAGCCAAGGGCTCTTTTAATTAGATGAGAATTCCAGGATGAAAAGAGTTCCTTACCCACATGAAACACCTCAGGAACTATTATTTTTATTTTGCTATTTCAACATGAATATATTTAAATTAAAAACAATCTATTACCTAGGAACTAAATTGTTTATTAAAGAAATTCTGTGAGTAATTAAAAATGGAAAAAGTCCTTTTCTTTTCAGATGAGCTGTTCCTTCTGTTGTCATATGTTGGATTACTGTGAGAGAAAATAGATGTGAGCAGAACTAGAGGAAAAAAATATCACTGGTATAATAATATATAATAAGATATATTATTTTGATGATGTATCTTCAAAATATCACTGGTATATTTTGATTATATATTTTGGTATATTTTGGTTATATATTAATATATATAGGTATATATATATATAAAATCATCAAAAGAAAATTGATGGCAGCAGTAGTAGGCAGAGGTAGTAAGTGAACCAAAGCTGATAAATTCTTTCACCTTATCCTCCCAAAATGACTCAGGGAGGCAGCTTGGTAAGGAGGAGGAGAAAGAAAGTGTGGCGTTTTGTAAGGAGTGTGCCAGATGTGTTAAAACCTGACATAGAAGGAGACAAAAAACTATTTGGTGGCTTTTCTGGAATGCCTAGCGAGTTTTGTCCAGTGCTTTGCTGATGAAACTGACAGAAACAAGCTATCTGAAATGGAAAGACGTATGGTGAAATATGTAGCTCTCTGGGAGCTTGCCAACCCTTTTGCATGCATGCAGATATTTAATAGACAAATTTAACATACGGACTCCTCTGGCTTTAGTACACTGGCAGACTTCAGTTTTTTTTTTTTTTTTTTTTTTTTTGGCTGAAGGTGAGTCACTGCTCAACCAAGTGCAAACCACACTCTATTTTTGGAACTTTTGATGTCATTGTTTTAAGCATCTTATGTTGGGCAGAAAAAGAAACCAAGTTGATTAAAAAAAAAATTGTGGGCCGGGCACAGTGGCTCACACCTGTAATCCCAGCACTTTGGGAGGCCGAGGCAGGTGGATCACGAGGTCAGGAGATCAAGACCATCCTGGCTAACACAGTGAAACCCCATCTCTACTAAAAATGCAAAAAAATTAGCCAGCATGGCGGCAGGCGCCTGTAGTCCCAGCTGCTTGGGAGGCTGAGGCAGGAGAATGGTGTGAACCTGGGAGGCGGAGCTTGCAGTGAGCCGAGATCACGCCACTGCACTCCAGCCTGGGTGACTGAGTGAGACTCCATCTCAAAAAAAAAAAAAAAAAAAAAAAAAAAAAAAATTGTGTTTTTACCAACTCTTATATAGGAAGATTTTAAACATTTGCAAAGTATTTAATGTTTGTGTTTGTCAGCCATAATTACATTATCACCAGATCAATGCATTTTTACTTCACTTGATAATGACTATAGAGTACAGCAAGAATTTCTGTGTGGAGAGAATCTTGGTAAAATCACTTCATTACCACTTAGTTGGGTAGATAGTTTTAATATTTTAAATGATATAATAGTATTACAGATTATTTTGAAATAAAAAGCGTCTTTAGTTCCACTACTTTCAAGTGACTACTTTTATATAGTCTTTCTGTCTTTATTGACATGTGTAGTTTTACATAGTTGCTCTCACAGTGCTTATTATCATTTTATTTTTCTCAGCCAACATAGTATTAACTTTCTTCTGTGTTGCTACATTGTCATCTGATCATTTTAAAGGCTACACAGTATTCCACTTTGTTAATGCATTATCACAATTATTATCATTGTCAGGTCTTATATTATTATACAATGAGCATTTTTCTGTAGTAGTTCTTTGCTTCTGAATTATTTACCAAGAATTAGAGTTATAGTGAATGGACATTTTTATGTCTTTCTGTATCATCTTGTTTTCCAAAAGAGATGTACTGGTTTACATGGCCAGTAGCTGTGAGTGAGTATTGTAACTGAATGGCTTTTAATAACAGTTTCTTTTCTAGACAAAAAATGCTGTCGAAAAGTTCACTGATGCCAAGAGAAGTTTATTGCAAACTGAGTCAGATGCTGAGGAATTAGAAAGGAGAGCTCAGGAAACTGCCGTTAACCTTGTCAAAGCTCATCAGCAGCTAAGGTAGGTGGATTCCCTAAGCCGTTGAAGAACACATTGAGATGAATGAAAAGTTTGCCTCTAAGGGGATAATAATTGGTTTATGATAAATAATGCGTGGTAGGTCTACAGGACCTGGGGGGAATAAAGCAATGTGCTTTAGATTACTCCAGGCTGATGCAAAGGATTTGGAGCAGCACAAAATCAAGCAAGAAGAAATCTTGAAAGAAATAAACAAAATTGTAGCAGCAGAAGACTCAGACTTCCAATGTTTAAGCAAGAAGAAGGAAAAACTGACAGAAGAGTAAGTCAGTCCCCTGTAGGGCTACAAGGGGTTTGTGCTGGAAGACAGCTCTGGGGGTTCCGAGTCCCTTAGGATCTGCTCTAGTGTTGCTGGTGCTTTGTAGGCTTCAGAAACTGCAAAAAGACGTTGAGATGGCAGAACGCAGTGAGGATCACCACCTGCAAGTCCTTAAAGAATCTGAGACGCTCCTTCAAGCCAAGAGAGCTGAGCTGGAAAAGCTGAAAAGCCAGGTATGACAATAGACGCCTTGAAAAAACAACTGACACAGCACTGTATGATTATAAAAGTAATACATGTTTAACTGTAGAAAAGAATAAATGAGGCTATGTATTATAGTTGTTAATGATAAAGTCTGAACTAAATTTGAATCCCAACTCAATACAATTTTTTTTTTTTTTTTTTTTTTTTTTTTGAGACAGAGTCTCGCGCTGTCGCCCAGGCTGGAGTGGAGTGCAGTGGCCGGATCTCAGCTCACTGCAATCTGCGCCTCCCGGGTTTGCGCCATTCTCCTGGCTCAGCCTCCCGAGTCGCAGGGACTACAGGCGCCCGCCACTTCGCCCAGCTATTTTTTGTATTTTTTTAGTAGAGACGGGGTTTCACTGTGTTAGCCAGGATGGTCTCGATCTCCTGACCTCGTGATCCGCCCGTCTCGGCCTCCCAAAGTGCTGGGATTACAGGCTTGAGCCACCGCGCCCGGCCTCAATACAATATTTTTGAGTAAAAAAAGTGAGTCTCAAAACATGGTATACTCTATGATATCATTTCTGTTAAATGCCTTTATGAACACTTGTGGTTGTATTTTTAGTCAATACCAAAGTACAAAAGTGGTCATCTGATAAGGGGGGATTTTGAGTATTTTCTGTTTTCTTCCTTTTGCATATCCACGTGGTCTTCTTTTTTTGTAAACAAATATGTATTGTCCTTAAAATTGTAACAAGTTTTTAATTTTAAAAATGAATACATTTTAAAAATCTCTGACTAACTTCCATCACCAAGGATGTCAAAATGGAATTAGGGTACAAAAATAAAAGTTCTTGGAAAACCATAACCTGAGGGGTAATCATGATTGTCATATTGTTGTTCTTACTGTGATCACTGTGATTTGAGTGGTTTTAAGTATGTGAGCTCAAGGTTTTCATTAGGCATTTCACTCTTGCACTCCTTGCCTGGGTTTTCTGACTCTTGGGGGCTAGGCTATTAGCTCCTGATTTTACCTCACAACTAAATTATCTCCAGGTTAGCACAGAGGGCTTTATGGCCTTTGTCAAACTTACTCTTCCCTTTTCTTTAATACAGGTGACAAGTCAGCAGCAGGAGATGGCTGTCTTGGACAGGCAGTTAGGGCATAAAAAGGAGGAGCTGCATCTACTCCAAGGAAGCATGGTGCAGGCAAAAGCTGACCTCCAGGAAGCTCTGAGACTGGGAGAGACTGAAGTAGCTGAGAAGTGCAATCACATTAAGGTGTGTTTTTTATTAGGTTTTCTGAAGAGTCCTAGGACAGTGCTATAGGTTTACTTTGATGTATTTTCATTGCTTCTTCCCAAATGAAAATATAAATTCCTGAAATCTTGCCTCCTCTGTAAAATCAATTTGTTATGTATCCATGCAGTGGCTGTCATGTGTAGTCCCCCATGTTGTTTTCTGGATATGCTCAAAGTTCTCCTGCCCCTGTACCTTTCTCATACCATTTCTTCTCCAGGAATTCCCTTTCTCCCCTATCACTAGCCTGATCTCACCTGTTTCTCATGGCGCAGCTTCGTGCCACCTCCTCTAAGAAAACTTCTGGCCGGGTGCAGTGGCTCACACCTGTAATCCCAGCACTTTGGGAGGCCAAGGCGGGCAGATCACGAGATTAAGAGATTGAGACCAGCCTGGCCAACATGGTGAAACCCCATCTCTACTAAAAATACAAAAATTAGCCAGGCATGGTGGCATGCACCTGTAATCCCAGCTATTCGGGAGATTGAGAAAGGAGAATTACTTGAACTCGGGAGGCGGTGGTTGCAGTGAGCTGAGATCGTGCCACTGCACCCCGGCCTAGTGACAGAGTGAGACTCAATTTCAAAAAAAAAAAAGAAAAGAAAACTTCTCTGACTTTTTTCTTTCTCTTGGAAGAAGGAGTTTCCTTCTTTTGAGTTTAGAAACACTCTGTCTGCATGTTTCCTAGGGCATCTTAGCCTTTTGTGATCGTGTTTATGTTCCCTGCCTCACCACTCAACAAGGTACTAAGCCCCTCCAGAGCAGGAGCCATGTCTCAGTCAGGCTTTTCTCTCTATAGCACATTGCCTTGCTTATAGTAATGTTGCAAATATATTTAGATGAAGAGAATATGTTACTTTCTTCTATTATGTAGAAATAGGTTTCTGCAAAATATAATGCTGTTCTTGACATAAAAGGCAAAAATGAGCTTGTTTCCAAATTAGAATTTCTATGAAATAAAACAATAAATAACAGAACTTATTTTGAAGTAATTTTCATTTACAGTCACAGGAGGGGGTAACTTTTTTTTTTTTTCAAACACAGGAAGTAAAATCTCTTCTGGAAGAACTGAGTTTTCAGAAAGGAGAACTGAACGTTCAGATTAGTGAAAGAAAAACTCAGCTTACACTTATAAAGCAGGAAATTGAAAAAGAGGAAGAAAATCTTCAGATTGTTTTAAGACAGATGTCTAAACATAAAACTGGTAAGTTTAAAGGAAAACAATCATACAAAGTTTGAGGTTGGAAATGTCTGTGTATTACAAGTCACAGAAAAAAATAAGAAATGGCCAAACTGTAAAGTTTAACCTTACTACTAATAAGCAAAGAAAGCAGGTTATAAAAGGCATATGATGTTATTTTCTGCCATTTTAATTGATAAACTTTATTTAAAAGCAAAACAATCATGCTTATTGCTGATCAGAGTGTGCTGAAAGAAGAGCACGCACAGTCTATCAATTGAGATATAAACTGAAACAATCTCCCAGTGTTTCAAGACTCTTAAAATTCACACCTGTTGAACCAGTCAGCCCATTTCTACTCCTCCAGAAAGGGCAAGTGTGTACATCACAGCAATATTTATAATGACAAAATTTGGAAACAGGCTGGGTGTGATAGTTCATGCCTATAATCCCAGCTCTTTGGGAGGCTGAGGCAAGAGGATTGCTTGAGCCCAGGAATTCAAAACTACCTGGGCAATGTAGTGAGACCCCATCTCTACAAAAATACTCAAAAATTAGTGATACACATTGATGTGCACCTGTAGTCTCAGCTATTCGGAAGGCCAAGCAGGGAGGATCCCTTTAGGAGGTCAAGGCTGCAGTGAGCTATGATTATGCCACTATGCTCCAGCCTGGGAAACAGAGGAAGACCCTGTTTCACCATACCCCCTGCAAAATTGGAAACAGATGACCAATTTAAAAGTCATATTTTTAACATTTAATGACATACAAACATGCCCATGAGAAGAATGAAAAAAGTGGGTAAAAAATGAATATGGAGTATATAGTCCCAGTTTATTTTAAAATATGTGAGTGTGTGTGTGTGTGTGCGCGCGCGCGCATGCATTCTTGGAACATCAAAATGCTATTGTAATAGTGATTTGGGGTGGTGAAATGATGGTGGGTTTTTATTTTTTTCTCCTACGCTTTTTTTTGTATTTTCCAACTTTTCTACAATAAGCAAGTATCTCTATATTCAGAAAAAAAAGTTAATATTTAAATATCTGTATTTCAAAGGCCAAAAAATTGTTATGTAAATCTCAGTCTGTATTTCAAAGTATTTTTAACTTATTTTGATCAATTTTATATAAAATGCTTTTAGTTGATTCTTTTATGTAGAAACAAATGCTTTGGAACCAGATCTTTGTTAATTAAATGTTTTTGTTAAAATGTTTGTCTGTTTATTTATTTATATAGAGATGGGATCTTGCTCTGTCAACCAGGCTAGTCTCAAACTCCTGGGCTCAAGCAATCCTTACACCTCAGCCTGCCAAATGGCTGGGATTACAGGCGAGTGCTTCTGCACCTGGCTTGTTAAAATGTTTTAAACAAATTAAATAGTATGTAACAATACTTTTAGAGAATTTTTTATTAAGAATAAAATTAGCACCATTAATTCAGCGCAACAGAATTTTTAAAATTATCTTGTATTAGTCAATAGCATTGTTTTCTGTTTCATTTTGTAAATGTTTTCCAAGTTCATTTAATATCATGGACCATGCTTTGTTTCTATCCCTTAGAACTAAAGAATATTCTGGACATGTTGCAACTTGAAAACAATGAGCTACAAGGTTTGAAGCTACAACATGACCAAAAGGTATCTGAATTAGAGAAGACTCAGGTGGCAGTGCTAGAGGTAATGAACAAAGCCATTGTACCCTTAAGAAACTGAGGTCTTTCTCATGTAGGATATTTGAGTCCTCTTTTATCTGATTTAGGAGAAACTGGAGTTAGAGAATTTGCAGCAGATAGCCCAGCAGCAGAAAGGGGAAATAGAGTGGCAGAAGCAGCTCCTCGAGAGGAATAAACAAGAAATAGAACGAATGACTGCTGAGTCCCGAGCTTTACAATCGTGTGTTGAGTGTTTGAGCAAAGAAAAGGAAGATCTCCAAGAGAAATGTGACATTTTGGAAAAAAAGTTGGCACAAACCAAAAGGTGAGAGCAAGAACAAATAAGCTTGCAGGATCACTTCTTCAGGCCAAGACATTATAAACATGCTATAAAAAATTTGGAAAATAGAGAAAAGGATAAAATACACCACAAACTTGGTATCATAATACATTTTGCCAGTTGCATTGTTTGGTGAATTTCCTTCTAGCTTTTTTTTTTTCCTCAAAAGCATTTTTAAAAAATCTATTGTGCTTTTTTTAAGTAAAATAATACATGCTGGAAATAAATGGAGATATATATCTTGTTCATGGACCAGAAGACAGCATTGTTAAAGATTTAGTTCTCTTCAAATTGATCTCTAGATTCAAAACAGTTACAATTAAAATCTTAATAGCCTTTTCTTGTGGAAATTGACAAGCTGGTTCTGAAATTATATGAACCTAGAATTGAATTATTCTAAGACCTACAATAGAATTTATACAGTTTTTTAGGTATGACACCAAAACAACTTTTAGAAAGTAGAACAAAAATTTAGGACTAACACTACCTGATTGCAATACTTTTATAAACCTGTAGTAATCAAAACACTGTGGTATTAGTATAAAGATGAACACATAGATCAAAGGAATAGAATAGAAAGTCTAGAAATAAACTGACATATATGTGAACAACTGATTTTGATGAAGATACAAAGGCATCTTTTTCAGTAGAGAAAAGATGGTCTTTTAGAAAAATGTTGCTGAAACAATTGGATATACAAAACCAAAAAAAGAACCTCAATTCATACCTCACTCTGTATAGTATATAAATATTAATTTAACATGAGGCCAGGCACGGTGGCTTATGCCAGTAATCCCAGCATTTTGGGAGGCTGAGGCAGGAGGTTCACTTGAGCCCAGGAGTTTGAGACCAGCCTACACAATTAGAAAGACCTTGTGTCTGCAAAAAAGAAAAAAAAAAAAAAAGAAAAATAGCCAGGTTGGGAAGCTGAGGTGGGAGAATTGTTTGAGCCTGGGAGGTCGAGGCTACAGTGAGCCATGATGATACCACTGCACTCCAGCCAGGATGACAGAGTGAGACCCTGTCTCAAAAAATATGTATATATACACATATTTATTTTTATGTTTATATATAGGACCATAATCATATATGTAAAACCTAAATATAAAACTTCTAGAAGAAAACATAAAACATAGTAGAAAACTTTTGTGACCTTAGAGTGGGCACAAATTCTTGGTATGACACCAAAAGCATGATCCATAAAATAATTAATTGATACAATTAGACTTCAAAATTTAAAACATCTGCTCCTCAAAAGACACTGTTAAGGTAATGAAAAGATACGTCACAGGTTGGGAAAAAATATTTGCAACCCATGTATCTGATAAAGGACTTGTGTTCAGAATACATATATAAAGAACTCTCAAAACTCAATAAGAAAATAACCCAATTATTTAAATGGGCAAAAGATTTGAACAGACATTTCATTACAGAAGATAAATGGATGGCAAATAAGCACATGAAAAGATACGCAGGATCATTAATCATTAGGGAAATGCAAATTAAAACCACAGTGAGATATCACTACACACCTATTAGAACAACAGCCATACCAAATGTTAATATTAACCAGGAACTTTCTTTTTTTTCTTGAGACGGGAGTCTCTGTCACCCAGGCTGGAGTGCAGTGGCTCACTGCAAGCTCTGCCTGCCAGGTTCACGCCATTCTCCTGCCTCCATTTCCAGAGTAGGTGGGACTACAGGCACCCATTACCATGCCCGGCTAATTTTTTGTATTTTTAGTAGAGACGGGGTTTCACTGTGTTAGCCAGGATGGTGACGATCTCCTGACCTCGTGATCCGCCCGCCTCGGCCTCCCAAAGTGCTGGGATTACAGGCGTGAGCCACCGCATCCGGCCAGAACTTTCATATATGATTGAGGGGCATGTAAAATGGTATTAAGTAACTGTTTAACTTTGGAAGACAGTTTAACAGTTACTTAAAAATCAAACATACACTACCGGAAGATCTAGCCATTCCACTCCTAGGTATTATATTTATTCAAGAGAAATGAAAGCATATTTCTACACAGTGTATATACTAATGTTCATGACAGCCTTATTTGTAATAGCCAAAGACTAGAAATGACCCAAATGTCTATCACCTGGTAAATAGAAACAAATTGTGGTATATCCACACTGTAGAATACTACTCAGCAATAAGAAGGGAATGAAGTATTGATACACACAACATGGATGAATCTCAAAGTAACTACACTGTGTGAAAGAAGCCAGACCAAAAGCAAGTTCATACTGTATGACTCCCTTTATATACTACAATACATGCTCATGCATGTCTGCTATATGAACAGATCCTACTGTACATACAATCGTTTTCTACTTTTTTTTATTGTCACAGCTCCATTTTTATCAGATTTTTGGAATTCTGAATGTTATCCATGTTTTTAATCTATGATTTTTATAAAACTTCAATTTAATGAGTCATTTGAAAAAAGTCTCCACTTAGCTGATAAGATTTTGAAAATGAGTTGTCTTAAATTTCGTGAAGATTTATAATCTTTTATACTTTCCATAACTGTATGTTGTGAAAGGATAACACTGTTCCTCAGTCATCTCCTGTGTGTGCTTGAATATTTTATATTTGACAGTCTTACTTATTCTCTGTGGTAGGGTTTTAGCAGCAGCAGAAGAAAATAGCAAAATGGAGCAATCAAACTTAGAAAAGTTGGAATTGAATGTCAGAAAACTGCAGCAGGAACTAGACCAACTAAACAGAGACAAGTTGTCACTGCATAACGACATTTCAGCAATACAACAGCAGCTCGAAGGTATAAGGCAGCAGAACAGTGAAAGTGTGATTTCCTTGCCCTTTGTTAGTTTCTTTGTTTGATTTTTCGTATGGCAGAAGTAATTCCTGCTAAGGAGCATGGAGTTTCTTTCTAAAATTAGATTGTGGTAATGGTTGCACAACTCGGAAAATACTAAAAGACTTTGAATTACACACTTTAAATAGGACATAATATGTGCATTTTATCTCAAAGTCAGTTTAAAAAAAAAAAAAAAAACACCTAATTCATCTTCCTTAGAGAACAATTTTAAAACATAGTAAAAAGAAATAAAAATTGCTGTTTACCTCACTCCTCATAGATTCCTAGCAACAGTTTGGTGAATATCCTTACAGATTTTTCCTAGGGGTGTGTGTCTAGTTTGAAAAGCAAAGATGTAAATAATGAAGATTTTAAAATTATCAAATGTTTATAAATATGATAATTTATTTAGAAATTGCTGAGTAATTCTATCTAATAATATATTTGTTGAACATTTTTTATGTCCTTGATATTTCATTTTCTCGTTTAATCCTCATAACATTTTTATGAGATAAAAGTTATTTTACTCATTTGTAAATAAGGAAACCGAAGCTTAGTTTTCTTGTGACTGCTTAAATGAGAAGTGATTTTCTAGAAGTCACACAGCTAGTAATTGACAAAGCCAGTATAGATATAAAATTTATTCCCAAATTGCCTTCCTGAAAGCTTGTTTCTATTTCTACCAGCAATGCAGAAGGTAGCTGTTTTTAAACTATGCACCTAACATTATCTGTAATTTTTTCGTTGTGAGAGTTTGAACATGAAAATCTTTAAAAACCTGAGCTCCAAGCCCAAATGTGGATTGTGCATATAACTCTCTTTTGGCCTTTAATGAGATAGTGTGGCATAGTCATACATGTAACAGAAGTAAGCGTAAAATAACTTCTCTACTTTTTGGGAATGCTAATGGGAATCTGTATGTACGTATGTATTTCTTATTTCATGAGAATGTCATTTCTGTAGAAAAACAAGAAGCAGTAAACTCACTGCAGGAGGAACTAGCTAATGTCCAAGACCATTTGAACCTAGCAAAACAGGTAAGGTTAACAAATGTAATATTCTAGTAGTATACTGAGGGTATGCAGACAATTGGTTTAAATAACAAGGAAATCAAGTAGGCTGGTTCCTCTTCACAACAGCAGATACTCTAGGGCCATTTCTATATAACATAACCGTCACATAAATAAAAGTTTTGGTGGAGAGCAGTGGTTTGCTAATTTATTTTAGCCTTAGAACTCTTGATACAAACAAAGTTTTACTCAAAGCTAGTAAGTAGGGTGGTGGCTAGACCAGAGCCCAGCAGCAGTCTCTCAGCAGCCCTTCTTGGGGCTTCAGGGACCAGATGGATCATCTCTAATCCATGGCACAGATGAGGACTTTAAAGGCTGGGCTTAGATTTGATTACTCCTTGAGCCATAGAGTAACCGTCAAATCTGGGCCTCTATCTTGTCAGATACTGAATATAGCAGATTTTTGACCCTTATACTTCTAATGATTTTCTTAAAGGGAATTCAGTGTTGTCCTGTGAGACTAGTGCTGTAATTCAGAGCACTTCAGGCGAGTTCTAGACCTTAGTTTCTATTATGTAAATTAAGAGTTATGCCAGGTGCGGTGGCTTGCACCTGTAATCCCAGCACTTTGGGAGGCTGAGGCGGGCAGATCACCTGAAGTCGGGAGTTCAAGACTAGCCTGACCAACATGGAGAAACCCCATCTCTACTAAAAATACAAAATTAGCTGGGTGTGGTGGCGCATGCCTGTAATGCCAGCTACTCGGGAGGCTGAGGCAGGAGAGTCACTGGAACCCGAGACCTGGAGGTTGCCGTGAGCCGGCATTGCATCATTGCACTCCCGCCTGGGCAACAAGAGCGAAGCTCTGTCTCAGGAAAAAAAAAAAAAAAACAGTTACATTAGACACAGGCTAGGTATGGTGGCTCATGCCTGTAATCCCAGCACTTTGGGAGGCCAAGGCAGGTGGATCACTTGAGGCCAGGAGTTCGAGATCAACCTGGCCAACATGGTGGAACCCCATTTCTACTAAAAAGACAAAAAGTTAGCTGGGCATGGTGGCATGTGCCTGTAGTCCCAACTACTCAAGAGGCTGAGATGGGAGGATTGCTTGAACCTGGGAGGCGGAGGTCACAGTGAGCCAAGATCATGCCACTGCACTCCAGCCTTGGCAACAGAGCAAGACTGTCAAAATAAATAAATAAATAAAATAAAAGTTGGATTAGACATCTAAATTCTCTTGTACCTATAAGTTTATTGAGATAATAAAGGAAATAAACTTTTATGCCTCTCATTCTGTCAGACTTAGTAGATACTGGATTGGCACCTGGCCACCTCTAGTAAAGATGGCTTTATTAGTAGTTTCCACTTGTTCTTTCACCTAAAGGACCTGCTTCACACCACCAAGCATCAGGATGTATTGCTTAGTGAGCAGACCCGACTCCAAAAGGACATCAGTGAATGGGCAAATAGGTTTGAAGACTGTCAGAAAGAAGAGGAGACAAAACAACAACAACTTCAAGTGCTTCAGAGTGAGATTGAAGAAAACAAGCTCAAACTAGTCCAACAAGAAATGGTACTACACATTTATGACTTTATATAAAAGAAGCATTTTGTGGCTCATGTGAGCCTATTTTTCCCCTGGCAGAAAGCTGCTGAGAAATACCCCCATGGGACTGTGTGTCGCTTAACTGCCCTGTGTAGCCATGGGTGGCGTTTACACCAACTATGTGACTTAGAGACCTTTAATGATCATAGAACATCAGTCCTGTAAAGATACTTAATGGCCACATGCCATTTGCTGCTTTAATCCCCTCCTCACATGCTGGCCAGACAGCTTCCCAAGCCCTCTTGATCACCTCTGTAATGGAGTTGTCCCTGTGGGCTGTCTTCTACTTTCTTTTGAACTGGAATCTGTCTCATGTCCATGCAGGTTCTCTGGGACACTATTTGTTGTTTTATGACTAATCAAGATTACTCTTTATTAAGATATTTCAGAGACTCCAGAAAGAGAGAGAAAGTGAAGAAAACAAATTAGAAACCAGCAAAGTGACACTGAAGGAGCAACAGCACCAGCTGGAAAAGGAATTAACAGACCAGAAAAGCAAACTGGACCAAGTGCTCTCAAAGGTGCTGGCGGCTGAAGAGCGTGTTAGGATTCTGCAGGAAGAGGAGAGGTGGGGTGAGAGCCTGGAGAAGACGCTCTCCCAAACTAGTATGTATTCTGGAACTTCTCACTGGGAGATGGGGTATGGGTTGGCTCTGCTGGTTGTCTTGCAAAAGTATTTAAAGATATCCAGACCCCAGCCAGAGCCAGGAGAGGAAGCAGGAGAAGTTAAAGCAGGAGGTATGACAGCCCTGTGAAAGATGAGGAAGCAGGTTCAGAGAAGAGATGTGATCCTGAGACTGACCAGAAGGTCCTTCCTTGCTCGTATGGTCTCCTTTGAGAATGCCATCTCAAGAAAGTGGAACATTCAAGTGAATAACTGCCAAAAGATACTCTTAAAGGATATTACCTTTGAGCTTTGGGAATAATGATCTCCTTCATCTCAAGTGTCAAAAAAAGTCATATTAACAGTTCTTCTGTCCAGATTTGGCCTAGTGAATGGTACCAGAATACAGGTGTTTGCTTTTAAGTCAGTTTGTTCTCTCTTGAACCATATATAAATGAAGTTCACATGGGAATCCAGGGTAAATGATTGTTCTCACATCAGTAAATGGTTTTTCTCTTTCTTAGGCTCCAGGGTTTAATAATGCTTGGAAAATGTTGTGGGCTTGGGGATCTGAAAGGGTTATTATTCCTTTTTCCCTGGGAACTCTTGATATATGCAGACCCAATCATTTCATTATTAAAATGAAACTTAAAAAAAATATGTCCAGTTCTGATCATGCCAGAGTTGTTGAAAAGTAAAATCTGGGTGATAAGAAAAATATCTTTTAAATATCACTTTTATTTTGTAAGCATTCTCTGTCGAGTACTCACTATGTACCAAGCGTTTGCATACATGATTCTAACTGAACATCAGGAAATGTATTCCTCATTATAAAATGGGGCTCATGCCAGCGTAGGAGGCAGCTCCAAATCGTGTGCACTTTCCACTGCACTGCCTCCTGTAGAAGGATGTTGTACTGGTGTGTCTCCCTTTATGAGAATCAGTGTTTATGAAAAACATTTCATCTGTTCCACACACTTCAGGATTGGTGCTGGGTTTCCTCTCACTGGTCTCAAAGAGTTGAAAGAGAAGATAGTAGCTGTCTGTCACTCTGGGATCAGTCTCTCCAGGAACCAATTACTTCAAAAGGCACCCTTATCTGGGTCTTTTTCTGGGCCTTTGAAGTGTGGGTCAGGGTAGGCTTGTAAGACTTTGTAATGGAGGAAAGCACCTGCATGGGTCGCATATCACCATTATGCATCTGCCACAAGGGAAGGGGAGCTCTGCCCACAGTTGGCTCGGGCTCTTTAGCTAAACCGACTGCAAATGCTCATTTCAGAACGGCAGCTTTCAGAAAGGGAGCAGCAATTGGTGGAGAAGTCAGGTGAGCTGTTGGCCCTCCAGAAAGAGGCAGACTCTATGAGGGCAGACTTCAGCCTCCTGCGGAACCAGTTCTTGACAGAAAGAAAGAAAGCTGAGAAGCAGGTGGCCAGCCTGAAGGAAGCACTTAAGATCCAGCGGAGCCAGCTGGAGAAAAACCTTCTTGTGAGTACCTGCTGCCGTGGCAGTTTGTGAGGAAATGATAAATTTAAAATTTTAAACTGCAACACCACTTCAACATAGAGAAAATAAATTACCCATCAACACAGTCCTGAACCCAACTGTTGTTATTGGTGTATTTATGCATCATTTGTCCTTGAAGCTGATGGTAAGTTTTACCTGGGACAGGGGTGCAGCCTCAAAGGAGCTCTGGCTGGCTGGGGAGACTGTCGTGTGAACAGCCATTATCAGCACAAAGTAGAGAGCACGTTCTGCCAGTGAGCCTCAGTTTACACCTCCACTGGCGGGTGGAGGGGGTGTTGAAGAAGCCTTCTCTAGACGGTTTTTTTTTTTTTAGATGGCATCTTGCTCTGTCTCCCAGGCTAGAGTGCAGTGGCACGATCTCAGCTCACTGCAGCCTCCGCCTCCTGGGTTCAAGCAATTCTCATGCCTCAGCCTCCTGAGTAGCTGGAACTACAGGTGTGCGCCACCACGCCCAACTAATTTTTATATTTTTAGTAGAGATGGGGTTTCACCAGGTTGACCAGGCTGGTCCTGAACTCCTGACCTCAGGTGATCCACCTGCCTCAGCCTCCCAAGGTGCTGGGATTACAGGAGTGAGCTATTGCGCCTGGCCCATAGACGGTTTATTTTTATTTTTATTTTCAAGACAGAGTCTTGCTCTGTCACCCAGTCTGGAGTGCAGTGGCATGATCTCAGTTCACTGCAACTTCCACCTCCCAGGTTCAAGCAATTATCCTGTCTCCTGAGTATCTGGAATTACAGGCACATGCCACCACGCCTGGCTAATTTTTGTATTTTTAATAGAGTGGGGTTCACCATGTTGGCCAGGCTGGTCTCGCACTCCTGACCTTATGATCCATACGCCTTGGCCTCCCAAAGTGCTGGGATTACAGGCGTGAGCCATCGTGCCCAGCCAGTTTTATTACACTGCTGTAGTCAGTGCTTACAAATTTTTCTCATCCTGCCCTTTTTGGCCAACATTAGCTTTAATCATTAGCCTAAAACCAGGAAGCTCAATCTACCATGCTTTCATCCTTGAAATAAATTTGGGAAGTGACACTCAGATAGGTCAGAATAATTTATTGTGGATGGAGGCAGCTGAGCAGCAATGGAACTGTCAAGGGTGTGGATTTTTCCAGTACCCTCTGGAGGGATTAGTGGAGCCCTGTTCTATGAAAGGAACTTTTAAACCATGTGTGTCTCTCAAAGGGGATACACTTCTAACTAGTGATAGGCCAGATCATCATACAGATGGAATATAGATATCTCAGATTTAACCCTACCAGTAACTCTGTGATGATGGCTATTATTATTCTCATTTTACAGACAATTAATGAAGACTCAGAAAGGGTTAGTAGCTTATCAAAGGTGATGCTAACAGACTCTGACGTGTATATACTCCCAGCTGTATTTGATCTGCCCATGAAAGGAAGATAGAATTTTCCCTATTTGACAGCTAGAGAAGCTGAGGCCCAGATGGGGAATGAAGTTATAGAGCTAGTGAGTGTGTAAGCCAGCAAACCACACCTCCACTTGTTGGATCGCAGAGTTATTTTCTTCCTCCTGTGCTAGGAGCAAAAACAGGAGAACAGCTGCATGCAAAAGGAAATGGCAACAATTGAACTGGTAGCCCAGGACAACCATGAGCGGGCCAGGCGCCTGATGAAGGAGCTCAACCAGATGCAGTATGAGTACACGGAGCTCAAGAAACAGGTGTGTGCCCAGGAAGCCCAGCTGGCCAGCCTGGGGGGAGAGGACTCACTGGGCTCAGGCAGATTGTATTGTTTTTAATATCCCTTCTATAGTAGTATAGAAAAACTGATTATAAGAATGTTCTTTAAGTCAAATCTGGTTTTTTAGCCTTAAAATTTAGAAATGCACCTCCACTATTTGTTAAAAATATACTTTCAGAATTCTCTTAAATTTGACAAGCTCTTAAAATGTTAGTTTTTCAAGGAAAAAAGGTAATTCTTGAGCATCATATTTCGTGTCCCAAAGAACTACGTTGAAATGTTAGATTTTATGCCATAAACAAGTCTATAGGAGCCAAAACCTCCCCTACCCCTTGAGCAAGAAAAGATGGTCCAGGGGGAAACCTTTGATATCACATAATGTAGCCAGGCAGAGAGTATTAAATCAGCTCATGCCTGGACTGGTAGAGTCTCTAATCCTTGATGTCTCTGGTGTCCTTTAGAGCATCTGGGCCATCCCTGAACTCTAGCAGGGGCTGCTGTGGCCACTCATTTGGCCCTGCTATACTTAGTCCTTTGGATGACCCCACGTGGCCATTCTAGTTTCATCTGTGCTTCCAATCCCCTGACGCCCCACATATACCTACCATTTGATTCAAGAAAAAATAACTAAAAACAATTATTTAAAGACCACAAGCCCTTAGTGATTTTGCCTTTGCAAATTTGGTAAGGCAATTAGCAGTAGGTATAAATCTCATTTTCACTAAGCTGTATATGGGGTAGAGCCACATAGAGTAGTCTCAGGCATCAAATGCAATTGGTAACACTTTTTAAGAAACCTCTAGGCTGGGTGTGGTGGTGCATTCCTGTAATCCCAACACTTTAGGAGGCCAAGGTGGGTGAATCACTTGAGCTCAGGAGTTCAAGACCAGCCTGGGCAACATGCCAAGACCTCGTCTCTACTAAAAATACAAAAAGTAGCTAGGTGTGGTGGCATATACCTGTAGTCCCAGCTACTCAGGAGGCTGAGGTGGGAAGATTGCTTGAGCCTGGGAGGTTGAGACTGCAGTGAGCCAAGATTGTGCCACTGCACTGCAGCCTGGGTGACAGAGCAAGACCCTGTCTTTAAAAAAAAAAAAAAAATGTATATTGCTCAAGCCAGCAGATTCTTCACTTATAAAATTCCAGTATTAGCATTTATAATCTAGATCACTTATGACTTATTTCAATAAATGGCCCTTTTCTCATTTGTGGCTTACTCTAGTTGCCAGTTGGGTGCCACTGAGGTACTTCATGTAAATTCTCACTTAGTTTTCACATTTCTGAGCAGAAGGTATTTATCTCCTTGTATAAATGAGGTCATGGAGGATCAGATGTTAGCCAACTTGCCCTAAGTCATACTGGTAATACTGGAAATGAGACTGGTAACTAGCTTTGTCTGACTCCAAAGAGATTGTCTTCAAGGAACTTTATGCACGTGCCTTTTCTAAATGAAAGTTGTTCCAGTGAAAATGCCAGTAAAATAATTTATTCAGTAGCTTATAGATTCTTGAGTATCTGAAAAATCACAAGTTTTTACAGTTCTAGTAATTATAGTAGTTGATATTTATAGATCTTTAAATACGTGGCACATCATTCAGCTCAATTCCAAGTAAGTCTGAAATTTTATACAATGATATTTGACACCAACTCACTGTTTAGATGGCAAACCAAAAAGATTTGGAGAGAAGACAAATGGAAATCAGTGACGCAATGAGGACACTTAAATCTGAGGTAAAGGATGAAATCAGAACCAGCCTGAAGAATCTCAATCAGTTTCTTCCAGAACTACCAGCAGATCTAGAAGCTATTTTGGAAAGAAATGAACACCTAGAAGGAGAATTGGAAAGCTTGAAAGAGAACTTTCCATTTACCATAAATGAGGGACCTTTTGAAGAAAAACTGAACTTTTCACAAGTTCACATAATGGTAAGGGTTTATCCTGCTATTCTCTGGGTTCATAGGATTGACCGCCTCCCCCAGCCAAGCTAAAACACAGATGTGGGGGTGCTGGGGTAGGGGAGGGAAAGGCTGGTTCGCTTCCACTTGTAGCAGCAGTGGTATCTGATATCTCCATTTTCCCTCTGAGAAAGGATGAGCACTGGCGTGGAGAAGCACTCCGGGAGAAACTGCGTCACCGGGAAGACCGACTCAAGGTTGCCCTTTAAAACAAACAAAAAACCAGTATGAGATACTGGGCACATTGGGGAGGGGAGGGGAAAGTTACATTTACCTGATGCTTTCACATCCATGCTGTTGCAGCACTGCTGGCAGTGTCAGGGATGGCATGTCTGAAGCTCTGAGGAGTTGGTGTCACACAGTAAACGGCAGTCAGCGTTCAAAGCAATGACTTGTGTCGACTCCAGTGTTCTTTAACCTATGTAATGCTGCTTTACCTCAGCTAGAACTGATAGAATCTAAGTATTTGGGACAGGAAGTAGAAACACAGTGATGAACTATAAGGTTATCACAGGCCAGCGGTGGCAGGAAAGATTTGGGACACTGGAAAAGTAGGCTGAATGTCAGTTAAGGAATTGTTTGGCTCCAAACATGTTGACTTTGAAGGCCTTGTGAGATATCCAGGGAAGGATATCTGTCTGTAGGCAGCCAAAAATAGGAGTCTAGGATTACTGATCAGTGTTGACCTAAAGATGTGAGAGTTAAAAGTATAGATAGGAGGTTACATTTATTTGGGGGGAATGGCTATATAGAAAGCATGGGATGAGAGAGTGCAGTGCTATAGTATTGAGTGGAGCCCTGTGATGTCCAACAATAGTCTCCAGCCATGTGTGGTTATTTAAATTTTAATAAATTATAATTAAGTTAAAAATTAAGTTATTAATTTGCCACATTTCAAGTGCTCAATAGCCTCATGTGTCTAGTGGCTTCTATATTGATAGCCAGAGGTAGAACATTCCCATCATTGCAGAAAGTTCTGTTGGACAGCGCTGCTATAGACTTTGAGAGAATTTGATTATAGCAGGGGCAAAAGCCAAAAAGTAGTATGAAGTTGAGGATTAAATACCTAGTGAGTTTACAGACAAGAAACTAAGGCTTAGGAAAAAAAAATACATAATCAGGAGACACTCCAGGTGTCAAGTATAAACTAACTGATCTCAGTCATAACAGAGAAGGAAAAAAGAGATGAGGCAATAATTTAATGGAGAAGCAAGGGATACAGAAATCCTAAGCACTGCTAGCATGGAAAACACGGGCCAAGTGAAAGGCCCAGTTAATGACAACACAGAAAAGTAAAGGTTTATGCTCACTAAGTATCTACCTGGCACCTCCTACAATTCTTTTTAAAGATGAACATTTTCAACAACCATTCCTGTTAGCCAGATTTGCCTGTCAAGTGTATGTGAGGAAGCTAAGCTGTAGTTCTGGTGCATTTCTTCTGTGTCAAACCCTAAGTCTTGTAACACTTTTCAGGCCCAACTCCGACACTGTATGTCCAAGCAAGCAGAAGTATTAATTAAAGGAAAGCGGCAGACAGAGGGCACTTTACACAGTTTGAGAAGACAAGTAGATGCTTTAGGGGAACTGGTCACTAGCACCTCTGCAGATTCAGCATCATCACCCAGTCTGTCTCAGCTGGAGTCTTCCCTCACAGAGGACTCTCAACTTGGACAAAATCAGGTAAACAGCAGCTCTTTTTAAAAACAAAACAATAGCCTGGGGTTGTTTTTTTTGTTGTTGTTGTTTGTTTTTTTGAGACAAGGTCTTGCTTGGTACTGTCACAGCCCACTGCAGCCTTGACCTCCCAGGCTCAAGCGATCCTCCCACCTCAGCCTCCCATGTAGCTGGGACTACGGGCACACAACACCACACTTGTTTTAGCAAAGACTTGGTAGAGGTGGATAAGCTGATGGCTTAGGAAACAGACTACAACTGCAGATTAGATGACCTGGCAGGGATAGAGTTAATTCTATTCATGTCCTCCACTTCTGGATTTCTTTATTTCCTACTCTGTCAATATAAAGGGCTTAGACCTGTGAGGCCAGTATGAGTCCTAGTTTAGTCTGTCTCCCTGCATTTTGTAACTTACATTTAAGAAGTTGGAATTCAGACCTCTTAACCTAGGGTCTATAAAAACCCTGAATTTCACAAAGGTTTTCTGTGTGAGCTTAGATAAGGTTAATAAGCATTTAAGAGGAACATGAAATATGCTCATGGAACTGGTAAGTAGTAGCACACGTAACTGTCAGAGATAGGTAACAGCTTCCATTTTCGAGTGCCTATTGTGTGCACATAAAAAACTTTATATACATTATCTAATTTTTACATCCTTGGAGGTAGGAATTATCCCTTTATATAGATAAGTAATCTGTACAAAATGATAAATGATTTGGTCAAGGACATAGCAAAGGACAACAGTAGGACTAACGGGCTAATCTCTCTTTACCACAGAGCAGTATATTTTAATGGTGGAGCCACAAGGAGCTTTTAAGAACTGTTGCCTCTTTAATATGCCCAAGGTGGGCAAGTGACTCACCTAGGTCACACAGCTAATTAATAGCAGCAGGGCCATCTGAATATGATTATCTTAACACCGTCTGTGGTGGGACCCAGTCAGGTAAAGGCCAAAATCATCATGGGCCTCAGGGCAGGGTTCGAGGAGGAGTGTGAGAGGCACTGGGCATTGAATAGGGAAGCTTTCCTATTCAATGGAATAAGACAGCCCAGAGTCGTGGGAGAAGAGTACACAAGGGCTTAAGAGCCAGGTTCAATTACCAGCTCAAGGTGGCAGCTAGATTTATTTAGGTGCTTTAAAGGCAACCAACGCACAATGGGTAGAGGTGAGATTGGTAGAATTATTTAGAAGTCTGGGGTTGTAATCCAGGCCTGTGTGGGATAAAAGCCTGAACTAGTTAAAAGTTAGGGGGCTGGCTTCTGAGCCTAACACTTTATTTCCCTTCTTTTCTGTTAAGAATAGATACTACACTTGATCTTAGCCAAAAGGCTGAGAGCTCCTTCCAACAAGTTCTACAAGGTCCATCAGAACCACTAGACAGTTACTGGCACTGATGCCATCCCTCCTCACTGGGTAGATGTTACAGATTTTTTCTTTTTTAAACTAGAACTTTTAATTGGAGGATCTTGAATTTTAGCAGTTTTAAGAATAACTTTTTCTCCCGGGCGCGGTGGCTCAAGCCTGTAATCCCAGCACTTTGGGAGGCCAAGATGGGTGGATCACGAGGTCAGGAGATCGAGACCATCCTGGCTAACCTGGTGAAACCCCGTCTCTACTAAAAAATACAAAAAACTAGCCGGGCGAGGTGGCGGGCGCCTGTAGTCCCAGCTACTCAGGAGGCTGAGGCAGGAGAATGGCGTAAACGGAGCTTGCAGTGAGCTGAGATCCGGCCACTGCACTCCAGCCTGGGCGACAGAGCGAGACTCCGTCTCAAAAAATAAAAAATAAAAAAAAAAAAATAACTTTTTCTCTCAGAATTTTGTACACTGGTTCATCTTAAGACATTTTTACAAAGAGGTATTCAAAATATGTAATTTACCTATAAGCCATCATGCCATCACTTAGTTAAGACTGTTTTTACTGTTTCAAAAATTTGATTTATCCTTCCTTTTGTCTTATTGTAGGAAAAGAATGCCTCAGCCAGATGAGGAATACTGTCTTGTGTAAATATATTCAAGGAAAGCACCTCCACTACCTCACTGACTTTATCATTGGAATGTCATTTTTTTTTTTTAAATCAAGATCCAGTGAACTAAGATTCTGAAACTTCAATGTAGTTTATTTTGCCTATACCATTAATGCCAATGTTTTTATAAATAACTTGTACATAGTACATATGGGAATAGTTGCATATGGGAATTTAAACCATGCGGCTAAGCCTTTTTGTTTGTATCTTCATAACTTTTTTTTTTTTTAATAAAAACCAGTGATTTTAACTGCATATCTGAACCTACAAACTGGTAAATCTTATTAACAAAAAGAATGTACTTGAGGCCCTCTTTATTTATAGTGTCGAGTTATTTTTGAATTTTGCTTGAAATCTATTTTTCATATAAAAATAAAAGATAACAATCAACTTGGGTCTGTCCGCTGATGTTACACTTCACAGGTAATTCTATGGAAAAGCTGTCAAGTTTTTACCTTAATTCCAAGTAAGCAAGCTTTCAGGTGGTTTTCTTTTACCTGGAGGCTGAAATACGTTATACTTATCAATGAAGGTTTCATCATTTGGAAATACATCAATTATAAAACTATTATGCTTCAGATGCCTTTCCTCAGCCAACATATTCTTTGGTGGAGAATCAGGAAAATTTTGTACCTTGGAGAGTATGACCCAGTGATAAATTCAAATTGTGTTGCCTTTAAAAATTCTGAACTACCATAATTAACAGCTCAACTCCATGATGTATATATTTCTTTAAAAACTAGAATAGCAACTGCTCTCACAGTCTGGCATAATTATTCCCAAGGGGGAAATATGTAGTAAGTTTTAAAATATTCTCGGGAACTGTTTTCTAGATCACTAGACAGCTTTTGAGTCACAACAGGCATATTACCATGTTACTATAATACAGAACAGCACAGTGCAGCAATCCCTCACCACAAGGTTTTTATTCCAAAACAGTTATTTGGCTAGAAGTGGACTGTTAAGATACGGCATCAATGGAGTTACAATAAAGATAATGAAAGTGACAGTTTATTAATACACAGTAATTTCTAGAAGGCATCTACTTTCAAAACAAAACTTGATTTCTTTTGTATTTACATTTTTTGTTTCAAGTCTTAGCAAAATGCTAAAAGGCCTGGCCTAGTCACAATTATTGACATCCTTCTGGGACACAATTTTCTGGGCCTGTGTTGAATGAGGATAAATTTTCTTTTCTCTAAAATGCCACATGAACCCTGTACTCCCACATGAAGAGGAATGGAAGGTAATTATTTGGTCTTTTCTTCTGTTTAAGGGAATGAACTGAACCACTCATGTTTTTAAAATCACACTTAAAACAGCAGACACATGGGCAAAAAAGTTCCCCAAAACTATTGTCTTATGGAATTTGAGAAGGGAGGTAATGTATGAACATTAACATCTGGCTTCAAAAGACATCTTTCCAAAGAAATTGTACTACCTATTACGTGTACACCACCAACCAAAAAAAAAATTACTCCATCAAACACTTTATTATCTATAAAAAAAAGACTTGAACATTGTACTGAAACATCTATTTAAGCATAAATAGTACTTAAGCACCAATTACTCATCTGAGGGCCGCCTCACAGGTCTAAGGGCAATGAGTAACCTCGAGAAGCAGGTGACTGCACAAGCAGTAAGCTATGGATTAAAAATTAAAAGGATTTCACATTCTTTCCAAAGTGTACTGCCCAGTGTCTGGCACACACATGTTACAATATGACAGTGTGCTCTATTTGTGAGCACCCAAGTTTATTACAGGGGATTACACATGCGTATGATAGAATCTGGCTCCCAGTACAGTCAAAGGAGAACAGCATCAGCCAGCAAATGTGCTGATCTTACACTGAAAATGGTTGACTGAAAACATTTCAAGGGTGATGTAAACACAAGAATAAAACTGTGGCTCTATTACTTAGTGATGGGGTTTTATATGCTACATATGTAGACCTCTCTTTATACAACGAATACAGACAGTGCTGCAATAAAAACTGATGACACATCAAATTGTTCACCTGAAGAAAATAAACCCTATTATAGTTCAGAAAATAATGCAACCAATTTTAATTTAATCTAGATACAGGTACTTTATTTACAAATATTTAGATTAATAGCATTTTGTTACATCAAATGAAGAGTACAGCAGTCTGAATAAATCCTTCGGTCACAAAAACAATAAAACCCACTGTAACTAACTTTGGGAGTCAGGGTATTGCACCTCAACAAGCCGCAGTCTTTCGTTTGTGATTGCCACCTTATATCCCAATGGGTGGTTTGTTTGTTTTGTTTTTGTAAATATACACACACACCAGCAGGTCATGGTCCCTGGGTGAATCCCTTGTGATGCAACAGTGTAAGCAAAATGGATCACTGTAAGTCTTTAACAGAACATACCAATCTACTCCAGAAATCCTATTTTTTAAAAAGTTAAACAAAGACAAAAATAAAAATGAATCCACAAATTAACCAAAGCCTATTTTCTGCACATTCCAGTTTTGGCTTTTATTTAACATTGACTATACAATACTCTGGTACTACCACATGTTTACAACCCAAAAAGATGTACTTTTATGTTAGTGTCTGTAAAGAGGGATTTAAAATGTGTATTTTAAACACAGCAGTTGAGCTGAGTGCATTTTCTATAGTGCGCTGAGGTGTTACCTATTCTACTTCAAATAAACTCTCAATTCCCAGCCACTGAATCATAAACACAGTAAGAAAAATCAACAGAAATGAAGAACTTAAACATGTTTGTTGTACAAAGAAATAAGATTGTTTCTCTTGCTATACAGTATTAATTCAGTGGCCACACCACCTAGTGCAAAGTAATAACTTACTTTGTATCAGCACAAGCACTGAAACACCTTTAGAAACACTTTCCCTTTTATGAAACAATTTATGCCAACATGACATAAAACAGCCCCTCATACTATGAACACAGGGATATCTTATTTCACTGTAGTGTTAAAAATGCACAATTTAAAATCCCTTAACAGCAGACCTGTGGTTCTGACTGTCCAGTTCAGAATCTGACCATTCCAAGAAGATAAAGGTATAAAAGCTTAAAATGTGCAATAATAAACCCAGCCTTTTTTCTTTTCCTATACAGTAAGGCAAGAATGCAGCCTGTAATGCAAAAACGTTTACAAAAAGAGAAAAGCAGGTTAGCACATTGTCGATTGCACAAGAACAGTTAAGAAAATCAGCAGGTAAGCAACAGTGCAAAGATGGAACAGAATCTGCTAGTGTTAATCCTCTGATGCTAGGAGCTTTTTCCAGCATAATGTCCCCAAACACTGCCAGCACCAAGGGGTGGAGCCAGTACTACTTGTGAACTGCAGTGTGTCTATTTCTTCGTGTGAAATGGAAGGGAGTAACATGGTCACATATAGGTCATACTGTACAAACTGGTATTTTATACTGTTCCAATGCCAGTAATCAATTTATTTTCTTCATTAAAATAATATACACAGAATGTATTGTTAGTTCGATTCCTTCAAATTTTATACATATTTACTTTCTGTTAAAGAGAAAAGGATAAAATGGTATAAAAAAAGATAAAGCTATTAATTAAGCACGAGAGATAAGATAAATGGATATTTTCCCTGTGCGAGGCTAAGACAGAAGCAAACCTCGTCAAGAAAAATGCCACCCACACAACAGGAAATTTATCCAAAACAAAACAAAAGCAGTTATAGAACCCCTTCTCTACCATCAGAAGTCATTTCACAGCAATAAACTTATTGGTTACAACAGACATACTTGAACAGTTAAGGATGGGTAGAAAGGCTTAAGATATCATCAAATTAAACCGTACAGTGAGACAAAGCCTTGCCAAAGAGGGAGGGTAAAAATCATGAAGTCCAGCATCAGTGCTCAGTTTAAATCATATATTGGTGACATACTTATCACGAGGACAAGGGGGAAAAAAAGTCTAGATTTACCATGCAGGAGAGATTTATTACTCTACTTGCCTTTGATAACCTGATTACATCTAGTTGTTTAGCAGTTTAGTATTGTGTTAAACTGTTTTTACAACAGATTTTTGTTTTTTCTTTTTTTTTAATTAAACCCAGTAAGATGTACAGAAGACAATGAGGCAGTAAAAAGTACTGCTTTCAACAGACAGAGGTGAAAGGTCAAATGAGGGGCCACGGCAAAGAGGTCACTAGCAGCCACAGCCTTCTCTCTGGGGTTGGGGTTCACTGGTTAGCCGGCCTCCCTGCGGGGCTGAAGGTTTGTGTTGTACACCAGACTCAGCAGCATTCAGATCCAAGCTTCCATCCTGAATGTTCTGATATATTTTCTTGGCAGCCTCAAGGAAGGCGTCTTCTACATTCTCTCCCCTAAGAGGCAATTGATAACTTTATTGGAGAACCACAGTTTTCTACAAAAGACAAGACATTATATACTGACCTTTTGTTAATCTTTAGTTAACTGCCATGATGTCTTCAACTTAACCATTGTCATCTAATAAGAGATTACCAGAACACTGAGCTAAGAGAACATGGAAAACTATTTTCTTTTCCTTTTTTTTTTTTTTTTTTTTTGAGACAGAGTCTGTGTCACCAGACTGGAGTGCAGTGGTGTGATTTCAGCTCACTGCAACCTCTGCCTGCCGGGTTCAAGTGATTCTCCTGCTTCAGCCTCCCAAGTAGCTGGGACTACAGGAGTGCACCACCACGCCCTGCTAATCTTTGTATTTTTAGTAGAGACAGGGTTTCACCATGTTGGCCATGATGGTCTCGATCGCCTGACCTCGTGATCTGCCTGCCTTGGCTTCCCAAAGTGCTGGGATTACAGGTGTTAGCCACCACACCCGGCCGGAAAACTATTTTCTGTGGAAAGCATACATACATACATGTACCGAAAGCCCTTTCTACAAATCGTATTTGGACAACTACATGTGTTATATGCAATCATTAAAATACTGTATGTTAATACACACCATGACGACTGAGATATCACGTCATTTCTGTGATAACAGAGAGGATACTCCAAACAGAAATGAAATCTCTCCAAACATGCTGAAATCAGAATTCCAAGAATAATATGGTCTGCTCAGCCAAGCATGAACTGAGCTGTTTTTAATCGGGTGATAGTGACATAATCATGCTTAGCCACATTAACACCTCCATTCAGTTTTCTTTGGACTAACAGCACAGCTGAGACTAAACAAAAACAGGTTAGCCTCTCACCACAAGAAATTTTTGACCTAATAAATGAAGAATAATGATGGGAGTGCCACACAGTTCAAAGCAGACATGGAAGAACAATTAGAAAATGTTCACTACTATTCTGAGTAGACACTACCCCTTAAGTAGACACTACCCATTAAATCATGCTTTTTAACGTGATCAGAAAATTAAATTGACCAAGCTTTTGTCTGAGATGCCAAACTCAACCTCACTTGTGAAAAGTCAAACACTGTCATTTGTGAAAAGTCAAACACTTCTGAAATGTAAACAAAGTTCCATTTTATTAACCTGGGTTACCAACAGGCATAATCAAGGTACAATCTTTTAGGTAACAAAAATTCATATTATTTTGAAGTGTAAAAAAGGAAGCAGAGAGATGTTTGCTGTTCTTCCTGCAGTAAGCATTACACATTTATATATAGTACTTTATATGTGTATATACATTATATACTTTTCATATATACGATTCTACTTTGAGAAACTTGAATGTAATTGAAATATCTGTATTTTGGTCATACTTACGTTTTTGCACTCGCTTCGAGGAACAATAAGCCTAAAAATAAAATTCAGACTATAATTAGGATACTTCAAACTAACTCACAAGTGCATTTCCTTTTTTTTTGAGACGGAGTCTTGCTCTATTGCCCATGCTGGAGTGCAGTGGCGCAATATCAGCTCACTGCAAGCTCCACCTCCTGGGTTCACCCCATTCTCCTGCCTCAGCCTCCCAAGTAGCTGGGACTACAGGTGCCCGCCACCACACCCGGCTAATTTTTTTTTGTATTTTTAGCAGAGACGGAGTTTCACTGTGTTAGCCAGCATGGTCTCAATCTCCTGACCTGCCTTGGCCTCCCAAAGTGCTGGGATTACAGGAGTGAGCCACCGTGCTTGACCCACAAGTGCATTTCTTTAGTAACATCTGAAAAAGTTTCCCATCAGTTTTTAGTACTCCTCCCATAGTATTTTATGAAAAAGTATGTAAGTCTGAGGTGGAGAGCATCTTTATATTTGTCACTAAATAACTGTACTGCTGCAACATAAATCTCACAGAAATAGAAACACATTTTGTTACTTCCTCATTCTTGAGATTTCTGAGTCTGCATTAAAAAACAACAAAAAACTGTCAATCTGCAGTATCAAAATCCCACCTTTCCTTAATAATTCTCCCAATTGTGACCATTAAGTCTTAAAGAAACCCACCGTTTTCTTCAGCAAACTGTTTGGCTTCTTCATATGTAACATCTCTCTGTGCCTCCAAATCTGCTTTATTTCCTATGAGAATTATTACCTAATTTGTGATCAAAAGAAAGACACTTATAACAAAAGCAGTAATTTAAACCAACCATGCAAATTCTGAAATCCAAAAATCTTGATAGAAAAAATAACTGGGCCTAAAAAGAAATCCAAGTACTAGCAATTATCCACTAGACAGAGCTACAGATTCATGAAGTCATTACTACAAAGGACCTTAGCAATGATCTAGGCCAGGGGTTGACAAACTTTCTGTAAAGAATAAACAGTATATTCTTCAGGTTTGTGGGCCTCATATGGTCTCTGTTACATGTTCTTTGCTGGGTTATTTTTTTGTTGTTGTTTTTAACAACCCTTTAAAAATCTAAAAACCATCTTTAGTTCACAAGCCAGTCAGAAACAGGCTGTGGGCTGAATGTGGCCCATAGGCCATACATACTTTGGTGACACCGGGTCTAGTCCAAAGATTATGATATATCTGAGTAAAATTACTAAGGGTTCATGGACAAGCTCCAGGGGATCTGCAAATACCTTGAAATACTGTAAATACTGTAATTGTGGGCATGTCCTAGAGGGGCAGGTTCATGGCTTCCATCAGATTTTCAAACAGTTCTGAGATCCTCAAAAAGTTTGAAAGCCACTAGGTACAATCCTTTAGGCTACCAGTAAGGAAATTAAAGCTCAAGGCAAAAGGACTTGCTGAAGGTCACTCAGTGAGTCAGTGGTAGGAGGACATTAGATCTCAGGTAGAAACCCAAACTGTGATCTTGAGACAAATACTATCCTACCCCACATTATCCCTAGATAGGACTGAGTTTATAAGTAACAGTAACTGATTAGAGACGTCTATGTGTATACACAAGGGGAAGCTGGGAGTAGGGGTTTGGGGCACGTATGCAGTAAGTTCAAATCCTAGGCAAAAATAGCACCCACCTACCTATATCCACCTTGGAACCACTCATATGAAGTCAGGCCAAAGTTAAAGGCAGCTCTGCAAAGTTGTAAGAAGAAAATATGTACCCTTGGGGAATAGCAAAGGGCTTTGGCCTTTATCTGGGGTGGCGAGGGCAGGTTATGGATAAACTGTCTTTGTACA